CTCTCCGTCCGAATTCGCGCGCAGGATCCCCTCTGGGCCCGGATGCTCCGGTACTGCATTTTCCGGGGGGGCTACCAGTCGAAGCACTGCCCGCCCCCGCCTAACGAAGAGATCGACGTGCGGCTAGAGGCGGGACAGGGCCTTGCAAACGGTGAAGGGTCCGGGTTTGAGGGACACGTGGAGAGCCCCGAGTGGCCGGAGCCGGTATGAGGGAGAGCCGTTCGTATCAAGACTGCTCTAACACCGGTGGAAGTTTGGAAATAGAGATGCGGCATGTCGACTAGTCAAAACGATAAGGCAGATTTGGTTCCTGTCGGAGCATGGGTCGTCAGGAACTATTCGTTGTACTTGACAGTTAGCAAAGCTAGAAAGTAGCGTTTGGACCAGAGAAAAAGACATGAGATATTGATGGGTTATATCTCCAACCTGAACGGAATTGACTGTTGTATGACTTCTTGATAAGCGAAAGTTTTCTGAAGACTGCAAACTCTCTCGATGGGGCAGCGTGCAAGTTCCGTACGGCTGTCGCACTCAAGGATCTGTACAAAATCGTGCCTGCTGGCACGAGCTTGCCACGCCAGTAAACTAGGCGGCTGAGAGTATTCAATGGATCCGATCAAAGCGGCAAAAGATATGGACCGACCCATCATCCGAACTTGCATACTAGCCGCGCTTTGTATGGAGCTCTTGTTGACGACCGGACCGGGCCGTCTGCCATGGGCGCCGGCGCCGGCGCTCACATGGCGCAGCAGCCCCTGCAGCAGTGGAATACCCCATCATTTGCACGGCAAATAAAGGCGAATGGAACCGCTGTGTCCGAATGATCAAGGTGTAGTTTCAAGCTTGCAGGCGAGCGCGGCGGCAATGATTGCCATGCTCCGGATCAGCCGTCATATACATGCAGGATCCCTTTATTCGATCGTGTCTGCGATCCTCAGTGAGATGCTTAAGCCATGAATGATCGGATTCCAGACGATCGACTCTCTGGATGCCGCAAAACTAGCTCAAAATATCATCGTTGCAGTGCAATTCAATTGCAGCGCACGCATGGGCGTTATCATATGCTGCGGCCAATTTGGACCTTTTAATGATGCCCTCGTCTACGTGACCCTCGATCCATATTTGCGCGGCGGGCCACCCAGTGGAACGTTCTTTTTTTCTGTTCGTGACCGCGGATTCATGCGCGCTGTTACGAGATTGACCGGACCGTACATACGCATGCACCGGTCTTCGATGCTGTAGACTTGGAACAAAGCTGGACACATGAGTGTGCAGATACGTACTCATGTGGCCTGTCAAAGTGTAACGTCTGACAGGGAACCATTCGCTGCTCCACGGTGAAAAGTCAAGTATCACGCAAAAGAATCATGAGTTCGTTGCAGACACCGGAAGTCTGCCGATCGACAAGGGAAGAATCTAAGGAAGTAGAGCAAGAGTCCCTGGCGTAGCACACGCAAGGACTTCTAAACAGCTAGCTTGCTTATTTAGCAAACTTCAATACACGGATCCGATCCTGGCAACTCTACATCTGTACGTACAGCCTAAGTCTGGTGCACAGCTGTACACTTTCCTAATCTCTCCCCTCCGTTCAGGCGGAAAATGGTTACTGCAGAACCCGCGTCCCAACCGTCTGCGGCCCACTCTAAAACTGACCGCCGCTCTTAATCTCCCGAATCTCAACCCCCGACCACTTCCCCTTAGGTTTGTGCCCAAAAGATCTTCATCATGCCTTATTCACGACAGGACATCCCCTCCCCCCGAGATAAGCATCCCGGGGTCGAAGTGGAGCGAGAGGACCTCCTTCGGCCCGGTAAACTCCCCCGGGAGCTCTTCCCCAGAGAGGAGCTTGCGGTAGCCGGACCCCGGGGAGGTTGGCACGGCAGCTGGAGGAAGCAAAACTTTATAATCAGGTGGGCAGATGGCGGATAACAAACTGAACCACGCCTTCTTGACAGATCGAAACTTCTCGAGCATACGATCATGTAGCCGCCCTTTGAACGAACTCAGAGAAATCCTGGTGATCGTATTTCGACGCGTTTTGCACTGTGAAGCCTTTGAGCAGTTTCTCAGAGAAACGAGTGCTACTGGATATGCATCTGCATCTGAGCAGGTTTCTTTTCTATCTGAAAAATCCCCGACATGAAGTCCATGCGGGATTCGGGAGGTTTGACTCGACGAGGAACCGCATCAGTCTCAAGTAAGGAACGGTTCAAAAATGGCGGTTCTAGGTCCTCGTGCCGCTAGGCCTCACGAATTCTACGCAGCGCATCTTCTATCTAGAATGGAGGTTCCGAAACGTCACCACATTTTGAAGAGCAGGCTGTGAGACGAGTAATATGGTTCTCCGGCCGGGGATTTGTCTTTTTTTGGGAGTCCACGGCGATTCAAGACGAGATCATCAGAGGACCTCCTACGAAAAGCAGACGCTATGGAAGAACACAAAAGACTTTAGGAGACTCGAACTTACGGGCCGGGGGGCCTGGCGCGGCGTAGTTTTTGGAGAAGATGGTCTGGCAGATTCCCCCGGGGCTGAGGCTCCCTTGCGCCAGGTTGGCGGGCAGGTTAGCAAAGAACGCGTTAACCTGCAAAGTTTAGTTTGGGGTCAGAAATCCACAGCGCTCCTTTCTTTGAGCGGTTTGAGAGAGCTGTTGCGGGGTTAGGCTCAAAAGACCAAACGCTTCTCTAGAGTGCGAAGTGCTTCGTCGATCTTGCTGCGGTTTTGCGGATCGGCTTGCATGAAACCGCAGGAAAGCGCGTCAACCATTGGCCCATCAAAGATATTTCCCGCAATAAAACAAAATATCTCGAGAGCAGGGAGGAAGGGCACATATTAGATAAGGGAAGCAACCGATGCGGTTGGAGTATTAAACTCGAGCAGATCGTCGGGAGGCTGCCCGACAGCGACGGCGACGATCTTCGGGGAAAATGAGAAGGTGGTCGCCGCGATGGGCACTACCTCTTATTCTCTCTCTTGTAAAATCCGTCACGTGCACCAAAGGCTGCCATATATATAGCGACGGCGCTGATTTTGAAAGAAGGTGGACGGTAAGCGCCAGGATCCCTACCGACTCCGTACCAGACAAACTAGAACGGGGCAAAGAACGGTGGCAAAACTTAAGTGGGTCCACTGAAGGCTGCCCAACAGCGTCGGCAATGATTGCGGTGGGACACTGGAAAAAGACCCTGGACGAGCAACCCGCCTGTTTTTTTGCCATCAGAGAAAAACAGAACTGGGGACGAAGACCAGATAAGAAAATACTGTCACAGGGGCGAAAATAGGGCCGAAGCCTTACCGAGTTCACCGAAGTCTGCCCGAAAGCGACGGCGATGATTTCGGGGGGGAACTGGAAGGTGGTTGCCGGGATGGGCACCACCCCCGGGTTCTCGTTGTTGAACGCCGACACGAGCACCGCGGGCGCGTTGCCAATCTCCTGCTGGAAGTGCATCAGGCCCTGCGGAAAAAGGGTTTGAGCGAGGTTTAGCATTTTGCGCGCGAGCATGTTTCAGCTGGGCCGGAATTAATGCTCGCGCGCAGGCGCATATATGAGGCGCGCCTATGCCCATCTCCTGCTGGAAGTGCATCAAGCCCTGGACGGGGAAGTAAGCGAGAGTTAGCACTCGCGCGCGCTTATCTCAAAAGCGCCGGGTATTGCGCTCGCGCACGGTTGCGTTGCCGATCTCTTGCATGCCCTGGAAGGCTGAAACACGGTATCAATTCTGCGCGCCGCGCCCTTAATTTGCGCGTGGGCGCGTTACCGATCTCCTGCTGGTAAGTGCATTAGACCCTGCGTACAGACGGTTTAAGCGAGGGTTAGCATTTTGCGCGCATATCTTGATTGAGGTTCCGTACTCGCGCGGAGGAGCGTTGCCCTGGGAAAAGGTTGAGCGAGATTCAGCGTTCTTGCTTGCGCGCATGTCCAGATGTGCCGGATTTTGTGGTCGCGCAAAGGAGCGTTGCCGAACTCATGCTGGAGTGCGTCAGGCCCTACAGAGAGAGGCTTTAAGCGAGGTTTCGAGTCTGCGCACGCGTTTGTTTCAAATGTGGTTTCACCTTCGCGCGCAGTCGCATTGCCCATCTCCTGCTGGAAGTGCATCAGGCCCTGGAAGGGGAAAAAGATATACCAGCGAGAGTTAGCACTTCGAGCGCGCGCAAAAACAATCAGATGCGCCAATTGATTGCTCGCGCAAGGGCGCTTTGCGAATAACCTGCTGGAACGGAGTCAGGTCGTGAAAGAGGGAAGAGGATTTGTAAGCGAGAGTAAGCACTTCGCAGGCGCGGATTATTCAGATGTGCCGGGTTTAATCCTCGCGCAAGGGCGCTTGCCAAGAACCTGCTGGAGTAGAGTCAGGCCCTGCGGGGGAAGAGGGTGTAAGCGATTTAGCTTCAGCGCGCGCAAGCCATTCGCACGCGCGCGCTTTCGCGCGCGATTCCGTCGCCATATTCGCTCCAGAGAGTGTTCTTGGGAGCTTCAGGACACATTGAGTCGATGTGGCGCGTCGCTGCTTTTCTCTGGATAGAGAATGCAAAGTAAGATAATTCAAACTTGCACAGACGCGTTGCGAATTTTCTCGTGAGAAGAACTTCCTACCGACGCATCAGTCTGATTGCGATCAGGTGGATGAGTCACGAGCTAGCGTGCGCAGTTCATTTGCCACGAGACAGAAATTCAGACACCCTCTAAGCATTTTGGTGGCAGTTGTGGACACCGGAAAATACGCCAGCGGCCCACCTGAGGGAACAGAGTGACGTCGCCGGGGTTCATGACGTTCAGATGGAGAGTGAGGTTGGCTGCAGATTGAAAAAAACAATGTTAACATTCTGTTAAGCTGGCAGGAACCATCAGAGAATCCAATTTGAGGTCCGACCGAGCACTGAATGCATCTCACAGTTACGGGCCAATGCTTTGCCGTCAAATCAGGTCGATCGGATGGTCAGCTGCGGTGTAGCGCTGATGAAATCTAGATTCGACGCGCCACGTCGTCCTCCAGATGACGTCATTATCATTCAAAGCGTGGTACACTTACCTCCGGTGTCCACGAACCCCACAAGTACTTTGCCGCTGACGACGTACGAGATCTCCGTAGCCCTGGGTCATCGGAAAAGAGGAGCCGTTTAAATATTTGAGGACCGAAGTCCATGCAAAGCTGTCCCGTTATCTGTCACTTCGACACAAAACAGAAACCCTTTGAAGGAGCGATCCTCGACCACAACAGATTCTACGTTCACTTATCGTAACACACAGTCTGTTGAACTTCTCATTCAATTCTGTCACGGGGCCTCTTCACACATCAGTGCTCTCAGGCTCGCAACGAAAGACTGGATGGATTGATTACAATGATCTACAAAGCGGATGAGACCGGGTGGGAGGAGCAGATCCGTCAAAAGAGCAGTTTGTAGAACTTCCTTATAATCAACCTTGCCTACCGCGCATTCTGGAATCCGGGGGCAAAGATCTAGTGAGCCGACCTTGGGTGTGTGTGCAGAATGTTCTGACCGCACGGGTTGAAGTTGATCAGAGCGATAGCGACGCCCTGTCCCCTGTAAGTGAAATATTGTATTTGTTCCACAGCTCTGATGTTCCACTAAGATGAGATCCTAACGTGAAAACCAATTCAGCGCTTGGCGAGGCTGCGCTTAGAAGACAAAAAGCCAAGATTTCCCGGAACCCTTGGCGTTCACGCATTCATCTCGGGGCCCCTTATTTACTGCGAAACGTGCACCCTGTCCGAGACGCTAATAGCGGAGTATTTGATCAGTCGACAAGTGTCATGGTTGATCCGACCTCTTTGAAAAGTGCCCCAGAAAACAGTCCTGGAAGCGGCCGCCTGCCCACGGCAGATTATCAGTTTCAAGCTTTGTGAAAAAAACGATACGGATTTGTTCTGCTTTGGAAAAACATCTTATAGTATTAACGGAGGATGTTAATCTGGTAAATTGGAACCGCGAATGTGATCAATAGAACGGATTAAGGGCCTCACATGACAGCCGGGAAATTGTTGGCGTTGAGCAGTCGGAGCTGGCCCCCGGAACCCTGAATACGGCGAACGCCAGAAACTGAGTGCCCGGTTAAGTTTGAGAACGAGCATCCCCAGATTGAGAAGTGTGTCAAAAAGATCGGGACGGAGGAAGCCAAAACTTGGACATATTGTAGAATCAAACAATCCTGTCATGATGCGGCATATCGGAGCTTTTTAGAGCTCTCGAGATAGTTCCGGATCCGTCCCTTTTGCGCGTCTACCAGTGGGGACGCTCCATGCTGCGGATCTCATAATGAATTGCCGAAAGGAGTTGAAAAAAGGAAGGAAAGTTGGGAATGATTACAAGGAGGCCTACAGAAAGTACGAAGTATATCCACAAGGACCGCAAAGGAGTTCACTATCAACACGAAAGCCTGTGTCTGTGTTGAACACCACACGTGATGCCCAAACCACGTGTAAATCCTAATCCAAAGTTTATGCGCTTTGCATTCAGTTCAACCCTAGAAATACAACTAGACATCTTGTCTTTGAACCTATGCTGATTGCTCCGATAGAAAGGGCTCTCAAACACCAGACAAAGTGGATCGAAAGAGCACGATTGCGTGTAGTACGATGCGTTCTCACACTCGGGTTAGCCGCCGGTGGGGTCCCGGTCAACGACTTGACAAAGTCGCCAGTCGCCAAACCAGGCGCGAAGTCTTGCACCGGGGCTCCTGAGTACAGGGCTGCAGAAGAACGGGGAGAAAATTACCGGCCCGAGTTGGTGGGCTTGAAGAAGAAAGTAGCTCCAATATGCAGGCAATCCGCCTCCGATTTGTTCCTATCATTCTTTCATACGCTTAGACAACAGGCAAGTAACTTCAGTATTGTTCTCAAACGATTCTGCAGCCCCCCGATGTATTTTTTCACAATCGGGCACAGCAATGCGTGCCCAACACGAACCAAAACTTTGACCTAGCTAATCAGAAAAAGGGGGGGAACGTGTTTCAAAGGGAATGAAGCTTACGATTCGTCTGACTGACTATTTGGTACATCTTTTCCGGTGAAAATTGATGGAAGCGGCAAGAAGCTCCTGAGTTTTTGCAACGCAATGGTCTGTCGAACCTGAGTGACCGCAACGAAGAAACCAGCAAACTGTTCTGCCATAGTCTTCATGATACCATATACTCACGCGAGCCCACAATAACCTGTTCTGAACGATCAAGACTTTCCGACACAATCCGGTCCTAATCAAGCCGCAAATGGAGAAGGAAAACCACGAAAGTGTGAAAGCGGAAGCGAGGAAATAAGAGTTCACCTTCGGCTCCCGCCGCCTGCCCCTGTGCGCGCGCCGCAAACCACAGGGCTACTAGGGCTGACGCCAGAAAGGTCTGGATTGAAGCGCGGCTTGACAGAGCCATGGCTTTTGACCCAATCAGAGCCCGTTGGGGGCCGTTGCTAGAACGCGGTTGAGGTCCGGTCGCTGATCAAAAACTTAAGGTTCTTATGCTTTGAGGTGGTTCTGATAGTGAATGCCCTTCGAAGCCGCGACCGAAGGAAGTGGAGAGCGAGAAAGGGCGGCGAGGACTTGCATCTGAAATAACGAAGAAAGGTTGTGGTCTTGCATTACCTGAGCTAGCTTTCCTCGACATTATGTCAAAGTCTTGATCTTAAGGTGATTGTGCATCAATTGAACGGGGTGGCTTCTGCACACATAGGCCGGACAATCGGCCTGCATGGCCAGTGAGTTTCCTCCCAGGGTCAATAGTGAGTGCGCCCGTACGTTCCATTGCTCTTGACCAGAATGTCAGGATGCACATGCTGCGACTGGATTGAAGTCGGAATTCGACGCGGTGTACTGATCAGCACGCTTGCTCCTCCGTATACGACCGGACGGTCAACGCGAGTGGCATATGCCTGTGTTGGAGTGTCAATCTTGACGCACTGGCAGACAGTTGCAAGATGTCTACATGCAGACACTTCTGGGCTGTCCGCAATTCACTCGTGCAACTCGCTAATATCGATATCTGGCTGATCATCTGATCCAATCAGACGGAAATGGATGCAGCGAGCTAGAATCGTAATCGCAGGCCGCCTCCTGATCGAACGGAATGCCTGCGATTGGAAGCTTTCCATTGTAGCTGATGTCTAGCCTGGCTAAGTTCTGCATGAAACGCTGATCATTAAATTCTGTCTTATATTTAAAGACATCAGGTGGCTGCAAAGCTGCACCATAAAGAAACAAATCGATCTGCTGCGTGTCAAACGGCATATGACTCCTGTTTTGAATTCGCCGTCTGCATATTCTCAAGTCGATCAAACCGTTCGTGTACCCAGTGCCGGAGCGCAGCTAGATACACCGTCGCGTGCATATATGCATGTTTTGGTAAGCTAGTGGTTAAGGTCAGGCTTAAAGGGATGCTTAGTTGCCAGCCTAGCTAGTGCACATGAGCCAACTGGATCCGACGCGCGCACGCGGTGACCGGCCGGCCGTCACCGGCTAATATCAATGAATGATCTTCTAGTGCCCACATGATGCATGCAACATTTGCAATGCGACGCGCTACAGTTCAACCGTTCCCGGGCCCAGGGTGGTAAAGTGCCAAAGCTGCCGACCGGCAAGGCGTAATCGATTTCGCCCAAGCTCGAGACGATCTTTAGGTTATGAAGATGTGCGCGCGCATGCTGAGCAGGCTGAGGAGTCGCAAAACATCAAAGAAGCTCCAAAACAGAGGTTAAATACTGACGCGGCGAACTTCGGAAGTGCTTCAGCATTGGAAACCGTCTTTTCTTGATGCGACCAAGCAAACCACTAGCTTGATATGTTTTTCGCAGCCAAGTCCGACCTGCTCTATCCATTCACCAAACTTACCTGAGACTCTTCACACAAAAAGCGCGAAATCTATCTACTGTCCCTGACCAAACTACGGTTACAGACAGACCACGAGATCGTTTACAATCGCGAGCGTCGGGGCCCGACGTATAGCGCCACATATCAGGAAAATAGGGAGCCCGATCAACCGAAGCCAGTCGGAGAGGAAGAAGGATCCGAAGAGGAGTAACGCACGAAAGGAAGCTTCTCTACGAATGCTTCCTCCTTTCCGGCTTGGTTCCGTGCTTCCGTGCTCGACACGTGGCGCTGTCTGGCAGGGGCGCCACTTTCCGCTCTTCCGTCCGCTGCTCCGGAAGGTGGGGGTTCCGCCAGAGACAGACGAGGGAGTAACCTCCGGTGTTGAAGCCGTCCCTTGGAGTAAGTGGCCGAGCGCACGTGCTGGCAACATCACAAAAAGGTGGGGGAAAACGGTCAGGGAAGGAACAGGCAGCGGAAAAGAAGCAAAACGAGATTGCTAAAGGAGGACGTAAGAAAAGAAAGAGGGAACAGCGTCAGAAATGAGAAAGCTGGCGAAGCTTCAGACAGATGCTAGAAAATCGAAGCGTAAGAGAAGCTGGCTAGCGTCCTTTGGAGCGCCTCGAGCAGTCTCACATATCCGATCGTTGCACTCAACAGCAGGCAAGTCTCTCGGCATAGCAATCCCAAAGTTGGTATATCAAGACGTCAAGAGGACCCCGAAGGTACGCCCAAAGCTCGAACGGCCCAGATGGTCTAACTCACTTGAAAAGTCAAGGTCTGAAGCAATTAGACACATCAGCATGGCAACAAATCTCGCAAGTTGACACTGCCACCTCCGATTCAATTGACGAAACATCATTACAATTCTCTGAGAATTTAAATCGTATCCCAAACCTTGAAAACCTCACCTGCTTCTGGAATCTCTGCAGCTTGACGAGCACTGCCGGCACCGCCTCTGCCCCGTGAGCCGCTGCTCCGCGAGGAGGGCGACCGTTGCAGCGGGGCCCACCTGCGAGTGGTCGCCTACGACGACGACCGCCGTAACCGGGTCGGCGATGCAGCCCTGGAACCAGGACGCCTTGAGCCCCTTCCCAGAACGGTGGCATAGACCGGATTCCGCCGGAGCCCAGATTGCTTAAACCTGCAGAATCCGGCGTCCTCCCGACTGCGACCCGGCTGGACTTGGATGCAATTTTACGGCTGAGGCGGCTCCCCCCTCTCGAAGATCTGTAGCATCCAGAACTCGCCGTTCGCATTTGGGTTCCCCGTGCTGGTGTGAACGCCCGCCCCATTTCTGCTGAACTTCCTAACTGGGCCTCGGTCGAAGCGCGAAACGCAGCGGACGACTCATCTCATCGCAGGCGATGATGACAGCAGAGACCGCTCCTCCCGTCTCTAACGGCCAGCTCCCGCCGCATTTCTGGAAGCCGTCACCTCGCTCTAACGCAGGTGCGCCCCCACCCAAGGTACCGGTCACCAGAGCGAGGCGTTCTGCTCACCGAACCCACTCTCCCCTTAGACTTTGGTTTTGGACACTCCGGCATTCAGCTTAAACCCCCTCTTCTCAGCATTCTCACGCTCACGCAGGCTCCTCGGCTTTTCCACAAGTGCCCTGAATCGCGGCCTTGATTCTGACGGCAGCTTTTTCGCAGTCGCCCCGATTTACCTCGCTCGACCTGAGCACCCCTCTTTCCCTACAAGTCACCCACCTGGCTTTCGCCCCTCCCCTTCGACTTCCACACCGTATCTTCCCAGTGCTTCCCCCTTTCGTCATCCCTCCTGGTTTCTTCCAGCTCAAACCCCACGACTTTGCACTTTCCACGCCTGCATTCCCTGGTGCTTCTCTCCTTTTCCGTTCGGTTTCCAAGCCACCACATCCCCCGCGCTTGCGTCCCCTACTCCGTCCTCCCTCCCCAGGCGCCCCTCAGCATTTCCCACGCTCTAGCTCTTCGAGATCTGGGTCTGATGCTGGCGAACATCAGCCGGCTAGCCTTGCCGAACACCCTTTCCGGCCCCTGTCTTCGACGTTCCGCTCCCGACTGCTTTCACCGCTCTGCAAGCCCTCCGCTGACGTCTGCTGGCGTCGCCTTTCCAACCCCCGGGACCATCTCCTTGCCTCTGCGCGTTCCCATTAACACCATTCTTTCTTGCGGAGTCCAAACCAGCCTATGCGCCAGGGACGGCGTCAATCGCCGCCGCCTCTAACAGAGCACCCAACGGGACCCCTACCTCTCCTCGACAACGAACCAATCTCTCGACAAACTACACTGACGCTTAGTCGTCTACTCGACAACATTCCTAACTCTTGGCTATTTAGGGCCGTCTTCAAGGGTTACGAGAATTCTAAACATGAACACCTGTCAGAAGAGGCTACGGACCTACCTACGACGACTAGACCTGTTAGAAGCCAGGGGGCCTCGAAAGAAGCGGAGAATCAGAAAGGGGTTCGCCTTCGGACTCAAGCTGTGTCTTTGGGAGGGGCTCAAGGTCTGTCTCTGGGGGGGGCTGGTTGAGATCGAAGCCGCGTACAGGGGATTTGGGGGGCTCAGCAGAGTGTTGACTTTCCAGGGGGAAAAGGACGAGCTGGGGCGTGGAGTCAGACGGGGTTAAGGAACGTGATGCGTCAGAGGACGCATGGCCGGCCTTGGAATTGTGCCGATCCAAACTGGAGAAAAGAGGAGCTTCATCGGCAGGCGTTCCGTTACGGCCCGTCTTGGAGAAGGGGGGACCTAGGCCCAAGCTGGTCAAATGGTCAACCCCCCCAGTAGCAGGACCAAGCCCCCGAGAAGCTGCTGCCCCGCTTGTCGGACCGCTTGGAGCCCACAGGTCTCTTGTTGCCGCTTCCACCGCAGGGGGGTTCTCTTCCGGCGCCTCGGTTTTGAACCCCCCACTGAAGGCAAAAAAAGCCCGACATTTTGCTCGTAACCAGGGGTTTAGAGACAGCTCCTCGTTCCTCCCAGGCTCAATCCCAGCCTTCTCCTTTCCCCACCCATCATTTGCCGCGCCAACCAAACCCGGCTTGCCCCGCTTTGCCGCTCCAGCCATTGTGTCCCCCACTCTTCCGGGCCTCCACTCACCCTCTTGAGGGATCCCCCGCTCAGCACTGTGAGAGGGTGTCCCATCGGCGACCCCCTCTCCACGCCCTCCAAAAAGCGCTTCCTCGCCGGAGCTGTCCGCTTTCAGCCCTCTCTTCCATCTCCCCTTCTCGCCGTCCGCTTCCTGTTCCTCCCCACCTTCCCAAAGCCACTTCTTGGGGGTCTCAGCTTTTCGAGTCTGCCCAACGTCCTGGAACTCTGCCGGCGCTCTCGCATGATCCGCCAACCCACCCTCCCCCACCTGCAGCTTTCCCACCAGATTCATCCCACCCCTCGCCGCCTTTAAGCCGGGAATCCCTCGGGGCGCACCTTCCAGATTCAACTGAAAGCGCTTGACTCCACCATCCCCTGCCGGCGCACTTTCCGACGCCGCCAGTCGAGCGTGCCCCGCAAATGACAGCCCTTGCTGAGCTGTGCCGAACCCCGCCGGAGGAAGTGTTTCTGCGCTGGGGTTCCTTCGGCGGACACTTTCTGACCTCCGGCGGAAAGAATCTTCTCCTTCGAAGCCCCTTGGCAGTCTCACCGACATCACATCCTCCGGCGAAGACTGTCCTCGCAGCCCCTGTGCTTCGGCATCTCTCGCCGATGGACGGCCCTGCAGGTCTGTGTCTGGGTAAACAGTGGGGGGCATTTCGGCGGAGAGGTTCAGCGAACCCTTCTGATCTGAACCTGCCTTTCTCCAGCGAGCTGATGCTTTCGCTGAAGTCCCCGATTCCCCATCACCTGCCACCAACCGCTCCCACTCAATCCTGGTTGCAGGCCTCTCTGCCGGAGGATTGAAGGTGATGCCCCGATCCAGCGCCGGTGCTTCCCGTGAACCCCCCAAAGCATCACCTCCAAACCGCTCCGCCCTCTTCTGCCTCTTCCGCTCGAACTCTGCCGCCTCTTGCTCCTCCTCCCAATCCTCCCTGCCTCCCTGCTGCCTCCTTCTCTTGCCAGGTGGCGCTTCCGGACTGGCCGGGCTGGGCGCCTCCTCCTGGGGGGTTCCCTCTCCCTGCCATCCCCTGCCGTTTGGTGCCCCGTCCCGGCTAACCCCAGGAGATGTTGTCCCCTCGTCCCGCTTCCGCTTCACGCCAGGTGGCACCCCCAGATTGGCCACTCCCAATTCATAGTACAACTCCTTATGCTTGACCGACTCAAGCTGGTGCTGCCGCAAAGCATTGGGGGTCCCAAAAGGTTTCATGCACACATAGCACACGACCCTACTCTCTCCGTTCCCCTCTGCCTCCGTGCAGCGCTCCAAGACCCTCTTGTGCTTCTTTCCCCTCCTGTGGCTTTCCAACGCGTTCTTGTGAAAGACTGGCCCGCAGAGCGGACACATAACAAGCGGGTCTTCCTTTCGCATAAGCGACAGAAGGGTTTTCTTCTCAGTGATTGGAGGGTTGGCTGCCTGGTTAAGAGAACCTTCCCTTGAGACTTCTTGTCTGACAAACTCTCCGTTCTGCACCCGTATGCTGCCGCCATCCTTCTTGAACAGTTTTCCTTCCCCCACTCTGGCCTTTGGGAAGACAGACATACCGAGGCTGCTTTCTGCGGCACCCCATATCCCGACCATGTTCTGTCTCGGGGAAGGCCTGTCTGGAAGTAGGCGTCCCTTGCCGCTGCTATCAAATACCGTCAAACGGTTACCCGCTGGAAGTTTTTGAGACTGAGAGCCTGGCAATGCAAGCACACTTGAACCACTGGCATCCGGTTTGGTTGATTCCCTCCCCCACATGAAGTGCCCCTTGAACACTTTCTTGGCATTTTGGAACGAAGAAGGTTTCCTTGCTGGCTACTGCAAGACTTCGATGCACTAGGAAGCGGGCAGTGATACAGCTGTCAAATAGCAGCATTACATATCCTGCCCCTTGAGTGCCTTGCCTGATTGCTTTTGGAGTGTTGCTCGCAGGCTATCACTGTCAGGCGCTTTAGCCGGCGCTGTCTCAAATCGACCAATGCAGACGTGCTAGGCAGGGCAAACGAAGCCTTCAAGCTGAGCTTGCTTACGTACACAAGATGACGCATCCTCAGGTTGACAATGGCGCATGTTAGAGAGAACCAAGTAGTTGATGTCAAGCTGCTGCGCTGCTGACACTGACAGTGGTGCCTGACGGGGAGGCTGAGCACCTCTCTTGCATGTTTGTTCGTTTTGGGGGGGCTAGCTGGCTAACCACCGGTAGCTCAAAGTTGGTTCGAGAAGTAATACATACCTACCCGCCGGCTTCCCCCAGGTTGACGGTGATGTGGACAGATCAGTCGGAGCTTGACGTTCCTACCCACCCCCGGAAAGGTGCCGGAAAGCGCCTATGTTAAGTTTCGATCTCCGCGGTGCTCGCGCGCGCGCCCACTGACACTTTTCAAGTGGCAGGACCAGAATCACCAGAAGGGAACGTGAAGGGAACATTGAGAACCTGGTCTGGACGCTATCGACATTCGCAGCTCGTCAAGCTCCACTTTGATCTGAGAACCTTAGCCCTTCGAATGAAGAAGACGCCACCTCTGACGTCCAACATCGTTGGTGCTCAGGCTGCCCATGTCTCCAGCAGGCAGCTTTTGGCCTATTAGCCTACGAATGCAGCCCTTCACAAGCAAGCTGCCATTACTGAACGCTCCACTTTGTACATCAACTCGTCAGAGTCGGCAGCGGAGGGACAGATTCCATCCAAATCTGTCAGGCGAAGCGCACAATTCTGAGATGGCCGAAACGCTGTCACAGCCGTCCGATCTTCACCTAATGAAGCCAGTCTGAAAGTGCATTTGGGCGTTAGGTGTTAGCGACCAGGACCAGACTCGTAAGCTTGACCCCCGCTCTTGGGCTGGAAAGAGCAGATCGGAGCCGTCAATCTGTTGACGTTGACAAGATGGACGATAGTGACAGCCTCGCCGCTTGTCCCTCAGCCATTTGGAAATTGTGCATTCCGCCTGCTGTGGTTTGATTAAGTTGATGGTCCGTCCACCCACGAACCCAGTGGTATATATGCACCTACTATATATGTAATTCTGCACAATATTGTACTGCATGCCGTACCATTGCAACCCACGAACGAGTGATGATCCGGACCTGATCAAACTCATTGAAGCTCAGGAGCTGTTGGAGCTGGCCCGCTCAAGGAGCCGGAAGAAGTTTATGATACGCCGCAGAATCGGCCCACATTGATGCTCTTAACAAATCAGCAATTACTCTTGGTCCAGACTGCGCCTTCCTAGTGAGCGAACCTAGACGGGACCTAGACTGTTTTTGGGCCATCGAAAAGGGACCTAAGGTCAGATTGATTCAAGCCAGTAGGTCTAATTTGACGATCGAGACGATCTTGCGATGCAGCTTCACGTCTTTCGTTATCTCTTCGCGCGCAGTGGAAGGAAAAGTTGAACGAGCTCCCGGCCCGACCGTCGAGTGAACCAGCTGAACTAGTACGTCTTAGGCGAGCAACAGTCCGTCTCTTTAACGACTCTGAAAACGTTCTGTTGTCTTTCGAGCGTCTTTTAAGCGAGAATCAAGCGAGCAAGTTATAGTCGAACGAGGATTTAAAACGTCGTGAATTGAAGCGGCCGGCATGTAACATAAGCACAATTTCGTACTCAAGTCTCTTTAGTTCCGCTATGTATAGCAGAGCCAGCCGGGAGCCAGCCTTTAAAGACTGTACAGAAAACACGAGGTCCGAGCCCTCGAGCCAGCTCGTTCAAGAGCTTGTCGTACAGAGCCAGACACCGGACCTAAAGCGAAGATGGGCAGAACGGCAGATCGGCAGAAAGGCTGCCGATTGAAAGAGCAGAAGACGTCCAAGAGTCTCGACTGCTCTCGAGGAGAAGGGAAAAGTCTGGGCGAGGAGAAGATTGAGAGTAAGCGTTGCATTCTTGGCCCGCTTGTCACGCTCGTTTGACACCCCCGGGCTCCCTCTCCGTTTGTCCCACTTTTGGCTTCAGCCATCTGTTCACGGCCCCGTCTGTCCGAATTGCTCGAGTCAAATTGGGTCGGAAAGCACCAAAGAAACCAGAGAAGCCCCGGATCAGAACGATTTTATATTTCTTTCGACTCTGAACACCCAATTACTCGACTTCCACTTCGTTTGGTCCAACACGCAACCCAATCATGCCTCGTTTTGAGGAACCTTAGATTACACCGTCTGATGCTGTAGCAAAATCAAAGACTTCAAGCAGAAATCGAACTGATGCGCCAGATAGTAGGAATGAGTCGAAAAGGTGCGAGAAGCCGCCGCCAAAGCCGAATGCCAACGATGAGATTGGTGGTAGAGTACACGATTACCCAGACACTACTCTTCAATCCAAATTCCAAGGATCGATTAGAAAGCTTGCACGAGGACAAACGATCAGAGCGCTCGTTCAATTTCTGATAGAAGTTGAACAGGACGAGTCGGTTAATTCATTGCATCGACCGCTGCCCAACATTGCAACAGAGGCCAAACGACGTGACTGCAGTGACGTCTATGCGACGTCGACCAGACGTCGATTTAAGAGCAGAGCGCATCAATCATAATTGGAAGCCTGCTTGCTACCCCTCCTGCTGAATGTTCTTCCCTCACTGTGGCCACTTCGTTGGAGACGTGATAAGGTGCTTCGTCTTTCTGGGACCGCATCGTTTACCTGACAAGTTCGCCCGTTCCTTAAAATGGGCGTAGGCCATGCATGGACACCCCAAGGCCATCTACGGTAGTATGGGCCTTTTTGGGGCGAACTTGCAATCTGGTCCGTTCAAAAAAGACTCAGATGCACGAAGTGTGCATTTCCGGACCTTTGTAATCGGACGCCCACTTTAAGAAACGGCTCAAATGCAACCGGATTAACCAAGGAACATCACGAGCCTTTGCTTACCAGAGATATATCCAGTCGAAGATGCTTGCTTCGAAGGAGGGATAAAACTTTCTGATTGGGCGCGCGATGGGGCAGTCGCGAAGTACATCAACGAGAACAACTACGGATGGCCGGGGGCTTCAGAGATTTGCTGACAGGGTTTGGGCCTGATCGAGCATATTCGCAGCGAGTAGGGCGCGGAGGGAGCCAAAAGATAAGTCCGCCGATGATTGTTGAGAAGCACGGTTGGGTCGCTTCAGCAGACACGACGGATTAGGATTAGAAGAAGTGAGCCGTAAGGGACATCAGCAGTGGGGAGCTTGTTCCAAGCAACATAAGTTAAGCTAGATGAGAACCCGGAACCGGCGGAACCGGAAGAGAAAGGATTAAGGAGACGAAGACGTACTTAAGTTAATCAGCACAGCGCCCACTTTGCTTCTGATCACCGGACGAACTTTGAAGCAGTCCAAATTTGGCACAATATGAAAAGCTGACGTCACGTTTTAACTTTTCATGTAGGCTTGCCTCAGCAAGTCCCACTGAATGACAGAACAGTGAACGGGCTTCCGCGCGCTGCCAGCCCACTCGACACCAGCCCGCCTGCACGACTCGGAAGCAATGTAAGATGCTGATTGCGTGGCGCTTCCTGCTGTCTCAGTCCTCTCCCCTTTGTGACACCAGCTACATAGCCTTTGTTAGGAATACTGGAGTCGACTTGCCTGCCATATGACCTCGCGTCCGGCTGCGGATCTCCAAGCAGTAGGAAAGGTCGACTTGGTTCGAATTGCTCCGAGAATTCGAAATTGGAAGAGAGTTTTGACACTGAGTACGTGATTTACTTTACAGCAAAGTCGACTGTCGTTTCTTAATTGAACATAAGTTGGACATCCTGTCTCCCTAAGGGAAAAACGTGAACGAAGCCTAACGCTCTAAAGCAGCAGTCAAGCAGCGCCAGAGCCTAAAACTTATCGAAACTGAGCGTATGAAATGTACTCTGACTCGGCTTGAGAGGGGAGCTAGAATAGGGGGACAGTGGCGTCGTGTCTAGCACGCAAGCTCCTCGTGCGGCGGCAGCCCGTTGCTTGGCGCAGTTAGTTCGGCAATTGGATACTGCGTGGCAGGCTTCGTGCGCGTCATCGAGGGGAGCCTGCAGACTTGCTCTTCTTAACTTAACGACTCGACAGGGCTCAGCAGTGTGGCGAGAGCCCCTAGCTCACCCAAAAGGCCCACGAGTCAGCACCGCTCGTCTTGAGGAGTCTTTTCATTATGATGCGCCCCATGCCTTTGATGCGCACGGGTTTTTCAGAGAAGTGTCCATGATGCATTTCATGGACGTTGATTATTCTGCCACACGTATATGTATTGGACGACACGTTGCTCCTCTGTTTTCAAATCGTCAAAGGGTTCTAGTACTTTTTTGGACAGAAGATCAGGTGCATGCCGGCGCGCGGATTGACAAACATCCTTTACGACCTTACGCTTGCACACGCCTGTGGCGGCAGGCCGGAATCACTGACCATATCAAAAAAATCATTTGTCATGTAGGCTCTAACAGGGGCCCTGTGCACGGCCGTACGTCAATGGCACGACATGTTGCAGATCATGTCTGCATTCAGATTATTGACGAGCGAGCTGATTATGGCCACTTGATCGATTGCAGTACAACTATGATAAATCACAATCATTCGCAATAAAGCTCAAAGTATAGTACAAAGAGGATTGATTGATTGATAATCCTGGTTATCATGATGCAAGAAGCCATAATGGTAATGCCGAGCCTCGGAGCTCAGTAGCTATCATCTCTGACCGTCCAAAAATTCATTTCATACATACATTCACTTCTTGCATGGTAAGGAGCGCCAGGCAATCATCTTTAATCGATCATGATTCAAAGTCCTAAGTTACTAATATAACACATGTGCAATGACATGCAATCGTTCATTATCTGTTGGTGGACTCAAGATTGCTTTATGGTGACCCGCCGTAATGTTAAACACAGTCAGTGAGCTCACAGGTTGAAGACTTACCAATCCCTGCTTAACTGTTCTTGTTTGTCAAAGTTCCAAGCCAACGCGCAACCGTGGTTCCGTCGATGAGAAATCCACCTCCCCCATTTGTAGATTTAAGCCTGGTTGACGGGAACCCATATTCTAGCAACAACTTCTGCACTGCCATCCGCAACCCACCAGACAATTGTTGTCGATGCCCCTTCCCAGTGATGACTATCAGTCCCTTACTTACAGGCACATAAGTATGCTTCTTGCTCTTTGCTACAAGTTTTCTTAGTGCCAACAAGACCGTTGCTAGGCCCACGTTGATCATTAAACAATGCAAGTCTAGCGAAATGAAAGCGTTGTCCTCTCTTGTGACTGCTTGGAGTAAGTTGGTGTCTTTTTTGACCCTGCCTAGCAGGCGGACAGAGTCCTCTCGCCTTCCTAGTGCCCAGAAGCAATTGCTCAGAAATTGGATGAGCTCCAGGGCTGCAACTGGATCTGTTGCTTGGTATTCCAAAAACACTCCAAAGAAAGCGGCCCATGATTCACTGCACGGATTGCAGAGCAATTGGTTGCATGTATCTGCTAGACTGCTCCCACAGAACCTTAGGGCTTGGCATAAGATATCGATGCCCTCTTTGGTGGGATGCTCTGATAAGATTTCTAAGAGGAAGGGTACAAGGTGCAACCGATGAGGCTCACCCCGTCTGGAATCTAGAGTGAAGAGAGTATGATATCTCTGACATAGAGAAAGAATAACTTCTAGCTTCTTTTGAGAGGAGCAAATCCTGATTTGTGCTGCGACAACAAAGGAGTCCAACCGATTGCCACCTTCTAACTCTCTAAACAACTCTTCAGCCTCCTCATTATGACCAGCAGCAGCAATGGTAGTAAGAATCATCCCCAGACTGCTGCCCTCAAATCTAATTCCTTCCAAGGCTGCACGCTTGAAAAGGTGCATTGCTTGGACAAAATCCCCTCTGTACCTGTAGGGCCTGGTTAAGGAGGCAAATGTTCTATAACCAACTTCGTCGCCCAAAGCTTTCATCTCCTCAAAAGCCATCAGTGCAGCGCTTATGTCTTCCTTTCTAGTTGCTGTGTAACAATCGAGGACCGCTGCGCAGATTGTGTCGCTTGGAACAAGGCCTCGGTTACGGATTGCAACTTGAATCTCCTTAGCAAGCTTGATAGTCTCCGCGGGGTTTGCAAAGCTGCACACCTTGCTTAAAACTATTAGCAAAGTGCTCCCAATTGGAAGATCCATGGGTACGCCATAATCGTGCATACCCTGAAGTATGGCCTGCACATGGAGCGGCCCTTTGCTTCGTGGCGTAACAAAATTTGCGGAATGAGACCCTGCGTAGCACTCCTTTAGCACTTTAGCAAGCACTGCAAAAATCCCGCTGTCGGGCTGAACGGAGCGGCCGGATACCATCTGCTTGTAGATATCCAGAGCCTCAGAGACCCGGAACTCCCGCCGACAAGCCTCGAGCAGCGGGGTATATGTGACGGCATTTGGGCTGTATCCCTTCTCCCAAAGCTCCTCTACAAGAGCCACAAGCTCCTCGAGCTTCATTGAGCTTCCTATGTCATGTAACGCTGCTGTCCACAGTTTTATATGTGGCCGGTGCCCATTGGCCTCCAATTGCTCAAGAAAGCGCCACCTTTGCTCAACCGGCAAACTCCTTAAATGAACCATTCGCTGATGTCTGCTCATTGTTTGCCAAAACTTCACCTCTGCTACCGGCGGAGGCGCCGGCATTCCACTTTGCATGCTCCCAACCCCAGTATGGAGCGTCCTCTCAAGGCTGCCTCCATGTGGCAGGCCCGCACCAACACGCGGTGATCCACCATCTAATGGCCATAACCTGCAGACCCCCTCAGAACTGGTATTTGCCGAGACAGCAAACCCCCTGCCCCCCAAGCCAGATGCACTTGTTGCTGAAAGTGGGGAGCAGCTTACAGTGGAGCTTTGCAATGCGCGTAGGGGGCTGCATATTGCAAGCCCAGGCACACGCTGAGGAAGGAGATGGCAGACCGCAGCAGCGAGCCTGCTGAGGATCCGCAAGGCGCTCATGACGAACGATTAATAAGGCCACCCCTATTGAACTTGCTTCTTCTATTGCACAGATTCCGCCACAAGTGCCAGGGACGGTTCGTCTTCCTTCTTCCTCCTTGAATGTGATGAACTGAACAATGTTCAAAGCAATTAAGGGTTCGTCCTTCTTCCTTCTTTTCTTTCATCAAATTCCAGGTTTCCACGCTAACCGAAGCGACTTCTGATGGCGGGCGTCAACAAAGCTTCACAACCGGCAAACGCGGGTAGTCGCATCAGATTTTGGAAAGCTCTCAGTAATCACGGACGGTCGAGTGACGGTCTTTCTTGATAAGAATGCGGTTTTGCAGACCAAGCTGGGTTACGATCGAAGCTGGCATGACTGAAAGTGCTTCCGAGCTGCCAGCTTGCTCATGCAGAGTCAAAGTCAGTTGCTGTGCAGGCCAATGGCAAAAGTTTGATCTCGAGAGCACATTTTCACAGAGCGCAAGATCCATTATCTGTTCCGTCAACTTCCTTGAGGGTTGCCAGCTTTTGCTGCCTTCTCTTTTCTGCTGCAAGCCTAGCAGACTCTCAGGACAAATTCCTGTTTTTGCTATTCTTCAAACGGAACAGCGATGGCAGGCATACAATCAGATCCCTCTGCAGTCGATACGAGAAGCAGTGCTTCCAAATTTGACCCTCAGAACGATTTTGTGAACGTCACGTCAGAGGCCCTGAGCTTGGACGCAGCATACAAGGCAGTGCACAGTACAGCGGCGGGGGCAATCACCACATTCAGTGGGATCACGCGGGACAACTTCGATGGGAAAAAGGCAAGTCTCTCCTGACCAAGTTTCACTTTCAGCAGTCATGATCCGTTGGATTGGAGTTACAGCATAAATCAGAATGGTGCTAAACGCATGTGGTGGTGTACTGGTGGTGTCTTCTGAATTCAGATACTCTTTGAGAAACCGACTCCCAGGACCCTATTGCTCTTTTTGACACTTTGATTGAGACTGTCTTAGTTAGACTGAGAGTGTCTCGGTTAGACAGTGTTTGCAAGTATCCCTGGGACCGGGGGTGACATTCAAGATGGTCCTTGGGCTTTCGCTTCTCTGGTGTGTGGAATTGTACGTCCAAATTGTCACTCCCTCTTTCATTGAGGATGGGCTGCAGTTTTGGGGAACTGAACGATTGATTTATTGAATGCTCAGAGGGGCCCCAGCAGGCAAAGTGTTCCTACAGCGCCTTGGCTCCAGATCGCAAAATCAAAATTGCAAATCGTATCCGCTGTATGCCTACATGCCCTTTACACTAGTGTGAGAACCACAGCCTTTTTTTGAAATATTTGCGAAGTCAGTCAGCAACAAAGGATGAGCCAAAGTACACTTGATCTCTGACAAGGCCCGGATACATGCTACACGGGCCATGATGTCAAAAAGGGCCTGATGTTGCTGACAGTCCCTTGTATCAGGTTAGGAGCGTTTCAGCAATCAAAGACCAATTGCTCCCTGACTGTGGTTACACGTCACTTTTTCCATCTTTCTGGACGCTTTCGAAGTGTCCTGAAACATATGATATCTTTTTCCATCATATGAAGAGCGCAAATTTAAACCTGGTATTACGTATTGGCGAGCGGCAGTGATGACTTGGATCTTCAAGACTGGAAAGAACTGGGTTTGCAACTGGTTAGAGCCTGGCTGAAGTCCAATCAAAATCTGAGACTCAGACAATTTTCGAAACCCGCTTTCTGGTCCCGTATGAAAGTAGGTGGATGGGAGACTTGGACTCTTGACTTGCTTGCCACCCTGCATAGTGTGCAGACAACAGCAATAATCTCGACATCCTGTTCATATGAGACGGACGATTGGACTGCGACGGCGCACCACTCACCGGAGGGTTGAGAAAACGGGTTGTATCGTAGTTGTTTACAGCTAACAGCTTGTCTACTCTCGACCACAGAGTTCCACTCGGCATAACCAGTATCCTTTACTTCTGAAGGAGCAGGTCTTGCACCCAGCGTGGCACTTGCTTTGAAACCCGGAAGCTCGTCAAACATATGCGACCCTGGTGTTCTATAGCAGCAAGGAACGAAACTGGAAGCTTCGAAGTCTTCTTCTGGTCAGCACTCCCCCTCCTAGACTTTGATTGAAAAGTTGGTGGGCAAAAGCTATCCCTACCCCTCTTGAAGTTCTCCGTCCTTACTTCTCGCCCTTGCCTTGCAATTACTCCCTACCAGCAGCAGAGAGCTGTAGCTGACGTTTCCACTTACCACATCCTTCTATTCTTATCAAGTCCGTTTCCTAAGTCAGCCGTCAATCCATCTGCCTTTTCCTGCGCCAAGGGATGCAGAAACTCACCAACTCTCTGTCGACTTCTATTTGTTCGTTCCTGATCATTTCATCATGTCTTCTGCCTTCTTCTGTTACAGGTAGTGCGACTAGAATATGAGGCGTATGCACCCATGGCAATCGCGAAGCTGAAAGACATCTGCAGTGAAATCCGCTCCAAGTGGGACGTCTGCAAAATTGCCATCTTCCATCGGGTAAGCGCACACACGGACGACTGGTTTTTTTCTTTTCCTCGAAGCCCGTGACTTTGCAAAACAGGGGGCTGTTTGTGTCAGCCAAGTGACGCACCTGTTGTCTCACCTGTTGTGTCACCACCATTCGTAGGGCACACGTTGTTGAGACCCTCAGGTTTTCCTGTGACAGACAAACGCAGTCGGTTTCTCAGCTGGCTGTTCTGCACTCAGACGATGGCTCTCTCCATTGTTTGCTTCTGACTTCTTTGCGTTGGTACGTCCGTGTATGTTTGAGAGAATCACCTTGGAAAGGCCGGCCGTGAAGGCCATACCGTCGGCCGAAGCTTACCCGAATTCAATCCCTCGATTGATCATGATCGCCAGTCTCTTCCGTCCTCTGCTCGCGAAACTTCCTCTAAGCTGTACCTTAAACGCCGCTTCTCTTCTTCAACCTATTTAGGCCGGCCTGCTAAATGGGCATATTATGAGAAGTCGGTATCACAAGCTTTTACGAGCAATCCTACTTTAAGAGAAAAGCTCATATACTGTGCTATCTCGGAAACCCTCCTTACCCATGACCGCTTGTGGTCTTTCTGCAGACGGGCGTCGTGGATGTCGGAGAGCCTAGCGTAATCATTGCCGTTTCCTCCGTACATAGAGCGTCGGGCCTAGAAGCAGCGAGGTTTGGCATAGACGAGTTGAAGGCAACGGTGCCCATCTGGAAAAAGGAGCTGTACGAAAGCGGGGATTTGTGGAAAGAGAACAGCGAATTCAAACCGAAAGCGGCGTCTGGTGATTGATGTTCTCCAACGGCATCTTTCTTGGCCCGGTCATGGCCTCAATACCGCCTGGTGTTATCGCTCGAAATCGCACGGAGAATCATATCCAGTGTGGATTGCGTGCTGCAATCGAAATCATGAGCACGGTCACGCGGCATGTGTTGAGCGCCAAATCTTAAAGAAGTCTTCCGCCCGCACGATTGCTTAAATGCGTCGAAGGTATGTTGTCCGAATCTACATACGTACATATATGTCGGTGTGGCGGCCGGCCGTTGTCAGGACATTTCCAGCCACCATGCCATGCCGGCCATAACACATCACTCACGCGTGACGCGCAGCGTCATGCATAGGAATCATTCGTCGACCCTGAGCCATCATGATTCATGATTTGGCCGCCGCCATGTATGTACGTGCAATTTACTAGCTCGGATGACTGAACATTGCCACATGTTCCTAAGTCCTAAGTTCGCGGCTTCTAGCTAGAACTGCACCAGCGAGTTATGGTATGCACGTGATGCATGGCGGCGCACTGAGCTAGAAGATTGCCAGCACATTATATGTGTAAAAGGCTAGTGCCATATGATTTTCTGAGCGATCATGCCTCTAGAGCATTGCCAGTTGGCAGCCCGGCGCGCGGGCGCCGGCCTCCAGATTGACCGACCGACCCGACGTAAGACGGTTTGGGCGAGGCGGTTGCAACAGGCCATAGTGGTCTCATGCCAGAGCCGCGCAACTATACCATCAGAACTAGAGCCATCCATGATTTAGAGCCTGTAGCTAACTGTCGTTTTATCAGCCGTTCATATACTTCAGAGCAGAAGTTGCCGATCCGAGGAGCCATCTGGTCCTCAAGAGATATCAATGCCAGCACATACCCAACTCTTGTTGATCGTAGCAAGCTCCTAAGCGTCATCTGAGCAGAAAGTAACGGGCTATCGGCTATTTGCCATTGACGAACCGCGCATCTATCTATCAACTCACGCTGTACACTTGTTTTCACATTGGCTGTGGACTATTACCAATCCGGTTCTGAAGCACGCGCAACCTAGTTGCATAAAAGTCAATGGTGACGAGCCAACTTCAACTTTCATCCGCCGAATTAATGGATTCAGCAAGCTGTGGTTCCTCCAACTGGTAAAGCGGCCCGTACTTGTCCCGCAAATATTGCAAAAAGCACTCCGGTCGCAGCTGAGACCCTGTCAGCTTTTCCATCAGGTGATCGCCGCTCTCGTACAGGGAGCCGACTTGGTGAATCTCGCTGTAGAGCCAGTCACGCAGCTGGGAGAACTGGCCGGCCGCGATGTCCTGCTCCAGGTCGGGAAGCTCCTTCTTGGCCTGCTCAAACATCTGCAGAAAACAAAAAGTCAGGTTTGAGAGTTTCGACGAATTCTGCCTTTGCGAACTCAATCGTTCCCCTGCAACATTAAGAGGACGCACATTTGAAGACAAGTTGACATTGCTTCGTCTGCGCAAGCGGAGCGAAGCGCGTAAAGCAGAAGTTCTCGGTCAGTGACTCTCTTGTCTTGCCGTTCTGCAGATCATTATGCGCTTATCCCTTCCGAATTGCTGAGTATCGAGTGACAAGTCCGTTATCATAATTGAAAGCGCCGTTTGAGTCCCTGTTCTTGCGGTCCAGTCCGTGTCCTTCTTGCTTCGGACCGCTTTCCGAGATTCTCGACCGGCTAGAGCGCGGAGTTCAAAATTTCCATTTTCCGCAGTCTTTGTTCTCACCAGAGTCAGATCGACTGACTTTTGAACCACGGAATTCTCCTGCAGGCTGTAGATATTGCTTCTTTCACTTTCGTTCTTCTCTGGCCTCTCTTTTTCGTCCGCAAACACTTATCGGACGTACCTGGCATGCGTACATGGCCCCGAGCGAGTACGTGGGGAAGTAGCCGAACATGCCGGAGCTCCAGTGAACGTCTTGCAGGATGCCCCGGGCGTCGTCGGGGGGCGTACACCCCAGGTACTCCAGCATCTTCTCGTTCCACAACCGGGGCAGGTCGGCGACCTAGGAGGGTTAATTCGAAGTTTAGCTGAGTAAAAACAAGCTCCGATAGATTGCTCCTACTATTGATGTTAACTACTTATGTTAAATGGTTAACGATATTGATAATCGTTTGAAAACAATGGGTTTGGTACGGTTCAAGTGTCTCTTTCAAACGAAGAGCAATACATTTCCTGATTTCGGAAGCAAAAACTCGACGTCTCGATCATTGTTTCCCTCCTCTGCGGACTTTCAACATGAGCATCGAGAGTCGACGTGTTAAGAAGCGCAAGACTCGAGGTGCATAGTACCGGGGATATCGAGGCGGCGAGAGAAGATACTGGCAGGAAGAGCGCAGGGAAGGATTGAAGCGAAGTAAAGATAGTTTTCAGCAAGTTGTGTTCAGCAGATAGTGAAAAGGGACAAGAAGAGACAAGAAAGAATCTGGAAGTGATCTTCGGGGTGCATAAGTCAGAGCCGCCGGCGTTGCCCGTTGATCATGAGTCTGCTTCTAGATACGAGTCGCCACAAATCAAGGAGATGCCAACTAAGAGCAAGACACAGAAGGAAAATCAGAAAATTCCTTGGCAGTCCCATCCTCATGGGCTGGCTCGTTTCAAGGTGAAAGCCCCTCAGTTCGTCATTCAATGAGTTTAGATCCCGAAAGTCCGGGAGAGAGCGGATGTTCATCAAGAAGTGCAGGAGGAACGGCGAAGGCACGAAACTCGGCCAGATTGCAGCATCCCGTCGGTAAAGTTCCTTTCTGACTCGTGTCTCTCAGAGCTGGTGGAGCTTACTGAAGCATTTGCAACCAGAATCAAGCAATGGAACCAAAAGCATCTGGGTGTCGCGATGCTCGGAAGGACGACGTCTCTTCGGCTTCGTATCTGTTCAAGCAAACACAAGCAGACCTGAAAAGCTGTATAGGAATCTCTATCACTGATATACACATCCAGCAGTTTCAAAAAGCATGAAATACATATGGCCGGCCCACACCTGTATGGTCCCGTTGATGAGATCCCGCTCCAGCTCGTACCGCAGGACCACGTGCATGGGGTACGTCACCTCGTCGCTCTCGGTACGCACCAGGCTGGGGTCGTGCACCATGTTCATGGCCCGGTAGAGGTCCCCGGCCGTTGCGGTCGCCGGAAACTCGGGGAAGTGCTCCTTGATGACGGGGAGAAGATAGTGGCAGAAGGGAAGGCCGCCGGCGACCATGCGTTCCCAAAGAAGGGATTGGCTCTCGTGGACGCCGGTGCTTAGCGGCTCGCTCACGGGGAGGCCCTCGTACTCCATATTCCGGCCCTGGGAAGAAAAGTTAGTCCGTTATTACAAGGTACAGTGTTAATCGCTCCCACTCATTCATTGTATGAGGGGGAACGGAGGTTTGACGGAAAAGGGGGATCGAATGAGAACATTTAGAAGAAGCAAAGAGCACGAAAAGGTGACGACCGCTCGCCTGGCTGAAAAGCCGAACAAACCGGCCCACGAAGTGAATGGGTCCGGCTTTGGACGCGAACGCGCTCGAAAAGGCCTTCCTAAATTGATCTTTCATTGGACTCGCCTTCCTCAAAACGCTGTTGATGCTGGTAGAAAATGTTCTGCAAAGAAAGTCGCAAACGAGCCACCGAACGGGTTTGCATATGAGAGTCCCGCTGATGCAGTCAAGAGTACGAGTCCGCACACCCGACGCTCCACAGGAGTAACGGGTGCTGTACACGAGACAGAAAGGAAGACGAGGAAGGCTTACCTGCTCGTACAGTGCGTGCCCCGTCTCATGGATGGCCCCTTGCAGCCCTTCCATGAGGCAGCCTTCCTTGAAGCGGGTGGTCATGCGGACGTCCGTGGGGTGGGTCTCGCCGGTGAAGGGGTGCGCGGACACGTCCAGCCGGCCCTGCGGATGCAGGGAAGCGGTTTCGGGGGGGTTTAAGAGTTCCATCATAGAACTACTGTGGAACTCGATCGGAAGCGGGTTAGGGGGGCTTAAGAGTTCCATCACAAAGATTGTGAAGCTTGAGTTGGAAGCGAGCGCTGTTTTGTTTGGCAAGGGCTGCTCAACGTTATGAGCGCTCTCTCCTTTCCAGAGCGACAAAGCTGACAGGATACTGGAGTCTTTAGCTCGTGAAAGGGAGCTGACAGATTTCAGTAAGAGCTTAACAGGAATCACTCTACGAACGAAACAGCTGCACACAAGAGGGGTTTGATGTTGATTGAGGCGATTTTGTGTAGATTTGTCCTTTTGAGCCCTACGTACGCTGATCTCTACGCTTCATTAACGAGTTGCTCAGAGTTTTTGGAGTGCCAAAGCTGAACGAGGCGCGAATCCAGGGCAACTTTGAAGATAGCATCACTTCGTCGGGTATATTTCCGCTGACCTGGTCCAGCATGAACCCCAGGTCCGTGCATATGCGCAGGCACAGCTTGGCCTGTTCATCCGGGTTGTAGCTCCCCTTAATCCAGTCATTGCTAGGAGGCACCCCACGTGCCCTGATCGAGCTCAGCAGAGGGAGTAGGCCCTTCTTCACCTGCAGGCAAATGCTGATAGCTTGAGCTAGAGCTTGCGTCAGACTCATGTCACAATGCAAGACGGCACAGCGGTCGCACCTCTGCTGCTGGATGGATGACATCGCCTTGAGATGCTTCATAGACAAGCAGAAGAGGAGAAATATATTGGAGCTATCTTTACAACTGCATGAGCCTGCCATAGAAGCGATATACACCCAATCCTGCTCCAATAAAATGTGATCATGTCTTCTCGTTTGAGAAGATTTACAGTGACATTCGAGAGAAGCGAAACCTTGATTGCACCACACACTGAAACGTTAGTTAGACCATCAGTTTCGCAGGACTGGGTCGTTCCCTTTTGAAAGCAAATAATGGTGGCGAATAGAAGAGACTTGACTCGAGCAGACATTCTCACCTCTGAGAAGACCTCGTCCAGTCTTTGGCTCGTCATCCCCCGCTCAAACTCGTCTAGGCAGATGTCGTAGGGCGTTTGTGAGGAGTCAATGAGTTGACACTTCTCCTGTGTGAGCGCGACCCACTCCTCCAGTATTGGAGCAAGAACACTGAAGTCGTTTGCCTCTCTAGCTTTCAACCAAGCCTGGAACCTGCACTTCCAAGATCAGACCCAGTTCAGTTCCTCAGCTTAATTCACAAATCTGGTCTGGCAAAAATACAACTGACTCCGGAATTTCTGACAAATGAAGTTCACATGGAAGCGCCTCAGACGTGCACAGATTGGTGAACTTGAAGAGTAGTTTTCATAATGGACGAAGATGAAGATGCTGCTTCTGCCTGTACAAATGAAAACTTGCGTGATGGAGTAAGAAAATTTTGGTCGGTTTCTGAAGGGTTTCCATCGCTCAGTACTTTAAGTAACTCGTGACACTTACAGCATTTTCAGGGCATGCTTCCCGGTTGCGATCGATAGATAGGGTCTATTTAGATACTAAATTTTAGCTAAACTTTAGCTATTGCTTTGACGTCATCGAACATCTTTCCGCAGTAGCAGCCGCCGAAGTAGAACAGGGGTGATCATCGAGCCGTAGAACCACTGGACAGGTTCCATCTGACGCGCTAGATTCTTCCACGTGTCAAAGTCACTCTCTTAGATGACGTCAATTAATCTGGTGATGTGACTAAACTTACACTAAACTTAGCCTAAGTTTAGGCTAAATACACCCTATCTATCGAACGCAACTGGGAAGCATGCCCTGAAAATGCTGTACTCTGTAACAGACTGGTGTTGACAAGACTTGTAAAGAAAACGGACAAAATAATGTAAGATAATTGCCTGATGCAGACCTGGAAGCTGAACCGTAAAGGGGTCTGTTTTTAGGCTGTTTGTTGCCTTTGCAAGTAATGCCTCCAGAATGTGTATCGAGTAACTCAGAAAAGAATGTTATACAGAGACATGTCTTCTGCTGTCTAGTCACAAGTGAAAGACCGCCTTGTCACTTGAAAGAGAGGGTTGGAACCAACGCTACAGCTAATGACTGCCTTGCCTTTCTTTACAGCTCACAGAGCTGTCAGGCGTCCAGCAGCATTACAATTGAAAACGATTTTGCCATTGGGTATCCTCGACCGTAAGTGCTGGCTTGCTTACCCCTCTGACGCCAGCTCCGCGGACCGCTGTGCTATTCTCGCTGGGACAGCCGCCCTCTTCTGCTGCTTCTTCAAAGCGTCCCGCACGACCGCTCTCTCGAACGGTCCAATCTGGCAGCCATCGCAATCATCCTCCACCTCATGCCCAACGCAACCACCATTGATCATTGGCTGGAGCTTAAGAAGCAGCCGCTCAAGTAGAGGATCCGTCCACTTTGCATGAATCACCCCTGCTAGAGTGCTCCGCTGTGCAGCACGAGAGGCAGCTGCTCCTTCTGGCATCATAACCTGTTCATCCCAGTCAAGGAGCGCATTTATGCTCTCCAGATTGCTCAGCTCCTTGAGCCTGAGTGCCAACTCCTCATAGTCTGCAATTGTCCATCGGACCTGTCTGTAGCTAAAGCTGCTTCGTAGGCTGACAAGCTTCCTCTTGATTGAGCTGGCAAGGGTGCCCCCCGGAGACGAACTTGAGGTTGGAGTGCCCGGAGTCCTTGGAGTGCCTGATCCTCTGGGTGAGTTGCTCAGACTGCTGAGCTTGCTTCGAACCTGGTTGGGCACAATCTGATCCAGTCGAAAGGGCACTTTGATCACCATGCTTCTACTCGTGAGAGTGGTGCCAAGGACCCCGGAAGAAGCTCACGAATGCAGCCTCATATGGCAGCTTTACAGAAGCAAAAGCTCAAGCAATGTGTACCCAATGGTTCCCCAAAGTGCTGCAGGTGTTTTCGATCTTCCTAGTCACAAACGCCAGGATGCTGTACTTCAAATTGCTTTCGCAGCAGTGATTGAACGCAAGTTTAAACAGGAAGATCAAGCCGGCCTGAGATTCTCTTCTTATCCTTTTACGCAGATCTATTAATCAATACAAGGCCAAAAATGGACCAGATTCCCCTCTGCCTTTCTGCAAACGTATTGCTCGCCAAAGCAGAAAACACTTTCTGCTTGGTCTCTGCAGCAGAAGAACCGATCCAAGGATTTGCTTGTCCAAGCCTAAGGAGCTTGTTCCTTCCCTCACAATGATCAACAGTGAACTATCAGCTATGATCAGCTATGATTGTTCCCTTAGGATGAAGATGATGAAGAGATCTGCATTCACGACTTGGATGCTGGAGCAACTGTTTTTGACTCGGGGACTCCTCGTAATCCCTTTTATCGACGGCTATGAGAGCTTCCAAAAAAATGAGATCGTCTCGAGGCCGTTCATCTGTGAAGCAGCTAGAGATGATCGACGCTCAGAGTCAAAGTCACAACTTGAATGCCCATGCACTGACCCAACCTTACCCAATTGTTTTGCATGATGAGGTGCACCGCTTCTTCTAAGTTCTAGCTTGAGGTTGCGCCACTTGCGCCACGATGGCGGCTGCTGCCAGTCTCCTTGACCAGCTTCCTTCCTGCATTGTAGTTGACATTGTAGAACGAGTACGCGTGTGCAGCCCAGACGCGTTCCGTGCGCTGGAGCAGACCTGCAGTGAACTGCGCCAAATAGCCAGGAGTCTCAGTCGCTGCCTTAGCCTGCAAAGCGCCTGCAGCATCAGTGGATCTACCCTGGGGCCTGAGCCTGCAGCTCAGATAGTGCTGAGAGAGCTTGGGCTTCGGCCGCTCGTCAAACATGTGAAGGTTGGCTTTGACAAAGGGTTACGGAACAAGGCATACATGGTGGCACTACAGGCAGTCATCAAGGACTGGGAATGGACAGGCGCAACCATAACGTGGGAGCTGCGCTACCTGTTTGAGCCACCAGAGGACGTGTATCCATTGGCTTTTCTTGGGGCGGCATGTCTCAGGAGCTTGAAAAGCCTGAAGCTAGTCAATTGGCCGTGTTTGAGCTTGGACCTTCAGAAGATGCTGACCAGCTTCTCCCAGCTGCAGACACTGGTTGTTGCAGGACACTGTGGGGTCAGATATCCCACTTTCAGCTGCCAAACCCTGGTATATCTGTTTAACATGATCTCGCTGCCTTCCATTACTCACTTAGATGCAATCGACCTGGTACATGACGGTACACCAGCTAGATGGTTTGTGCTTCCAGACCAGCAATACCCCAACCTCCGCTTCCTTGCTTTTAATTGTCAAGATGTCGGGTTCCCAGAACTAGAGGCAACTGCTTTTGCAAATGCTCCAGAGCTCTTGGAAGTAGTCCACCTTTAAGTTAGCAGCTTGTCGGAAAAAAGATTGGTTGCCCACCTTTGTGGTTTGATTGCACGGTGCAGACGTTTAAAACATTTGAGGGTAGTGGAGCAGGAAAATGCCACCTGCTTCCTCCCAGCAGTCGCCCCAGAAGCATTAGAGAGCCTCCTGAAGTGTTCTACGCATCTTGATTATGTGCATTTGTCCTTAAGGTTGGTTGGTTCAACAGCAGACGTAGAGCTTGAGCTGGGGCAACTCAAGGGAACAGCTTGTTTGAAAAGTAGATATTTGTCCAATGCAAGCAATTAGTGAGCATGCTCTGGTAAAGTCTTTCTCCTTGGGTCAGACTTTTGGGACGTTGTTTGAGCCGCTGCCTTCTTTGAGCCGCCGCTAGATCTTTAAAAGATCAGTCCTGAACGTGTTTGACACAACCACTCATGGGTTGAACTTCAAGGCGGAAAGAGGAAGTCTTCTTGCGGAGGAACCTAAAAAATTGACTTGTACGTATTGAATAATGCAAAGAGCAAGCTCCTTTCATTGACGCCCAATTCCGAGGCCTGGTCAGGGTCTTGTGAGCAGTATATTGTCATGGTATGAGCTAGTGCCGGGCTCAGCCATTGTATGAAGCGCGTCACATGCACAAGGTAATTGCACATAGAGGGCGTATAGTCTGCACTATATGGCAGTTCCTAGATCGGACTCATATAAACGGATGGCCAATGATGTTGTCTAAAGTGGGGAAGAATATGAATGACCGAGAAGGCAGGCTGGCACTGCGTGACCATGTGGAGCTTGATCTTTATGCGCGACGTCTGAGTCTAATCTGCTTCTTATTGCAGCTATAACGCGTGGCACTTATTCAGTGAGCTTAGCCCCAGTGAGCCGGAGTCGTTCAATGTTGGCAACCGCGGATCTGGCATGTCTGCATCAGTCACTGCATGCACGTCCCAGCTAGACTGATTAATATCATATTGCTTAATCTACCGCCTGAGTGTGTACTGGACGTATATAGGCAAGTCGGACTCACCGACAGAGCTGTCATGACCGCGGCAGCTCGATCGATCCTTGCATATAAGCTCAGCGCTGGACGCATGAGCGGTCAACCCGCGCTAGACGGTACATATCTGCACTGATGCTCTGTGGCCGGGCACTCTCGATATAATCCATTATATGATAATGCTTTGTGATCAGACGGTAGAATCATGCATGCCAGGCGCGCGGCTGCACCCGTCACGATTGGAGACCTTGAAGCCATATAGAGTCGCAGGCCAGATTGAGTCGGTATAGCGGACTTTCGAAACAAAGTTGCATACGAGTTCAGGCCTTCAATCATGAGGGATCATCGGATGAGGGTACATACCATTTCAGGGTCGGACACGCAAACAGTACCAGAAATCCACGGTTGCATATATTATGCCCTGACCTCAAAAAGCTTCAGTGCACGAAGTCAAACGTGCAACATACGGAACAGGACTCGCAACCGGTGGATCAAAGCAGAGATACAACAGGAGATCGTACCACATGCACATCCGATGCACGGAATCTTTCGGATAGAAGTGCAGTGCGCCAGGCAAAAAATGCACCACTTGATCGAGGCCATTTTAAACGAGACTCACAGCGCCAGTTGTCCCAGCAGTCATCTTCCTGCCTAGTTCACTGAGCTGGCCGAGGAACTCCGTTGCCGTCAGCATTTCCGTGGCTCCGTACAAGATGTTCTTCTGCGGCTGCGACTTGCTGGCGAGCTCTTGCAAGCCCTGGTGCTCAAGGTAGTTCCCTCCCCCGACCATGAACACAATGGCCTCCTTGAACGGCCCCCGGTTCCGCACGGCCGCGTCAGCCCCGCCCCCTTTCGGGCCCCGTGGATCCAGAAACAAATACTGCTCCGTTTCGGACCCCGGCTTGGCCTCCATCAACCCTTCCACCGCTCGCGTCAGCGCCAGCTGTCGTCCGCTCGACAGCAAGTTCTTCACCCCAGCAGTGACCGCACTGATGCTCTGCCCGTACAGCTTATCCGCCCAGTCCAACAGATTCCCTTTGCTCCCGGCGTGCGCTGACGCCAGCTGTACATTCAACGACTTCAGCTTCCTCACGTAATGCAGCGGCGCTAAGTCCGCCCCCTGTGCGGTCAGCGCCGCCTCGACCGCCTCCAGATCCGCCGCCGGCGTCTGCTCCGTCGCCAACAAGAACATGATCGCCAACCGGACTTTGTCCTCCGGCCTGCCCTTCCCGTTGATCGCCCCGAGGAGCGCCGCCCGCTCCGCCGTCCCCTTAGCCACCATCTCTTCCTCCGCTAGGTAAAAGCCGTCGATCCCTCGGTCCCGGATCTCGTGCAGGAGCGCCGTCGCGATGTTGGTGTGCTTGTCGATGTTGCGCTTGCGTTCCGTCAGCTCCGGGAGAGACCCGACCGCCGCCATCAGGTGCTTCGTGTTGCCCTGCAGGTCCTCGTCTGTAATCTCCCCGACCTGTCATACGGAAAGCGAAGAGTAAGAAAGCACGTAATGGGTCTTTGAACCCTCTGTTGACTTCCTGGGTGACTCTGGAGTACAAGCGCAAATAGAGGGGAAAGACTCTCAGGTGCTTCCTCCGAGTTAATGCCAACACTTGCGGTATCCATGTAGGGTCCGCAGAGAGCGTTCAATTTAAGTGGACTCTTCCCGGAAACGAACAATAGTTTCCCTAGTCGGCCCCGCCAAGGACCCTCTGATTGCTCAAACCTTACGAACTTGGAGCACCTTCCGTTTTCTGCCCGTAATCCATCACTTTTACACTATGAATGCGAGCTCCTGCTTTGAAAGTCATATGCAGACAGTGTTCGCAACATCAGAACGGGACCAAAAGAACAACAGTCTGCAGAAGCCAGCAAACTGCATGAATCAGAGCCTCCGAACATGGACAATCAGAACAAATGGCCGTCTTGATCGTGCAATTGACATGCCCAGCATCCGACCTCACGGGCCAAACCTGCTGGGCTTTAAGTTGATATAGAAGGGAGACGATTGGGAAATGCTTGTGAGGTGAGGCGTTCCTGACCTGCTGCCCGCTCGTCCGCTTGTTCACCTCCTCAATATCCTTCTTATACTTCGCCAGCTGGACCTCCACCTCCTCTGCCACTTTCGGGAACGTCGCTCCCCCGTTCGCCACCCAAAAGGGATCCCCCTCGTCCAACTCGAACGACTTCTGCGGCTTCCGCCCAAGCGACGGCACCCCTCCGGCCGCCCCAGGTTCTGCGCTGACCACCACCCGGTTGAGCTTTAATCCCAGCACGTCGTGCACGAGCGGCCGGTACGTGAACACGTGTTGCACCGCGACTCCGAGCTCGAAGTTGCGATCGAAGAGACACAGGAGCGGTCGTTGGAAGCTGCTCGCCAGCTGGCTTGGCTCGGAGAAGAGGTTGTTGCGCGAGACGAGGTGGTCCCGCAACCGCGCGTCTAGCTGCGTGGCGACCATCTCGGCGGGGCCCCCCTGCGGACACCGGATGATCGGTACGACGCCGAGCGTTGCCAGCACGGAGAAGAGCCCACTCACAATGCCCTCGACTGCGGCTTCCACGTCCTTGTCCTGAGCGGTGGGGTCGTTCAGCTGGAGGTATACGAGCGGCTGCGCGAGGGAGAACATGGTGCTCTCGAGCGCCACGAACTCGAGGTACTGGTCGTAGACTTTGGCGATCCGGTGGAGCGACTCGGTTTTGATGCACGCCGACGCGAGCTCTTCCAGCAGGGGGCGGGGGAGGGAAGAGACGAAGTTGAGGTGCACGTTGTCGTACACCCCCCTGGCAAGATCCTGGCCGATCCGCTGGATGTTCTGGGGGATTGGTTGGACAAAATACACGGCCGGGGCGTCGGGGATGCTTTGCCGTTCCTGGTCGATCATGAGATGGAGTGTGATGCCGTGCTTGCGCAAGTCACTGACGCGCAGCAGGGGGGAGATGATGTCACGGCAGAAGCGGTCCAAGATGAGCACCTTGTAGACCTCTTCGTCGGCGGTGCCGCTTGCGCCGACTGCTGCATTCAGGTTCAGCATGCGCACGACAGCATCTGCAAAGAGGAGGGGAATTCACTCAGGAAAAGTGTTGAGTGCCGGAAGAAATGTGTCTGATCTCAAGATCACATATTGTATTCAAAAGGGGGGCAACTGCAGTGTTTGAATTCAGCATACGAACGACAGCGTCTGCAAGAAGGAGGGGGAACAATGAAGTGGAGAGGTTCACATGAAAGAAGATTTTGTGATATGAAAAATCACCGCTGAATGCAAGTAGGGGGAAGGAAGAAGAATGTTGCAGAAATATTCTGATGTCAACAAGCAGCTTCACTTGGATAATCTTAGGATGGTTCTCGCATGATGCGCAAAAAGCTTCTCGGAGAAGGATGCTCTAGCAGCGACAAGATGTAGCAGAGACACATGAGCGCTATCAGCTTTGCCCAAGTATCAATACAACCAAGTTGGACAACGCAGGGACCAGAGTGTTGCTTGCACAACTCTATTCTCATTTGTCTTTTGATCCATGATGTACCAGCTAATGATACGACATAATAGTAATCCATGCCGTTCAGAGCTGCCGCGACACAAAGAGACTTGACGAAGTCTGCAAAATGCTTGGCATAGCACTGATTCCTGAGCGGAATGCAGAAACCAGAGGTGCAGATTAGGGTTCCTGCTGACCACAAACTGCCCTTGATCGGGCAATCAATCCAATAATCAACACGATCACAAAAGCGCATTACCTACCAACTTCGATTCAAGAGTATCGGATATGCTTAGATCCGTGTTCTTCAGCAGATTGACTCTATCCATGGTCACTGTCCGTCAATGTATAGCTCAAGCTTATACTGGATCCAAAAGTCTGTTGCTCAAACAAAGCGAAGACCATCTCACTCAAATCCACTCAAATTCAATCCGGCCAGATTTCTACAAGACATCTGTAATTAATGTATCTATGAGCTCGGATCAAAGCGCCAGCAAGACAACTTGGAGGCTTGCAAAGTAACACCCTGCAATCATTCTCCAGAGAACAAAAACACTTGATGGGTGTCTAAGAGAGACAAAATACGAGGAATATAAAAGAGGCTTTCTCACCTATCTGCTTTATCTTGACATTGAGGAACATTTGCGACCCCAGCAGATGTGCCATGCTGCCCCCTGAGCCTACTCACAACCCTCAAGGAAGTAGGCGCACAATCTGAGCCGGCCTCTGCTTTCAGTGCAACACTAGTAGATGTAAGTGAGGAGGTCCTGCTGCTCTCAACCAGTTCATGAGCATCGTCAGCGCTTGCGTCAGACCGACGCAGACAGATCTGCGTTCAGACTTGCCCCGCCTTGCCTGCTACTCCAATCTAGACAAGGTTTTGGATGAAAGACCTTGCCTCCAAATCTGCATTCCCCCTAGATTGCGCCCTTATGGCAGCTCCAAAACCTGGGCTTGCATCTGCCTGCAGGCTGCAGCTCCCTAGCAAGCTCTGCTGGCACAGCTTACCGATCTGGTTCGATCAACGTGCTTGAAACAGGGGGGAGGCGAGATCAGCACATGGCAGTACGTGGTCTGCCCGCGGAATACCTTCAGACTGAAACTTGGGGAATTTCGAACTTCGGGGGGGTGTTTCGGAAACCGCTCTGCTCAGAGCTGAGAACTTTGGGGGGTCCCCTTCGAGCCTTGCCTGGGCAAAAACTTCAAATTTTATAAGCGCTCCTTTGTCTGGGCAAAACCCTGTGTAAGACGGCCATTCTTTGCGTGAGAGCTTGGCGACTTCAGGGGCCTGTTGGAGGTGCAAGAAGGAAAGTGGCACCGGCACTAGCACCAGCACCTTTAAGGATGCTCGTGCCCTATCTCTCGTTCGTGCGTGTTCCCCTCAGAAGGCCCTGAAGCGAACTTTGTGCCAGATACCGGTAGCACAAAAGAGGTCTTATGATGGCGGAGACACAGAGCAACCACTCCTACCTGGTGAAGACGGTCCTTAAGGGCACTGCAGTGCAGCATGCGGTGGCGGGGTCCTTCACTGGTCCGGGCGCCTCTGAAGTTGTTCTTGCAAAAGTAAGGCTCCTGCTTCTTTTCTATAATCATGCTTGACATGTTCTATCAGAAATTGAGCAGGCACAAAATGATGAAGCTTCTGTGTTGTGTTCAGGAGATGTCATGTGCTTGCTTGTGTGAACCAGCGCTTGCTGACAGGTTCAAAAAACAACTATGTGACAGTACGGATTGTCCCTGAGAGTTTAGATTCCTTATAAACAAGGCGTGCTTGCTGCATGCTGCAATCTGTGTCCTGTCCGATGCGCCAAATGACTTTTGCACAAACCTCTGCTGGAGAGGGCTGTTAGCCCCTCTTTGCCCATCCTCCGGCCCCTAAGCCAATCGTATTTGTCACTTGGTCAGAATACACAGAATGGTAGCATTCACTGCTGCACTTGAGTGTCAGGGAGGAGTTGTTTTTCCTGCCAGACGCTTGGTGGATTTCCTACTTTCTCTGAAATCATCCCTCCTTTGAAGCCCCAACTCGTGTGCTTCTTCAAGCTTGATGTCTTGATTCCCAGCTACAGCGATAAAGAGCCATCAGAGCTGGCATAGGTATCCCAGGATGATTCCCTGTCACAAAGCATTACAGTTTGACTCTTTACCCACTGCTGGGGATGTAGCTGACACAAGCGTATTGCAGCTTCTACTGCAGTTGAAGGTGGTCAGTATTCACTTTCTTTTCATTGAACAGAAGACCAGGAAGTGAAAGTGGTGACTTTGACAGACGGCCAGGGAATGAAGGTTTAAACCTGTCGCCCTGTGATTGGGGCACTGGCATTATGCGTTTGCCGAAGGACGTTGATCGGTTCTTATTGCAGAGGTGCCAACTATCTGCTGTTTAACCCTCCCTTACTAACAGACCTCCGCTGCACCCCTGGGGCTCATGAGCATCTACTTTGTGCATGGGGCCTACTTTTCTTCTGACTTTTTGGCCTCCCGACACAAAATCAACATGCACAACTTTTTCAAACCTTTGAGAATTTTGACAAAAGTCTAGATAAAGAATTCTTCTGGACTTCGAATTCCGGTTGCTGTCTGAATACTCCGACCCTTGCCGGGCCCTCAAGACTCTTCATCCAATCTCATACGACCACTGAAGCTCGTGACCCATGATCTGCGGTTTCTACCATTCACGGGGCTCCTTGAATGATCTTATCTGTAAATGGGGGGGGCGTTAGAAGTCCCCCTCTCACTCCTTTTACTGCTTTCAAAAGAATGAATCCTCCATTTGATAATTCCCAACCATCAACGACGTTTAGGGCGAGTCAACTAAGATCACATGGAAAGAACTGGAGCTTGCCCTTTCCGAGCGCCCGTTTTCTGGAACGCACAGAACTTGTCAACACCGCAGATTATTCCCAAAAGCTGGTCGTCTTCACGTTACAGGGGACCACTTTGGTTGTTGTCCCTGTTATCTCAACGCCCTGTTGTCAGGATTTCACCAACAGGTGGTTCAACCACCCCAAACTGACCCCAAACTCACAGTCTTTGCAACATTGCAGAGAAACATCTTTAGACCTTCTTTTCATAATCAGCAGCCTTTCATGAGGAATCTACAGACAACTTCTCAGCAACCCAGACCAACTCAAATCAACTGGTTTCTCCCACATTACAGGGGACCATTCTGGAGCTTGTCGTCCCTGCAGAAGACGGCTCCCTAGTCACATTGTGCGAGCAGTCCATCTTCGGAGCGATCCTCAACGCTCAGCTTCTGCCATGGAGTGATGCCTTCCACAGCGCCTTGCTGCCAGCCTCGCTGCTGGGGTGCGACCTTCTAGTTCTCCTGTCTGACTCGAGCGACCTCGCCTTCGTTGGGTTCGACAAGGATGCGCACCGGTGAGTGTCAAAACGTTTGGTGGTTCGCTGTTAGATCTGAGTAGGCGTGCATGCGGAGTTGCAAACGTCGTGAGGAAGGTCGCAAGAGACTCGATCGGAAATTTATTCTCGTCTTTGTCGTATTTGACGAGCCGCTGCGTGCTGACTATCCGAAATATGTGAATGCTCGATTGGCTGGTCATTGAAAGGTGAGAGTCAACAAGCGGTCCTTAACAATCTAATGACCTCACGCCTTTTCATCAGAAACACATTGTCTTTCTTGAAAAATATCGAAACACACGCCATGGTTTCGAGCTCTTTGACCAAGAAGACCATCATGCGTAGGATCCAATTGTATCAGCCTCAAGTTTCGGCATCCTATTTGCCCGAAAACTGCTCATCTCTTTCTCGAGGGACTCCAGCCGTGCCAAAGTGACGACTCGCATGTCGAAAGAGGTCCCATCTTCTACTCCAGCCGCTTGCTCTTGGCGGGGCCGCTAGTATTATGTGACCGCCTGTTCTCGTGCAGGTTCGTTAGCAGGGGAAGGCTGGACCTGCCGAACGACCAAGTCTCCGTCCGCAGCTCCCGCGCTGCCGCATTTGCTGCTCGTTCACACTTGACGCCATCCATTCCACTTTCTCAGATCAGTCACTTTGTGAAAAAGACCCTAATATCGTATGATTTGTTCGCTTTTTTTTCTTGCAGGTTCGTCAGCGTAGGAAGGTTGGACCTCCTAACCGAGGGCTTCTCCCGAATATCGCTCCCCATGCTGGGCAATACGGCTTCGTCCATACCTCACGCTTCTACCCAGAATCTCACACCTATCATACTTTTGGACATCAGTCAGTGATAGGAACAGCCTCTCATCTGCTTCCTTGCAGGTTTTCAGCCTGGGAAGGGTGGACCTCCAAAACCAAGGGTTCTCAAGGACGCGGCTCCCTGAGCTGCCGGCATTGCTCTTCTTCCACTTCCATTGCTGTCACCGTGACCCACTATCTCACGTCAGCCAGTAACTTGAAATAATCTCGGTAGATAGTTATTTAATATCTTAAACCTCAATAAACCGAACTCAAATAATTCAAATAACTCAAATTCCACCGCTCGCTTTCTTGCAGGTTTGTCAGCGTGGGAAGGGTGGACCTGCAAAACGAGGGGTTCTCCCGAACGCGGCTCCCGGCGCTACTCGCGGTGGATACCGCGGGCCGAGCGGTGGCCATCGCAGCGGCGGCGGAGCACCTGGCGCTGTTCCATGCGTCACCGATGGCCGGAGCGAAGATCATGGAAGGGGTGCGTCGTGTATACTGAAATTGTCTGGAGGCGTGAAGTTTTTTGTATAGGTTACTGCGGTTCTAGCTGCTTGATCTGAGATGAATGCTTAAGCCGTTTCCGCGGCGGCAGAGCACCTGGCGCTGTTCCACGCGTCGCCAATGGCCGGAGCGAGAATCGTGGAAGAGGTGGGTCCGGTAAATTCAAAACTGTCTATATGCGTGAACATTGTTTTGTCTACTTTAGCGCGATATGAGCGGCTCAATTAGCCGAAAAAGAAAGAAAAGAGTACCGTTGCTGCGGTGGCAGAGCATCTGGCGCTGTTCCACGCTTCGCCGATGGCGGGGGCAGCATTAACCAAAGGGGTGGGTCGTGTCCTGTCAGACCAAACACTGTTCGAGGGTGTTATGATTGTTCAGTAAGAAGTAAAGAAGTGCGACCAAAACGAACCGCTTTGCTGACCCCATCATTGCCGCTGGCGCAGGCACTTCCGAATGCTTCTCCGCCTGGCGTGGGCCATCAGAGCTGGGATGCGATCGTCAGCATGGCGTTCGTGCGGCCGTCCGCTGACGACACTGATAACGGGGTCCTCAAACTGGCCGTCATCGTTCGGAGGTGTGAAATCGGGCTGCTCCATCTGAAGTCAAGTATTTGAGCCGTAGCAATTACCTCTTCTAAAATGCACTCACAAGGTTGACAAGTTTTGCTAACGTCGTGAACGAGCCAATCGTGACAGTTTCTAAGTCATGCTGAAGTCGCTGGTGTAGGTCATTCGGCAGGAACGACACTCCCAGCCACCAAGTCCTGACCGCTCTGTTCGTTCCTGTTGCTGACGTCATCACACCTTCTGAACCGCAGGGACGCCACGAAGTCCTGATCCTTCTCAAACGAAAGCCAGACCTCGACGCTTAGATCGGTCTGTTTCGTCCTCGCTGCTGACATCATCAGGCCTTCTGAGTTGCCAAAACGGGTCTGTATGCTTTCACTGCTGACGTCATCGGATCTTGTGAAACGCAGGGACGACACCCCGGGCCACGAAGTCCTCATTCTTTTCCACGACACCCGCGACCGCAGCACGCACCTCTGGGCGCGACTCCCGCCCTCCGCCAACCTCTGCCCTTCCTCCGGCAACCTCCTCCCGCTGCTAGTTCTCGCGCCGCCCCACATGTCGGAAACGCTCCTCATTGGCCGGGCCGGCGACCTCATCGCACTGGATCTTAGTTTCGAGGGCCCGGTAGTGCGAGCTACATGGAATTTTGACAACGCTTTGGGGCGCAGCGAAGCACCGTATCGAGAACTCGAGTCGCTAGCGTTCGGTGCATTAGACCTGGCTTCCGACGCTCCGCGCGGGGCCGCGCTGCGGATCCGTTCGGAACGGAACGGAACGGAAGCCGGGTGGGAGCTTGACCTGCGGTCCCCGGACGCCGAAACAACTAGAGTGGCGAAACGGAGGGTCCGGGTGCGCCCGGGGGATCCCCCCGGGGAGGAGGAGGTGACGTTCGGCGACTGGAACGACGCAGACGCCGAGACGGCGGTCGCCCACGAGGGCACCAGCGTCGTGAAAGATGGGCCGTCGATCTGCGCGTGGGCCTGGCGATTCGACGGCTCAGGAAAGTCGGAAGCCCTAGTCCTCAGTTTCGCTGACGGGGGCCTGCAAACGCTGGAATTCACGAGGCGGCGTGGAGTGGACGGCCCGGATTGGAGGTTTGTGCCGGGGGGAAGCTGCGATGGTGACACGTGTCGGCCGTGCGGCGCGGTTGCGTGGCTTGGGGGGGATCTCGTGGGGGCGTTTGTAAGGGGGGGGGATGGGCACGTGATGACAGTGGGGCCGGATCGGGAGATGACGGCGGTTGCGGAGGTTGCAAATGCTGCGCCGATAGTAGACTTTCAGCTGGTAAGATTTAGGACGTCCTTTGTTCCAGACTTGTTTGGCAAAACGCCGTCAATGTTGGCCCGTGTAACGGTGGTTTGAATCTCTAGTTTGAATCTTTGTGGCTCAGAAAGGATGTAGTCAGTTGAGAGCACCTGTTCTTCTGACAGTCGACGTTACGAGTTCCGATGGCTTGCTGCGAGGGCTCTCTGGCCATCGCAAGACGTTCTCTTAAAAAGTCCTTGGATGGGAATTTTAAGATCTACCAAAGAGAGGACGGCTGTCTCAAAAGCGACTTCGACATCCATCCGCCGCGATCGCAGTTATCGCATACTGAGAAATATTTGCTCGAATTCGCCACAAACTTCGAACGCAAATAACAGCTTGTCTCGACTGCCCGCCGTAGATCGTTCAGTAACCCATCATTCTTCGCCTTCAGGCTGACCACTTCGACGAGAAGCAGGACCAGCTGTTTGCTTGCTGCGGAGACGGCCCCTCCGCCAGTCTACGCGTGATCCGGCCGGGCATAAGCGCCGAGCGCCTATTGAGCACCCCGCCCGCTTATAAGGGCGTCGCGGGCGTATGGGCCATGCGCATGTCGGCGAGCGACCCGCACCACTCCTTGCTCGTCATGTCCTTCGTCAGCGAGACGCGGGTGCTCTCTGTCGGGCTCAGCTTTGATGACGTCACGGTGAGCAGCTTTGGCTTTCCGTTTTTCGCGGTCAAGGCGCTGATTTTATCACCTACTGGCGTAGCTCTGGCTGTTTTCAAAATCCGAGCGAGGGACTTAAGTGGACGCCTTTCTTTGCCATCTGGCCTATGGAGGTGACGGGTTAGGCTTATCCTGAAGCCGGAACTCGGGTCTTTGCTTCTCTTGAAAGTCCCAGCTCCCCCCTTTGGGTGTGACTCAATTGAATCCAAACCGCGTAACTACATGCTCACGTGCCGTCTTGCACTTCACTCAATGAGACGTTCATGACCAGCCTGAGTGCGGAAGGTTTGGTCGTTTTGGACCGGAACCTTTCCAATTTCGGTCAGGCTGTCCGAACGCTTTCTTTTTCCGATGCAGGAGTCCGTTGGCTTCCAGCAGAATGCCAGCACGCTGGCCTGCGGCCTTATTATCGACTGCCACGTGGTCCAGATCTTCGCCCGGGGGGTCAATCTGTGCGCTCCGACAGGTGCAGCGCACCCGTCGGGGATCTACGCCGACCAACCGTACACTGCCACGTGGCGGCCTCCTGACGGGGCTTGCGTCAGCGTTGGGGCGGTGAGCACCGGACGGGTAGTCGTCGGGCTCTCCCGGCCGAGCGGGCTGGTCATGCTCGGGGTCGAGAAGCGGCCGTCCGATGGGGGACACGTGGCACTCGTCCAGCTGCAGAGCTGCTCCGTCGGCGCGGAGCTCTCTTGCATCTCGCTACAGGACGCTCCGCGCGCAGGTGACGTCAGCGCTTCGAAGGATGATGTCAGCGCCTCGCGAGATGACGTTACGGCAGGAGCGCAGTCGTCAGGAGAAGCATCGACGTCCGGCTTGGACTCAGGAAAAAGCGACGGAAAGGTTTTTGCAAAATTGCGCTTTGCTATGCAAGCGGGCTCCGTGTGCGTCTTGGGGACGTACCGCCCGTCGGTCGAGGTCCGTTCCGCCCTCCCCGGGGACGGATTCCGGCTGCTGGCGACCGTGTCCCTCACGGCCGGAACGGATTATCAGCAGAGGAACATCTTGTCCGGACTCGGGCTGAGCTCGGACGTCCGAAGCTCGGCGGTTCCAACCGCTGGCTGCGTCCCAGAAAGCGTTCTTCTGTCGTTCTTCGACCGGGGGTATCTACTGGTCGGGCTCAGGAATGGACTCCTGGCGCGGTACGAGTGGCCGACTGCCCGGTTGGAACCGGCACTGAGTGCTCGGGGCGGCGACTCGTTTGTGCCGGACGGCTTGGGGAGCTGTCCGGTAGACGACACAGAGACACCGGCAGGTGTCTCAAAAATGGAAACAAAAGCGTCGGAAGAGGGGCTCTTGAAAACAGTGAGCGGGTCGGAGAATGAAGATCTTACGGGCGGCCAGCAGGAACTCGGGACAAACGGATTCCGGACAGGCGAAAGGGCTTCCGCCGGATCCGGGGGGTCGGATCGAGATGACCAGGCGGCAAGCACGTCCAGCTGTCACGCTGAATTGCCACTCACACTTGAACAAGTCGGGGAGAGGCGCATTGGCAGTGCCCCGGTGTCTCTCATCCCGCTCGCAAACCCAGACCCCTTTGGACGTAGTCCAAAAAGCCTTCAACGAGATCCGGATAAGACTGCACGGAATCCGGACGCTATCGGGGTAAAGTCGGACGCCGCCGAACGGATTCAGTCTGCCGCCGACCGGTATGTGGACGCGGCCGAACGGGATGCGGACGCAACCCCGTGGATTCCGGACGCTGTGGGGCGGGATTTGGACGCTTTTGACGGCCACAGAAATGGTTTGGACGGGCAAGCGGCGTCCGTTTCCAGCGCATTCGCGGACGTTCTCGTCCTGAGCAATCAGCCGTGGCTCCTGCACCGGTCCCGACGTGGGCGCGGCCGCATGATGACGTCACTGCTGTCGCACCCTGCGTCGTCGCACGCGACAGGTGTCAGCTGCCGGGAGTGCCCTCGGGGAATCGTCTTCATGACGGACTGTTGCATGCATCTGGTGAGAAATTGGTTTTTCCTTCTTCGGTCTGATTTCAACTCTGCTGCTGCTGTTCGTAGGTTTGGACTCGGGCACCTGCATGCTCGTGAATGCTGAGTTGTGTATTTATTGCTCGCTGCGCTTGTTTTCCGCCTGCTGAACAGCACGGAGGTGCGAGGCACACAGCTGGAACTCGTTAACGGAGAATTCCGTTTGGTCCGATGAGACGACATTCCTTGGAACGACTCGGAGGCGACTTGCAAAGCTACTTTCAGAATAATAAAGACACGAGAAAGGCAATCGCCAACGTGGCATTATTCGTGCGTTGGCCTCTGATTCCCTTGATTAAACTTCCTTGCATAAGACCCTCGTACCGTTCAATTCAGCGGGCCTTGGCAGGACTTCTGGTTGTGCCTCTCAAGGATTCCTGAAGTTTTTCTCTGAGCGATTTGTTTCATATCTTCCCCAGGTCGAGTTAGACGCCAACCACAAGTCGGACGTCCGCACACTGTCCTGCCCGGGCGCCCCTCGGCGCCTTCTCTACCATCCGCCGTCCAAAACCCTCATCGGCGCCGGCACTACCCCGATCGAAAGCCCCGGGGACCCGCAGAGCTCAATAAGTGCGAACTGCCCGGTAGGAAGCCCCGGGCACTCAAGAAATGTCGTCCATTGCATAGATCCGGACAGTGGGGCGATTCTCTGTTCGGACCCTGCCTTCCCGCACCCGTCGGAACGCTGCGTCTCGCTCTCGTTATGGCCTTCCGGCGCGGAACAGTACATCGTCGTCGGGACTGCGCGGAAGTCCGGGGATCCGGCCGACGAAGGGCGGATTCTGGCCTCGCTGCTCGACCCGGAAGCGGAACCGGAGCTGCGGGGCGGTCTGTACATATACCGGCTCCGCTTTCCCGAGGGGGGATCGTCAAAGGGATCGACGACTACGGAAGAAGCGGCGTCGCTAGTAGAAGAAAAAGTGTACCAAAATGAGTCACATTGGTGGCTAGGTCCCGTCTCTGTGCGCAACATGCCGGGCCCGGTGCTTGCCACGTGTCAGCTCGCTATCAGTCCGTACGGACGGTCGTACCTGGCGGTCGCTGCGGGGTGCCACGTGTTCGTGTTTGGGATCACGGGCCGCGCCGGCAGCAATTCCGCTGTAGACGGGACGTCGCGGTTGAAGCTTATGGCAAAGGCGCGAACGAGGTGATCAACCAAGCTCGTGTTGTTCCTTCACAGGGCTTGTAGTTAAATCGATTGCTGTACTCAGCGCTCACGTGCACCGGAACAGTCTGCTTTGGGAGATGAGAAAGCCTTCAAACCCCTCATTGACATCGTTGATATTGGACGGCTTGTATGTGCACGTACAATGACCCCAGAAGCGTAACTCTGACTCAGGCAAGTATTCCAAGTGTCGCTTTCTCCCGCCCCTCCTTCCTTTTTCGTTGATGCTTATAACTTTGTGGCGAGACGACAGCAGCGTACTGGATCTATCTGGAGAAACTCCCACAGGAAATCCAGACAGCTTCGCCGGTTTCACTGGTTGCCCTTTCCCTCAGCTCCCGCTTCCGTAGATCAGTCCACTCTTTTCTCGAGAATCCGTTCTTTAGGTAATCATTGAAAACCGAGCTCAAAATCAATCTCGAAAACTCGACCATAAGATCTTCGATCGCCCCGCAGGTTCCCGGTGGTCGCCCTCTCCCCCGCCCCTTGCCCCTCCAAATCAGCCGACGCTTACCTCTTTGTGGGCGACTCCCGAGACGGCGTTCTTCTGTACCGTTTCTCCACGGGCTCGCTCGAGCTGGCGCTGGCCGACCCGGAAAGGCGCTCCCTGGCTGACGTCATTGCGGCCCCCGGTGACGTCAGATCCGCGGCGATTGGGGCGGACAGCGGCGGGGGCGTGGGGATGATGTCAGCGGAGGGGCGGCCGGTTGGGAGCAAGAGCCCGGAGAAGAACCTCGACGTCAAAGCTTGGTGAGGGGGTGTCAAACGCGAATCACTCTCAAAAGCTTGGGAGGTTTCGGAAAAGGGAATCCTTAGTCTGGTTTGGCGTCGGAGAGGACGTACTCAAGGGGATGAGAGTTGCAGAAACGAAGCCAGTGAAGCCCAAGCGAGGCACGCGGTTCCTAATCCGGCCGCGTCCCAACTGCTGGCGGGAGATCGGAGCTGAGATTGATCGAGCCTTACGGCATTCAAACTTCATCTCCCAAGAAACACAAGCGTATGCGAGAAAATTGGTGAAAGCCGGGGAAGACTTGTGACCGATCGCCATTCTGGGTCTTCAAAGCCTTTCAAAGCCTTTCAAAAGCAGTTTAACGGCGCACAGGCGAAAGCTACACGCCAATACAATCAAACACTTCCTTGGGACCCGTGAAGTATTCTTACTTCTGAGCCCACGGTGTCGTTGCCAGCGCTCAGATCGACGAACAAGATTTGCAGATTTGCCGAGAAGCAGGCTGCCCCCTAGAAATATTGAGCACCTTTCGGAACCCACTTTCTCTGGTACTCCCGTATCGAATGAAAGTCCCGTTTTGGTGCAGGAAATATTCTAATGACGCACCCACGCGAATGCGTGCCACCCACCAGCCGTCGTTTCCCAAGGTTCCGCCAGCTCATGGGTCCCGCTCTTCCGGAACCTTTTTTTTTTTGCGTTTTACCTTGTATTGAGCGGAAATCCCGTATTTGTGCAGGTTCAATCTCGGGGACCCACCCACCCGCTTACGTGCCGGTTCCGCTTTCACCCACCAGCCATCTTTCCCCAAACCCGCGACCCGCGAAGCCTCCCAACCCGTGGAAGAACACCAGTCCCCGGGCGACGCGCTGCCCCTCGGGAAGGCTGTTTTCGTCGCGACAGCTTCCGGGGGGGTCAGTTCGTTAGAGAAAGTCCACCCCCTGGAGTACCAGTTTCTGGAGCTGGTGCAGCAGAGCCTGGCGGCATTTCCGGCGACCGCGCCGCTCACGGGGAACGGCTACGCGGCGTTCCGGGCGAAGGGGTCCAAGGTGCGTCGATTCTGCGTTCTTCCTTGCTGGTCACCCGTTCTCGCTTTTCTCCCTGTTTTGGTGCCGTCTACCTGTTCCTTCGATTGCGTTTTGAGAACCTGTCGTGGTGCTGTTTTGCAATAGCTAGCAGATGCAGCAAACGGCATTGTCGAGGCATCACGAAAAAGGTCTCACCTCCAGAAAGAGAAATCTATTCGGGCACAGTCAACCTTTTCAGACATGCGCTGTCTCCGGATGCAAAACGGACTGTGGGGGACTTACGGCAAGCTTGCTAGGACTCCAGTCATTCGTTCGATGTATCCTGCGTTGCTAGAGACTCTGTCTTCCCCCCCGGTATCGTCCCTGGATTGTTATTGTGAGAGTGGCGAAAGCAGAGATCGCAGGGTACCTGCACACCGCCCCACGCCTCTAATTCGCACGGCTCTAAGAGGAGTGTCCATAGGCCGTGCTTGATCTGCGCTTCACTCTTTTAGCAATTAGTCTGAATCAGGAGGCGCAGTTCCCTTCTGTTGCCGTCTATCTCCACGTCTACAATCTGGGTGCCACTTTACCTTGTCATGGTTTTTCTTACTTGTCCCAAGGGGTTCATTCTACCTTGTGATTCGTGACAAAGGATCGCGAAATTCTCCGCAGGCGAAAGGGAGGCCAACGCTCGAGGCCGACTTCCTGGCTCAGTATCTAGACCTCACCGAGTCACAGCAGCTCGCTGTGCTGACGGCGCGGTCTGCCTCTCTTGCTCGCGCACTTTCCGGCCTCTTGAACGAGGACGAGGGAAAGGAAAAGGCAGAGGACGGCATAATAGGTTTCGAGAGCTGTCAACGGATACGAGAGATCGCCGTCGTTCTCATCGAGAACCTGTAGAGGTTGTAAGCCTCGTGAGTGGATAAGATAGACTGAGCTTTGGAGGTAATGTGTGGCGCCGTGTGAATGAGGAGGGTTTAAACCTGAAAAGGTGCCCGCTAAATAGATGCAGAGATCTACGATACACGAAGGGCATCGATCGTTGACATTACCGATTGCTTGACCGGAGAGTGTCTCACGTACCACGTACCTTATTACGGGAGTGGCACATGGCAATTATTCAATGCTTTGAGGTCACTTCCACCGAGTGTATGCAGCTCAAGTAACCGGACCGGACTGCATGATTGACACTTATAACTCTTATAGCCCGTGCATATCAAAGGCATGGTGCGGATCAGAAGTAATCGCTCATGACGTACCGTCGCGCCCGGCCAATGATCATGCAATACGGTGCATGATGCCAGTATATCGATGGGCCGTCTTTATTCAGTATGTACATAGTCTTGTACGTTGACCCCTGCACCTGGGCCCGGCCCACGTACATGTGACTGACTGGAAGCCCCACGTATCACTTCGCGGAACTTTGCGCGTGGTCGGATTGCCCCGCTGTATTACGTGCCGCCGCGGGCCATCCCGTCATGTGATCATGCATGCGCACCTGTCGATGCTGGCATCATAAAGCCTGCAGCTCGCTGACGTTCAGTACCAGCTAGCGCGCGCCGCGTGGAGCGCGGCTCCACGGCGGCAAATATATCGTCTCCCTCTGATCGTCGCCGCTATGCAACGTACCATGCAATGATTAACGGCCAGGCGGCCGGCGGTGGCGCGGCGGCGGCGCTGCCTCGCATCTTCAAACTCAGCTCCATTACTGAGTCAGCCGCTAGCCTGAGGCTGGCAAGTTTATTTTGATATGTTACTATATGCTTGGTATCGTACGTTGGGAAAAACCTACCATACTGCACGTGCCTTACATGCATGAGCATGTTTGCGTCACGCAGGGTTTGCATAAAGAGCTAGTCAAGGCGGCCATATGCTGAACGATGCAGGATGGTTGTCTGGGTTGACACAAACTCCAAGGTCAGGCGTGACGAACAGAAATACCTTCATTCCTGCATGCAGGCAAGGAGGAGCGTCAGCAGTTTCGAAAGCAAGTGAGCCTGCACTTTGGAATCACGGCTGCATTAACGACCACTTTAGCGCTTGCGCTCTGCTGCTGCCGAGCTTGCATGCTTGCACTGCTCCTGAGATTCGTGGTGTGGTTTGTACGCAGTCTCCTAGCAATGCGCGCGCACGGGCCGCGAGTCAAGCCCCGGCGATCGAACGCAACCGAACGGGCCAAACGCCGGCATGCGGTAACGCGGCCGCCTTACAGGGTTTGAGAAACGCCTGAGGTTTGGGTATTTAGGCGCTGCTCCGTCGCGTGGGCGCATGGCTGCCGCTGGGCTCATGCATGCGCGCGGTGCCGCGCGCATGACTTGCGCCGTTCTGAGTACGAAGATGCATCTACCGGTTGATGGCCAATCCCCTAATCTAGTGTCAATATTCAGGCGTGCTAACAGGCCAGGAAATGGATCGCTCTCTTCGAACTTAAAACGAAACTGCAAAATGAGGTGTTATGCAGGCTGGATTCTGTAAACAGCCTCAACTCGACCTTCAAAGGTGCTATTGCGCGGGGGCCACGTGCGAACGTGCCTTCCCTTCCTCTTTCAAACAGAAAGATGGAGGTGTCCGTAAAACTTACGTGGCTCGTGAGAGGTCGGACTCTCCATAGGCACTGACAGCCGCTCTTAGACTGAATAAGAAAAAGCAATGATGCACTGCGAGAGAGCTTATACTCGGTGTTGCAGCATTCATACTCGATAATATATTTTGCAGCATTCATGAATCGAGCAACTTGTCGCCGCTGCATGATGATCAGATTTAGCTTCGATTTAGAGAGGCAACACGTGTGCTATTGTGTCGGAAGAATAGATTCAGCATGTGCGTATCCAGACTATATCATTTGTAAGGAAGGGTGGCCGGTATATACATGCTTGTCGGATGAGTCAATTGCGCAGCCGTCAAAATCATAAGCTTGCATGCTCCTCAGGAGAGGAGGTTTTCGTTTTCGGATTCTCAATAATGTCGATTAAGATTGAGGCGGAATGATATAGAAAGGACGTCAAATCAAATTCCGCGTTAACCAGACAACTTGTTGCTAAGAATCGAGAAGGTGCTGAAACGTGGCCATGCATAGACGCAAATGGATCCTCGACAATGTCCAGCCCGTGACGTGTTTTGATTTTGGCGTTAAGCCTTAACCCAACATCAGGTTGAACAAAGCAGTCAAAATCGTCAACATCATCATCTATTTTCTGATGCTGAGCTGACTTCGAACGATCTCGACTTGCCAGGATCGGCTTAAATGACTCTGCTTTGTGAAACATTCTGCAATGGAACACTCTACAATAAAGCATGAACTATGCCCAGGGCTCTTATCGAAGGGTAGCCGGATAAAAGACAGACCGGGCAGTGAGGCCTACCTGCAAGAACACCGTGACGGGTTGACAGGGTGAGTTGACTGAACATGATGGAACTAAGAGGGGCTGACCAAAATCAAACCAAATAGGAGGACCAACATTCAGCATCGTCATATTCTCATCATCAGCAAAGGAGCCAGGGCTTGCGCCGCCGCAAACCGCTCACCTGCCTCTCTCTCCGAGGCTTTCCGGCATTCTCTTGGTGACAGAAGGCCAGCGTCTCCATGAAGTGAGAGCGGAGCGCTTCTCCCTCCAGCTGCAGAAGAAAGAAAGCGAAGCTGAGAGACTGTTGAGGTGCACAACAAAGGGGAGCCATATTTTGCTCAAGTGCATGGGCACTCCTACAAAGTAATCTCTTCCTTAACCATGGATGTTTATAGGCTGGCTGTGGGTTGGTTGAGGTTAACAATCCACGGCCCGATTTGGGCGGTAACCGGCCCTGGAACAAGGTTAGGGACCGGTTATTTGTCCATTAACCTGAAACCCACGTCTGGTAAGTAGCCTGGTTAGCAGCCAAGATTTTCTGTGTCTTCTGTGTCGAGGACGCTTCGTTGCAGTATGAGATATCTCTAGTGACATGCCTGGGGCTGCTACATGCGAACACGTGCAGCCACAGCAAGAGAAGGGGCGATCAGCAAGCCTGTATTGCACTCACCAGCCCCTCCTGGTTCATATAATCTTGCCGGTGATACCACTCCACGTATGTACGGAAGGCCCGCTCGGGCTCCGTCTTTCCCAACTCCTCTACCAAGAACAAGAATTCCTGCACAAAAACGCATGGGTAATAAACCCAACCAAAGAGGTCTCCCCTCCGCTACAGGGGCCTGAACAAACGCACGGGCTGATGGCCCTTGGCTACGGAAAAGCACCGGTGAGGCCAGAAACTTGGTGGGGCGGGCGGGAAGTTACTCACATGAATCACCATCGGGTCTTTCTTCTGGGACAGCTCGTCCAAGCGCGCCTCCTGCTCTGGTGTCAGCGGTGGGGCTTGCATCATCGGGGCACACGTCGCAGCAGTGGCTCGCACGCTATCCATTGGGTGAGCTGGCTGGGGGAGGTACGGCCCCAGTACGGCCAGGCCTGAGCAAGGCTTCCGAGTGCTGAGGGCCCGCGTCGCGGCTTTGACGACTTTGAGGTTTAGAGGGGGTTTGGGGCGCGCTGCAGGAGACGTGCGCAAAAGGCCTGCAAAAGGGGCAGGGGGTTTAGGGCGCGCTCCCGGCGCGCTGCAGGAGACGTGCGCAGAAGGGGCAGCAGCAGCAGCAGGTGAGCAGGGAAATGAACCTTGAACAAATTTCTGTTGCCAGCACCCAAGGGGCCACGCCGCCCCACACCCGCAGAGCTTGCCCAGAGCTTGTTCCCTAACAACTATTATAACAGCGGGGATTTGAGAAGCCTCTAGGCCCTTCTGCACCCTTATGATCAACAGAGTCGTCGTAGCTCTGGTAGCTGAACAACGAGGCGTCTTTTAGAAGCAGACCGCTGACCTCAGAACCTCAAAGGACAAGCTTGAAAAGCCACCAAAGCTGACCAAGACTCAGAGTCTGTCGTTGATATGAACTTGAAGACGTTGTTATTTGCGTCGACGCGTGAATCTGTCGATCTGCGCGCGCTGTGTGCGGACGCGGGTGCGCTTGCGGCCGCCTGTCCTCTCAAGGGTTTGATTAAACCTCCTGGAAATCAATACCAACAGCGGCCGCGCGGCCCTGGCGCGTGCGCGCGCCGTTCTTCTGTGAATGTAGGTATGCGAAACCCTAACAATTTCAGCAAACACTTGGAAAAAACTACGAGACAAGTGCGCACCTTTGAGAGGCGCTTTGGAGACATTTTGGAGACCACGTTGGAGGATCTGTTGCATTGTTTGTAAGACCTAGCTAGCCTCTTCGATATCTGCTGCCCTTGGAGCTACTCATGCTTTCAGAAGATAGGTCGCTGCCGGCGGAGGGTCCCGTGACTGAGGCCAGGGGCTTGAGGTTTGAGTTTAAGTGCCTCAAATGGGGCCCTGCAGCATGTGCTGGGATGGTAGCAGTCAAATTGGGCTTCTGCATAGACTCATTCCTGTTCTAGCCATTCTCTGTGGAGTTCTAGCCCCTTCAGGTGATACTCACGGCCTTTCTTAAACTCACTGTCTGGCAGATCTTGTAAATGTGCTACTTTCTCTCTTTGTCCTCCGTCGCAACTTCTTCTCTACAAACTCTCTGCATACCCAAGCTCTTCCAACTGAGCTGCTTGGAGTCTCTCAGACTTCCAAAGGGTGCGCTCAATGTCTCCAAGCCTACACTTGGCAGGTCAGATCTAGTAGCGTAATCATTAGCAGTGTGGAGCCATGGTCTTCTCATGAGCATGGCACGTTTGAGGAACTGGTGCTTCTTTCAGGATGGTGCCTCAGGCTGCTGCTTTGAAGCTTTGTTTCTGGTCTTTGTCACGCTTTGATGTGTCTTCACTTCCCATTCATACAATTATACTGAATCAACTATGAGAATGCAGAGGCCTAAAAAGCACATTCCGCAGAGAAGCTTTGAGTCTGGTAGATAAAGCAGTTTAGTTTCACCAAGATATCACTTTACGGTTTGCAACTTTCGCGATAAAAGGGCAGCTGCTGTCAAGCCCCCAGCTTTCAAATCTTTGGCCGAAAAATATCAAGGCATTGACGGAAAAGTGGTTTCTAATCGGTTTCCCTATCTCAGACGCCTTTTGAAAGATACACGGAATGTTCTGGCATCCAACTAAGAGTAAAAGACAAGGCAGTATTAGCACAGGAATGTGCGGGGCATTTTGCTGGTGGAATCTGCATCGCTGAAAAGCTTGACTTTTTTTGACTGGGTCTCTCAATACCCATCGCAGGGCAGCAAGATGCCGGAAAGTCGCAAGTAGGAAGTCGGCCGGAGAATTTGGATAGCCGTTTTCATCTACTCGTCCGGGGGCGCCAAGATCGCGTCAGCTGATAGTAGCACTGGTGAGGCGGGACCCCATAAAGATGGTTCCATTGTTTCTCACCATGGCGGTGGAAAGGATTAATTCTGGAACTTGTGAAAAACAACAATGATGTTCCCTACTTTTTCAGGAGCATCCGCAACCCTTCAACGGACCCTGGCACTTGTGAAGCCCGACGCAGTTCTCTCCGGACACGCAGCCAATATAAAAGTAGACATCGAGGCTGCGGGCTTCAGAATCATCTCCGAGCGCGAGCTGCGCCTCTCGCCGGAGTTTGTGAAGCGGTTCTACGCGGAGCATGCGGGGCGACACTTTTTCGAGGGACTGGTGGACTTCATGAGCAGGTGAAAGATCTGGTGTCAATTGGCATGCGTGCTTCGAATGAGTGGATCTGTCAGCTTCGCGCAAAGTCAATAAACGACTTTTGTGTTGTAGAGCAAGGAAGGTGAGTGGATTCGATGCATGGAACGCATCAAAAGGTAGGCTTCATAGAGAAGAAGCATGCAGAATCATTGGGCTTGCTTTGTTTCATGTGTGCTGGCTTGCGTCGATCTTTGACAACCTCGGATGGTTGTCACACCATTGTGGTCCATTGATCATGGTGGTCACAAGGAATGCAGTATCGGTTTTATCGTACATACATATACGGCGGCAGCCAGCTGGAGATTATCGAGCCTCCTTGGAAGAGAGATCTTCCTGTAACAACCCTCTGACCACTGCTCTTGGGCCCCAGTTTTCCATTGTAGTTTCTCGGTTGAGACCTTAGACGTTCGATTTTTGCTTCCCCAAATGGAAAGGATCACTAAAACCAAGTCTAAAGTAGTCCATTCTCGGGTAGAATCTGAGATCTTCCTTTCTTGCTGCTTCCAGCGGGCAAACCCTCGCCCTAGTTTTAGAACGGCACGACGCGGTGGCGGCCTGGCGAGCAATGATGGGTCCCACAGACTCGGCAGCAGCGCGCGGTACATTTCCCGACAGGTGCGCCCTGTCCACCTTATACACCGCTTGTTTTCTGTCCTCTTCTGTTGCTTTTGGGGCTTCTTGCAGGATAATTTCTTATGACATTACAGGGTCGTCTCTGATAAACTTTCTCCCCTCTGGTTTTTGTCGCAGTATAGGCATTCCGTGCTTTGTCGTGCTCCCTCTTACCTTTCAAACACAATCAATCGTTGAACTCGTATTATGCAGCTCTTCTCAATCCGAGAGTGTGGAAACAACATGCTGTGGGCAGTAACGAGCTGCAAAGCCTGGTTAGACAAGTCTGACGGCATCACATTTGGCTTCCATCCGTTTGACGGTTGATGCACATCCCCGATCATGATTGTGCACGACTCTAGCAATGCTACGATGTATTGAACACCCTTTGCCCGCCAGAGTTAAGTCGCTTTCTCAAGGCATCTTCAGACCCCTTTCGCTTTCAAACGACTCGTATGCCTACTCTACTTCTCGCCTTTATAATTGCAAGGGCATTACGGTTCTCAATTGTAATTGCTTCAGGTCTAGCCACCCGCCCATAAGTCCGGCAAAATCTTTCCGTTGCATAATGGGTGTTCAGAACGCTCAGCGTTGTGTTAGCCCCAACCCAAGTGAGGCCCTGCGGTCAGGTATAATCGAACCGTGGTGGTTTCGGCAACTCATCACATTTTTTGTTGCTTGTCGAGCTTCATTCTTTGCGTCAGCTCAACTTTCAGCTCTTTCTGATTTCGCAGCATGCGAGCCAAGTATGGGACCGACGGGCGGCGCAACGCGGTGCACGGTTCCGAAAGCGTGGACCGCGCACGGGAGGAGATTCGGATGGTCTTTGAAGAGTTTACAGGTGAGAAAGGTAGAAGGTCTCTGATGGTAAGTATAAAACATCTCCAGCAATATTTCAAACGCCGCTGGCGAATCGTGCATCCCAGTGGAGATTGTATCCTGAATCTCAACGTCTTCTAGGGTCTTTTCCTGGAACTTTTTCTTCCGATTCTGGCGAAAGCTGGTTCCGGGTTACTAGGTCGGTGCGCTTCTTCACGTTTTTTGGACGGCTCGTGCTCTGGAGCCAGTCCGTAAGTATCCTTGTTTTTTTATCCCAAGAGCAAACTTACCAAATCCGGGGTCCACGATATGCGCAAAGCTTATGCAGATCTCCTCCTCCTTCTTTACAGAAGAATCAATCAACGGTCAAATTACAAACGTGCTAGTGGGCACGTCCGCGTTGGCCGCAGCTATTTACGGTCTCCGAATAATGATGCTGAGTTGGCCCGTGTGGGACAAGGTTGGATTGAAACAAAGGCCGTCGTACACCAAAGTTGCGTAATTGATTGAATGACAGCTAGATGCTCGCTATAAGTTATGGATCTACGGAACTGCGTTTGAGCAGCTGAAAGTCACAGCCAGAAAGATGTACAATAAGGTCTTCAGTCAGCTGCAAGAGTTACTGGACCGCGCAGACATTCTTTAGAACACCAGGCGCAATGCCCCATTCGTTACAGACGGCAAGACTATTGTTGACATGATTACAGAATCCAACTAGACGGTAGCCTAGTAGATGTCACTTAGCGAACATATCAAGAATATCGTTCCGTTCATGCACGGCGACTCATGGGTGCATGGACCCGCGCATGGACAGTTGCCCGGCAGTAGCTCCGAGCCTGTCGCTAGCTCCCCGTAATCTACATCCGATAAGTCCGGCCAGCATCCGTGAATCCAGATTTGTTGATTCGAGGGGCGTTGCATCATGGAAGCTATCATGAATGTATACCGTGCTGGTTCACTCTAGTACAAGCTAGTAGGCATTGCCTATAACTCAGAATTTCATAAGTTCACGCGGACGATTCATCCAGGAGGGTAATCGGAACAGCATCATGCAATATATGTCGTGGATCGACGTACGGTACCGACAGGCTAATGATGAAGCAGCTCTTGTCACTGGTTCCAGATTGCTTGCTCTGATTCTTGAAGCATACACATGCGTAATGCAAGTAGCGCTTACGTGCACAGATCATGAGCAAGTGGCAACGAACGACTGTCATTAATGTGGGCGCTCAACGCCATGGGGTTCTCGGAGTCTGCTATAAGGTGTCCGTGAATTACGTTTTACAGCTACCAATTACGCCGTTCGTTCGCAGGATTCAAGATCGACTTCCTTGGACGGTACTTGTAATGCGAAACCTGCAGCTAGGTAGGCTTGATCGGTTCATTTTCGATGTGACGCAAACTCCAATTGGATAACGGAGAGTATAGGCTCCTTTATACCGCCCTCTCCTTTTCCTGATGACTGACGTGCCCAGTGAAACCCGAACACGTGCCTAGTACAAGTTGCTGACTGACTCGACATAATCCCCCGCGGACGATGACCAACTAAGCACTAGTCACGATGCGGTCTATCCTCCGCTGCGACCCCCGCAGGTGGGGGCACTTGGCCGGGCTCGGGGATCCCCTCAGGGGCTTGGAATCCAGGTAAGAGTGACGTAATGAAGCCCATCACGAAGAGCTGGATTTCCCGTAGAAAACCACCCCCGGCCCTTTGCCTCTGCACCGCGCCCGCAAGTGCACCTCCGCCCGCCATGTGGGGCGCATTCCCAGGGTTGGCCGGAGCTCCTGCGGTGAAGAATATATTGATTTCAGCATGGCTTGGTGATGTTTGAAGGCGTCAGATTGTCAACAAAGAGTCGTGATTTGTGACGATTACGGTGGCGGTTTGTGGCCGACATGCTTTTATTACAAAAGCCCTAGCTCCGAAGTCAGCTTCAAGAACAAGTAGCCCCCATCCTCTGCATTTATCAATAGACGAAAACCTCTGCACTTCATGACGCCTTGATTGCAAGGACGGATTGCCGTTCTGTTTTGCAATGGTGAGGTTAGATGTGAGTTCGCCCAAAGATGTCAAGAATCTCCTCAAAGTGCCAAGACCCCAGAAAAACTCGTAGACATTCGGCCAGACGCTGGATTAGCAACGAAGCCACAAGCTGCGCAAAAAAGAGCAGGACTTGCGTAAATGGCCTACGCCGCACGTCGGAGCTTTACGAAAGCGCCGTACAAAAGGAATGTTCCAAAGAATTTTTCCGGAGTGCGAAGACGTGCATTGTGCAAGGAAACGCTCTGAACTTTGACGACGGTCAGCTTCGAGAGCATTTTGTTGTGTCAGCCCCAACGATCAGTGCAAGCAACCCCGACAATGAACCAACCAACTCCTGAGCGCAAAAGAACGTGTCCTAATCTCAAGATTCAATCCAGTTTCGAGAAAGGAAAGGAGAAAGGTCAGAGGGCCGAAAGAGGGGAACACGTACGTACGAGGGACGGGTGCAAACACAGAGGGAATGAAATAGCGATGAAAAGCAGCGGCGGATGCAGTATGAGTTACCCTGATTTGCCCCTGCAGCTGCTTGCTGCCTTCCCTGCTGCTGGATCAACCTTTGGAAACGCTCCGTGGCCATCCGCACATATGGAGTCAGGACCCCGGTCTGGTACCTGTGTCGGGCAACGACATACGTAGGGCTTTTTGGTTTGCTACAACCAATAGCAGATGATTTGATAAGCTTGTTATAAAAGAGCCCGTGTCGCCAAGCAGTGCCGACGATTTGAGGCGCTTCTTAAAAGGCGCCTGTCTGAAGTTTTGAATTTAGCTTGAGTGCTTGGACAGTAATCCCTTCTGATCACGCGATGAGTTAGCAACGACTTCTACAACACATGCCGTCTCGATGCGGATTCGATGATTCTCCAAACGGCGGACGGCTGTTGAGTCAAGCGGACAATTAGCGTCTGCCGATTCAATATGTTGCAGGTTTCCATTGCAGAGGAATCGACACCCGCGCTTTAACGACACCCATGCCTTTCCCTACGAATTGCAGGAGTCTTAAACTGAGTGAGGAGGGGAAGTAACGAAAATTTGCGTCTCAGACTGGCATAAGACTATGAGAGCCACCTTGCAATTCACCAGCTTCATCAGAGCTAGAGGAATTCACGCCAAGCAAATACTCACGCTACATAAGCCAGCAATATTCAGAAATTAAACTCAGCCGAACAGCAACTGGCCCTTTGTCACACGCGCTGCACTCCACTGGACGACGAGCTTTCGAAAAACGCTAAATGCACGCGAAACCAGCGTCAAAATCTCCTCATATCCTCCATTTCGAACCGTCCGAAATCGGCTGTGGGCCACAGATAAGCAATGCGCAGCCCACAAATAGGATGCGCAACTCACAGGTAAGCGAGCACCGCCAGGCCCGTCAGCAGCACCAGGCGCTCGATCGACCCGTCTTGGTTCAGCACAAAAACAATTACCGCCAGCTTGGCAATCAGCATGAAGTCAATCTGGATCCTCCGCACACGGACCACAATCGGAACCCCCTGGGGGATCCCCCCGAATTGCATCGGCTGCGGGGCCCCGTTCTGGCCGACGCGCTGCCGGAGGCCTGCTTGCGCGGCTGGGTCGACGGGGAACCCCTGCGGCGGCAGGGCCCCCGGGGGCATGAAGTGGATCTGGGCGCCTTGGAGGGGGCCGCCTTGGTTCCCAACCGGGAAGGCGCTGCGAGAATGACAGATAAGGTTAGCAATGATGCCAGTCAATTCTCACAGCAGAGGCTTAAGTAGGGCTATAGGTAAGAGCAAGAGGTGCTGTGATCAGCAGAGGAGAACGGCGGTGCATCTGTGACTGAACGAAATTTTGCGGAAAGATCTCCGGAAATTTGGTGCGTACTGCAAGATGTCTCGGAGTAGTGAAAATGTAAAGCAGAGATCAGGAGCCAGCAACAAAGACACAGCCGGCTTTTTTAAGGTCGCTCAAAATTGCACATGCTCAAATTGCTTAGATGGCTACAGCCGTAAATGAATGACATGAAAGGAGTCTCTTGCTTTTTGGGGCTCGCTCTGAGAGCAGCTCAAAGTAACGAATACTCACAACGCTCTGTTCTCAGCAAAGCCCCCAGCCTGCCCTCCCGCTGCAGCGGGGGCCTGGAAGAACCCCACGAACGGCCCCCCCTGAACAGGTGCGGCACGCTGCGGCTCTGGCGCTGCCTGGTCTTGGCCCCCCGCCGGTGCGGCAGCAAAGTTGAAGCCCGGAAAAAGGGCGGCTAAAGGCGGGGATGCGCCGGGATTGGGTTGAGGAGGGGGCAGACCCATGCTGAGGGCCGCCAGGTTGCAGGCGAGGGGGGTGAGGAATGGGTTGCTCTGAAGAAGCTGCGAAGAGGAAAATAGGAGCCGAACCTCTTGATGACTCGAATATTCATCTTCTGATCGTTTGGTCTCCTTTTCTGCGGAGGAGAAAGAAAGGCCGAGAGTGCAGAAGTCTTCCCACCGTTTACAACGCTGTACTCTGACAATCTCTGCATCTTCTGATTCAATCACAGGCTGATCAAGATGGAGGGAGACCCTAGAAACGGCTTTGTTCAGCAAACAGTGCTACGAACTTCCTCAAAGGCAACCGCAAAGTGGCCCGAAACTTACATTGATGCTAAAAGCTCTTGAACGTATAAAGCAATGGTCCTGCAGAACCCCATATCACAGTGCAGGAAACCGGATTTTAAAATGTCCGGCAATCTCTTCAGCAGATCAAAACAGACTCACCTGCAGATACAGCTGCTGTAGCGCTTCCTGAGACAGCCCCGCTGCCGCATTGCTCGGCCCTGGCGCCACCCCGTTGCCTTGCGCCGTTCCGGAGGGACCCGCCCCCTGAGCGAATGCGCTTGGGGCAGTTGCGTTCTGAGGGGTTGGGTTTTGAGGAGCGCTCGTACTGGCCTGCTGATGTTGGCCGCCCTGCTGAGCATGTGGTGTGGGGGTGTTTCGCGGAGGGAGTCCAATCCGTGACATCCGAACGGCGAATGATTCCTCTTCTTGCTGAGGGACCTCCGCATTTGCCGGGGATTGTGCGGCACCTGATGTCAAGGAAGGATTCGCGGAATGATCCGCAGCAGTCCTGGCTGCTGCCTCCGATGTCCCGCCTCTAGTTGAGCTGCTGGGGGGATTCTCTGGGGTGGGGGGAGGGGGCCGAAGGGGTGGCGTGCTTCGGGTTGACGGTCCGGGGGCCAAGTTTTCCACAGGGGCCTGAGGTTGGCTCAGAGGGGCGGTGGGGCCGTGAGTAGTAGGGGGCCTGAAGGCGAAACGAGGCGCGGGAGGAGTCTGTGTCGGTGCTGCTGTGGCTGGTTCTGGGGGGGTGGAGGATGAAGAGCCATCGGGTTTGGGGCCAGCGATGACGAGGTGGACGACTTGTGGCTCTGCCAAGTTGGCCTGCAAAACAATGGTAATATTGATTCCAGCCTGAAATACAGCCAGCTTGAGATACAGCCAGCTTGAGATAGGTCAATCACAGGGGGACAGGTTGGTTTTGGGGTTAGGGTGGGTATGAGTGCGGAGCGCGTGAGTTTGTATATGGGATTATGCTTTGGGTTCCTCCCAGTTCCAACTGTATGTCAACCTGGATCAATTAAACATGAATTTGAGACTAATATGAATGGTAGCCATGCCTTAATGCACGCCCTTGTGGCAAATATCGTCACGCGGTGCTTTGACACTGAACATGTCATTGAAGAAGTCAGGACTGCCTCGACCCTCCTCAGAAAGTGAAACAGAAACACAATGTCCTGCTTGCTGAAAGGCAATCGAACAAATAACCCTTGTTGTGCAATGGGATGACTACTATTTGACATTGTGTCAGATCTGATACGCAATTTTTTTCGAGCAGACTACCTACAAAAAGCATGCAGGGTGCGGCATAACCCTGGCAACACTGATGCTGCAATTTTCTTCCTCCTCACCACTCATCGAGATTGTTTTGTACCATGTCGAAACACCCTTCAGTGTTTTCAAATCCTGGACGCCAAACTCTCAGTACCCGCCATGCAATCTTTAAAGGGCAACAAAACAAGAAAAGACATGTGTGAAGACTGCCTTTCAGTGGCAAATGGCCTCAAACTGCCTGAGCGTGGAAAGTGCCTTACATGCTTCAGGACATCCTTGAGGAGCTGGTTATCCTTGACAATCTGCCCAGAAATGATGAGTTTCTGCTGGGCCGGCGGAGGGTGTCCATCATATTCTTCTTTCAACCGATCTTTCAGAGCCTGTATTGTAGCTGTAGGGGATATCTTGAGCTTGAGATCCTTGGAGAAGCTCGCTGAAGGGTTCCGCACAAGCAACTCGACAAGATCACTGGAAGCAGCTGGATCCTTTCCGTCAGACATGTTGCTGTGCTTATCGACCTACAATTCTAAATCAACAGAAGTAAATCACACGCTCATAGATGTCTGATCAAAAGAGTTCTAAAATGCTGCTCAGAGCAAGGGAGAGCGGAGGTTCTACGCATATGATTTGGAAGTTGCAGCTGCTCTTGTGTTCCAAAGCAAATGCAAAAGGCTCTCTTGCACGCCCTTGCCGTGGACAACCTGAGATGCTGCTTTCGACTGGAGCGAACCAAAGGAAGGAAGACGTCTTCGAAATGGCTAGCTGTTGAAAGCGCCTCTTCTAAGTTCTAGCTTGCCCACCTGTGCAACACTGAGATCAGAAGCACCTAGTTTCAGCATGTTCCCGGCGACACTTCCGGATGGACGCAAACGCAAGAATGTCTACATATCCTTCCCCATGGTCGCCGCGAATTCTCGACATCAGGACTCTCAACTTTCCAATCTGTGCAAAGCGCTGGTCCGGCTTCTTCGCGCTATAAGTTTGAGTTTGGGGAAGCATACGCTTGCAGCTATTGGCAGGGCAGTTTTCAAAGAATGCTTGAACAATTCTGCAAAGCGGCCCCTCTACATGCAAGTTGAGTGACACCTCCGCGAAGGAGTGTTTTGCTTAGCATCACATTTTTGGAATGCAGATCTGATTGGGGACATCTTAATTGCTTACTGCTGCTCAGGGCAGGGCCGGGGTGCTCGCATGCTCGCTTCTGCGCTCAGTGAATTTCCAACGAGGTGGAATGCATTTAGGAAGATGTGGAGTATCAGGGCTTCCACAAGGTGCTCAGTAAAACCAGGGTCCGGGAAGTAGTTTGTTTCTCTACGAGGATGTCCTGCAGGGACAGGCCGTCAAACATACCTCAGGTTGAAGTTGATCGTCTAGTTTACTGGTAGGTGCATAAGTGCTTAACCCCTAAACGGAGTGGCAGAGGGCGGCGGTGTAAATATATTCTGGGGTTTTCGAACAGGTCTCTTATTATTATGTTGAGTATAATAAAGTGATCGACATACTTATCAGGTCTGCAACCTGCAGCACTTATTGATGTCCTTGAGGCTTTCCCAACAGATCATACCCTTCTGAAAGCACGTCATCAGAAGCGGTTTGCCTGAAGGATAAGAGCAATTCCAAGGATGTAGAGAGTGGTCATCTTTTATCTGCCTAGGTAAAGAGCGATGGACGGCGGAAAGTCAAAACTTGGCAAGGTGCACGTACCTTATAAAGGGGTCCTGACGGCGGGATTCTATGGCTTCATGTCAGTATCTTCCGTGTTCATCAACAAGGCCATCTTTAAGGGTAGGTGGTTACTATTCTCTCAAAAGATCCTTCGAGGATCGTGCCCTGTAGAGGATTGTTTCGCACTCCCACTCCCTCAACATGCGAGGGCTAGCTTGTTCAGAAAGCTTGCATAAAGACAATTGGAGAAGACGTGCAACTGCATTCATTTCTGAAAGTCAACATAATCTACCACTCTGAGCTTGGCTTCTGGGCGCTCTGGGGTCAGGGAGTCCCTCTGCTCAGAAGTTTTGCTGAGCTCTCTCTGCTTCTCTTGCAGTCTACGCTTTCAACTTCCCATTCACATTGGTGCTCGGTCAAACCATCTTCACCCTCATACTGCTCCTTACCATCCGACGGCTAGGCTTCATTCGCACAGCCCCCTTTCAATTCGCCATCTTCAAGCGGGTAAGTTCCATTCTATCTTCTGTGAATTGCTCATACAGTCAGGGCTTCACTTGAACTTCGCAACCTGCCTGAACAAAGAACTTTCCTTGATGTTGTTGGATGACAGAACTTCCGCTCTTGCCGGAGGTTGATCGGCCTCAAGTGCCTGCATAGAAAGTGTGGCAATTGGTGATTTGTAGCAAAAGTCTGAAGCCGCTTGTTCCGTATGTTTGACCCAAAGGTCTGCCGCGTTACGGACTGGCATTCATTGAGTATCACACTCACTGGCTTGCCAATTTGGCCTTGCTGCTTGTTTCCACTTCAAGTCACACGCAAACGCATCTCCGCAAGTGGACTTATGAATGCCCTTCATCTGCTTCGACAGTACTTCATCTCTTATGCTGCAGGTCTTCCTCCTATCCTTCGCGTTTCTCTTAAAGCTCCTGCTAGACATGTCTGCCCTGGCCCTCGTAAACATTCCCATGTATGGGGTCCTCAAAAGGTGAGCAACTGTCCCCAAGGGGATAACGCATTCATCTAAGAAGACGGTGCTCACATTCTGTATCAGACGATGCTCCAGTGATCGTTAGAAGGGGTGTCAGAAGATAGTCTTTTGATTCACCATCTGAAACCCGTCCGTTCACTCTGAGCTCTCTCCACCTGCTTAGATTAGCTCTATCGCTTTGACACCCGACTCCCTGACTGTACTCCCTTTTACCCACTGCCTTACCTCCAACATACCATGTCTTAGAAGACTACCTATCTTCATTCCATTACGTGTTACCATGCTTTTTGTTGATCTCCAGCAGCGACTCTAAAACGCCCCACACGATGTAGTAAAAGAAGTAGACCAAACTTATTTTACAGTCAAACCAGATCCTAACCAGATTCCCAACCAGGTGCTACTGCATCCGTTACGGTCATGTTATACGCAACTCACGATCCTGCCGTTCCACCACCCCCCTACGTCCTCCTCAAGAACCTTCCACTCCTGATCCTGAATCTAATTATCTCAGCGCATTTTCTATTTTGGTGACACCCGTAGCTCACCAGCCGCTGTGTCTGCCAGCTTGCCCCTTCATGCACAAGAGGAAGATGCGTTTGCAGAATCCCGACTGTAACCCGTCGCACCAGCTTTCCTGCGCCCTGTGTCTACAACCCGCTCTTTCTAGTCCGCAGCTCCACGCACCTGCTGTGTCAGCCAGCCTGTTTAGAAAGAAGCCGCCCTTCCACATGAATCGGGACGCACAATCCCGTCTTCTTCATAATTCACGTGCGCTGCCCTTTCAACTTGTTCTTTTCGATCCCGGCAGCTCAGCGACCCTGTGCGTTTGCGAGCTCGATTGCAGCCTTTCTTTTTTTTTAGAGAACGCCCTTCGAGATTCCGGCTGGCAACCCGCCTCAACCCATCAAATTCATTTCTCATTCTTTGCTGCCCTTAAAATCCCACCTCGTTCTCCTGAAACCCCGCAGCTCCACTACCCCATGCGTCCTGCTCTTCTACTTTTGGTAGGGGTCGTAACGGGAAGCACACTTATGTGACGTTAGCCTGATTCCTCGTCTTTCACTTAGTAGCTCCATCGCCCCGTCCGTCATCTTGCTCGACCACAGCATGCGCAAGAAGAAGTCACTCTCTAGGTTCCGGCCCACAATCACCTCTGGCTTCGCTAGATTTCTTTCTGAGAACGTGCTGGACTTTCGAGTCCCTGACTCGTCGTTCCAAACTTTCCAGCTCCATCACCCGGCGCGTCCCTTTGAGCATCTTCTGCATTTCATTCGACTCGTGATTGACGTACCGTATTTCCTCTATCCTCATCCCCTTTTCCTCAGCCCACTGCTCAACGATCCTCCTGCTCGACTACATCATGCACGAGAAGAAGACATTCTTCCCCACCCGATTGTTAATAACATATTTTTCCGTTAGTTTCCTTTTTCCGGATTCGCTGCCCTTTTTGTTACCTTCACCCGCTCTCTCCAAACCCCGCAGCTCCACCACCCCGTGCGTCCTCTTACTCGACTACATCATGCGCGAGAAGAAGGCCAGCCTGCGCGTGCAGCTCGCCGTTTACGCCACGACGCTCGGCGGCCTCATCGCCGGCGCCGGCGACCTCTCCTTCCACCTCCCGGGCTACATCCTCGCCCTCTCATCCGCAATGGCCACCGCCGCGTACGTCGTCATCGTCGGGAAGCTCGGCGAGGAGCTTTCCATCGATTCCTTCACATTGCTCCTGTACAACAACTGCTGGTCGCTCCCGTTCTCGTTGCTCCTGGTCCTCGCGAACGGCGAGGGGATGGCGTTCTTCACGTTCGAGCACGCGGGCGAGCCCGCGTTCCTGTTCTGCTTCGCCGCGAGCTGCGCGAGCGCGTTCGTGCTCAACTGGGCGACGTACATGTGCACGCTCGTGAACGACTCGCTCACTACGAGCATCGTAGGTGAGTACCCATTATTGCAGCTCTTAGTCTGTGTCAGCTGATGTGAGAAAACGTTTCGTGACCGTGAGGACATGCGCACTTATGGCGCGCGGTCAGATCTGGACGAGCATCGTGGGGGAGCGCCCCAACGACTCCGCCTCAGCAGTCCGCTCACCGTGTCAGTTAGTGCGAAACGAATTGTTGCATATTTGACGATGAGGATCAGTGGAGGTTTGGTGCGGCCACGTGGTAAAGCCTAGACGAGCATTGTGGGTGACGAGTTCAACATTCAATTTTTCGGCCTTTATACGCACGCTACTGGGTTGAGAAGTCAAGTACCAACTGCGCCCGAAGATCTGGGGCGATTCAAGTTGTGACCTGGACGGGCGATCAAGCTGTCCGTTCGTCTCGATGTGCATGGGTCCACAACCAAGATAAGGGTGCGTGAGATGACCAGTCCACAACCAAGATAAGGGTGCGTGAGATGACCAAACCTCAGCACCGGTAGCTGCAAATAGAGTGCCGCTGTCGCAAAAGTACTGTTTTTGCGGGTCAGGAGGTGGACAATGGGGTCAGTTGGGTCCGTCAACACGAATTGGGTTCTGACCATTTTAGCTGAACCTAATTGCACCTTCCTGTGTTTTCCCAGGTCGGACCAAGTCGATCTTGCAAGGCCTTGGCGGCCTTTTCGCGTTCGGAGATGTGCAGGTAAGTCTGTATCGGTCCAACTCAGCTTTCCTCGTCCTTCGGTTGCTTGTGATGTGCCTCTTCTGGATGGACGCCCTTCGCGGCCAGGTAGAGTAAACGAGTGTTGCAAGCCAGAACTTTTCGTATTTGTGGAGGCCTTTTGTGGTAAAACTTCTCGTTTTACCTTTGATGACCTTGCCTGCAGTACCGAGACGGCATTCCAGAGAGATGGTCTCACCGGCCCACTACATCCCGTCTCAAAATTCATCATGTTGAGCACCCGTTCCATGCTCCTTTTCCACTTTGAGACGTCGCTGACGTCAGCGACTGACACACTCCCGTCATTGGCGCAGGTGCACCCGCTGAATTTGTTCGGCCTGCTGGTGAACTCGTTCGGCATCGGGTGGTACGCGTTCGAGAAGTTCATGGAGGGCAAGCGGAAGTCGGCCGCGCTCCCGATGTACACGCAGCTGGGGCAGAACGGGCAGGAGACGCTCTCGCTGCATCGAGACGGGTCGCAGGTAAGGGCTGTTGTCTTTCCAATTTCAAGAGTCGACAGAAATATTTACATCGGAAACGCAAGAGACGCTCTCGCTGCATCGAGACGGGTCGCAGGTGAGCTGTCCGCGGGGGCCCGTTCCTTCTTTGCAATTGTTGGTTAGTTGGTTTTTTACCCAAAGAAACTTTCTTTCTGATTTTGGTACTGTTTAAAAGGACACTGCGCAGGGTTTATTTGGCGGCTAGCATAAAGGCAGATACTTCTCTCGCTGCATGGGTGCGGGGCCGCAGGTGAACGGCCTTCAGCAGCGCGCTGTTCTTGTGATCATTTGAGCTGTGAACTTGGATTGCTTGATCGTTTCGGTATAGCCAGACCGAATCGAGAAACGTCTTTGTCACATCGAGGCCGGTTGCGTTGGGAGGGCTCGAAGTGCCTGTGCTGTAAGATGTCAATGTTACGCATCCCGAGAAAACGTAGTCAATTACCGTCGTAAAGGTGGACGGTCTGCGGGCAAAGAAAACGGAGGGTTGATGGTTGAGGAAAGGCCTAAGGTTGCTACCGCTCGAGAGTTTATGCGGTCACCCAGGAATGTCAACGAACGTTTTGCAGTGCTTAATTCATGAGCGAGAGCAACATTCTCGACGGAGTAAGATTCACCACTGGGACTGGGTGCAATGCCCACAGTCAAGTCGAACAGGTGCGTTCCCAAGTTGACGCACTTTTTATACTTGTGCTTCTTCCTTTACGGAACCCTTTAACACTCGTACTGATTCTGGTAATCCTTGTTGTGCAGCTAACGTTGCAATTATCACCCAAACCATCAAGTGGTAAGGACAAACAGCAGAACGGGCGTGTATGATCGGCCTGATGTGTCCCGACCGTCAACCATCCACCTACCCGAGTTGCAAGAAACTGTCCAGAGAATCATATATCATCAAGCCCGCATTGTCTATCGTTCTAATTCAAACAGGTCAGTGCACAGGATAGTGTGTAGGCCGTTTTACGTCTAAGTGGGCAGCAGTGTGTCACACGTTGGCAGGAGAGCCCATTTCGATTGCTAGCTTCGGTGTCTGCGGACTCCTATGTTGCAATTCGTTGTAACGGAATAGATAAGCACCGTTGCTCACGGTTGAGTAGCCAGTGATGCGTTTCAAGTCTGATTTGTTAACGCTGGCACCGTCCAAGCGCTCTGTCAACGACCGGGCCTGCCATGAAGTCCATGTACTTGTCGCAAGTGTTGCCCATGCCATGCGCTTCATCTGAAAGATTCCGAAGTTTGCGCAACCCGCGTCCGATCTAGCTGAGTTATGATCACCATCCGGAGCCGGATCGATAAAACTACAGTTGTCAGTGGACTCACTCGGAAGAGAGTAGGCTAAGCCGTGGCCTGTTTGTCCGGATCTCATGCATGAATTGACTGCAAGCCCCGAGCTCTATAGCATGGCGGCAGGATTGCCAGAACCTAAACGTTTGGACGGTATACTTACTTCATGCATGTGAGTTAAGCTCCGTTTACAAAACAAGTTGCATGAGGTTCAGCGGGATTACCAAATAGTACGTTTGTAGTATGCAGTCACTATAAGTCGACCTGAGGTGATCTTGCTCGCATCATGGCTTAGTAGGCCGCAATTCGCACTCGATATAGCTGCTACTAAGCATGTTAGCTTAGTAGCACCATGTTGTTTTTTTAATGTTTTTGCTTATAAGTACTATCATACCGTAGAGTTTGCGCATGTGCAGCTAATGCACACTGATACCCGCTAGTCCGACGCAACCACCATGCAACAATCATTCTAGCTTCCAACATGCCTCCTGCACACTGTCATGTCAAACCGTTTCAATGTACATGCATGGTGGCCGCACTGATCAAGTGCACCTGATCGTACTAAGCTCGAGCTGCGGCCAATGAACGGCCATGGCGGCCTAACGTACTCATGGCTGATCACTTACTAAGATCGAAAGTCAGTGGCTGCATCCATGGCACAGGCAATATACCAATCGAAGCAAGCTAGCCCCCTTGCAGCAACAGTGTCAGTGACAGCCGCGCAGAACCCGACATTGTTGGTAAAAGTGGGTGACCGTTGAGTAAGTGTACAAAGTTGCGTGTCGGCCAAGGATATGAAAGCTGAGATGCCCTATGACCGAGGCTTCTCCTTCTTCTCCTTGAACAGGGCCAGAAGTGACACGCCTGCCACCTTCACCACCTTGAACCGGACTCCGGGAATATCTCCCACAGCGTGCCCCTTTCTGCCGAACCCAGAGATCAACACCTCGTCCTGCAAGTCCACAAAAGGACATTTAGCTTCTGCCACAAGAATATGGCAGCCACGATTCTTCCGCGTTCCCTTGAAAAACGAACACCAGCCATCAAAAAATGGACTATACTGTGCGGTAATCTGTTTTGCACAACGGAACCTCTTCTGCACTGATATGACTGTGCCTGCCTTGAGGGGTCTATCCATAATCAAGTACATAACACGACCAAAGGTACATTCTAAAAGCCCTTGTAAGTTCCAACATGCATCCAAATACTCTCGGCTGAGTTCCAAGAATGCCAGCCGCTCTGGATCAAGGATTAGAGACACCGACAAAGCAGAGTGCCTCCTGTCAACATATCTAAACAACCAATCCAATTCGAATCCACTGTTCAACAGACATAGTTGGTAAGCCGCAAGCAAGAGTTGCCTCTAAAGCCGACTTGTATTGCGCAGCTTGAACAGCAACCAAGGCAGCCAGGATGTTTGCATCAAGTTGACCAGGTAACCAAGTGTCAATTCAGAAGTTCGCTGCGAATTGCAGTCATTGCAGAAAGGCAAACAGGGTGCGTGCTTACATTCTCCTCGATGTAGTTCAAGCAACCATCGTTGGGCACAAAGGCAGCAATCTTCTTCCCGTTCTTGATGAGCTGCACTCTGCAGCACTTCCGGATAGCAGAGTTGGGCTGCTTGGCCTCGATACCACTGCACAAGCAAAGAAACAGCCATCACGGACCGACCAACATGACCTCACAGCGAACGGGAGGACTTCACTGATCAAAGTGCTGAGAGGAAATGGACTTTCATCACAAGCCCGTTGACGCAGTCTTCCAGGAAAGCACAATCAAACTTCAAAAGCGCACCGTGAAAAGGTGACTGAAGCAGGCCACAAAGGAAGATCAGAACTTCAGAAGACTCTGCTTTGCGAAAGACGTGTCAACACCAACTTTTGGCACAGGAAGACACCTGTCTTAAATTGACAGAAGTTGCACTCTGCGATTCAACAGCCAGTTCCAGGGCGTCTGTATCACGTTTGCCGAAATCTAGCAAAACCCGTACGGATCTACGTGGCACTACTCAAACCAGGTATCCCGAGACTACAGGCCCAAAGCTGCTTGACAAACACGCTCCAAGCTGGATGCACGCATTGGCGGTTGTGCTCACGGACACTTTTTCTTGGCCGCCTGGTCAGGCAACGCATTGCTCCATGCTTCTTCTACAATAACTAATTATTTCCCAGGCCCCATGATCCTTCTACTCAGATTTTCGCAAAAAGTGCACCTGTCTACCGGGCTTCACAAGGTGTCACCGCTGTCCTTTAGGCCTTGTATCGCAGAATGAACTAGGCGGTAATCCGCCTTGCCATGTGACTTTGCCGGAGCCCGACGCTGGTCTGTGCGTGCGGAGCAGTAGCCATTCTTGTGAACCACGCCGCGACCTATACTTAATGTCCTGCACCGACCTGCTTCTTACGTCTGCCTTCTACTTTCACGACCAGCTTTTCATTTACAGAGGGGACACTTAATTGCCTTTCTTCGAGACTTGACAACTAAACAGCCATGAGGGAGACCGACCACTCCTGGCTGACCCAGAAATATCTGCACCTCTCCACTTCCCCATTGTTAGACCCAACCAACGCCACAGCAACTCTGACACTCAACTTTCACCGTGCCCAAAAGTGCTGTAACCTTGCAAATTGTGAGCTTGTTGCCCCTTTGCTCGAGGCCCCAGCAGATGCCCGTCAAAGTACAAGGACACTGAGAAACCTATGCATCCTCTCTGAATTTCATCAACCTCAATCCTTGCGCTCTATTTAGTTTCCTGGGCACCACTCAGGGTGCGCAGGTGGAAAGGAGATGCCGCCCTTTGCAGTTCAGCGCCGCCGCTATGTAGCATCCGCTTCCTGATGCTCAACGAGTACAGCGGCATCCCGGGCAGGATCAGGATGGTAATGGTCAAGACGGGTAACCTGAGTGAAAGACCACTCACATCTTCTCAAGCACGATGCCCTTGGCGTGAGAAGACCCTGCAAAGGGCTTCTTCCACTCGTTCCCAAGGTTGCTCTTCTTGTACTGCTTGTCGGCCCACAGCTGCGCCCGGCGATGGTTTTTCAGCTTACGCCCAGCTCCCATACCACGGGTCTTCCTGCAACCATTACCGCGACGAGTGTCAGAGCAATCGCTAGAAAACTGAGCCCGCGATCATTGACACAAGATATGCAAAAAAAACAGCAGACGCGTTTCTGGCCCCCATTCTCCGATCTTTCCACCCGTCTGCGTGCTGAAGGAAGTTAGCATCGTCAGGCTTATGTGCAATCCGTTGAGGGGCTATACAAAACCAAAGCTCTCCTCCTTACCCCATCTTGGCTGCCTTCCTCCGCTACCGGCCGCACAGGGCACTTCAGAGATGGAGGTGGAAAGAGGGCGAGACCAAGGGGCGAATCCAGCTGATGAACCCTGTGCACAGTGCAGCCTTTGAATTGGCAAGGCTCCAGCCTGCGTTGCCCGGCGCAGTCTCACCGAAAGCAAAATCAGTCCCCAGGGGGTATCGGTGGATGTCAAGAAAGGGGCACGCAGTATTTCCCAGTCTCATACCTAAGTTCGCTCATATGCCCGGTACTGCTTAACCGGGAAGCGACTCATGCCCGGGAAATACCGCGGACACGAGAGAGAGCAGTGAGCAGTGCATACCTATGAGCAGTGAGCACTACTGTTGCTATAGCACGTGGGGGTGACAAAATGCGCAATTTGCATGGCGGGTACGGTCCTAGGGCGTTATGCAGTTGCTTTCTGCGCCGCATTCTCTGCATGGCTAGGCATGGGGGCTACGAGCATGGTTTCTTTCGGTATGGCCCATAGGGCAACACAGCTCCTCCAAGCTTAGCCCCCGCAGGCGGGAGCTGGTGGGCAAAGGAGCATAAGTAGTACGGTATCATGGTCCAGGCTCATGCAAAAGTATCATAAGCTTATACATACAATGGAACGAGTAGTGTTTTCTGTGTACAGCGCACTCGCAACTGCACGGCGGCCTAAATACACGCTGTCCTGCGATGGGCCAGCGGCACAACCTAGGCAGATAACGAGCCCGGCTTGTAAGCAGCCTGAGAGCGTTGAACATACGTTGACACCATCTGTGACAATCTAAACTGCATGAAGGATGCAAAAGCACCTACATGCCAAGGCCCGCTCATTGATCCTGCATAGATCAGATGCGCAAAAGCTTACTTGCGGGCGCTTCTTTGCAAGAAAGCCGAACCCGCAGTGTCTAATTTCTTACCATACAGTACTCTGTTGGGATCTGATATAAACGCTACAACAATAGAGCTAACATCAAATAAACATCAGAATCCCTTGTCCTCATATCTGATTACCAAACTGCAATATGTATCTATTCCACTACATATATATACTTGAGTAACTACGGTCCCGTCACGTACAAATTTTTTTGTGGTGACCTAATCTCAACACCAATGATCTCGATAGATATAGATACAAGCGGGAACCGTCTCAGACGTTCACCCCTCCGACCCCTACGCCTATGAAAAGATCTCAGGCTTCAAGATGCCAATGTAAGGTAGCGAACGATACCTCTCCGCAAAGTCGAGGCCGTACCCAACCACAAACTCGTCTGGGCTCTGTACCAGAAACAATGTCATCTCATCAGTTAAACTTCGAATGAGCCTGAACGCGACTCCGAATCATGCAAACCAATCAAGCCACGAGCGTCGAGTACAACCCATCTTGACGATTCAGATAAAATCAAAGCGGCTAGGACAAGAGCATGGCTAAACTCACAGGGAAGCCGATATACTCTTTGCCCCCGGGGGGATACTCGATGCTGACCACCCGCCTCGCCTCCTTGTTAAGCAGCGCGCAGACACTGACGGTCGCGGGCGCTTTGTGGGACAGGTGCTTCACGAGCTTGTTCAACGTGTGGCCCGTATCGATAATATCTTCGACCTGCTCAGAAAAACGAATAGGTCAGAGTCTATTGTGAGAGAACACGGCGAGCGGAACAAGGAAACTGGAGCCAGGCAAGCGGGTTGACCTGCCGGTTAACCTGCGACTTACCCCCATTTTCACGAAGTCTGGAGGAGTTGCATCGATGCTTCTTCTGATCAAGTCAACGTCTCTCCTCAGGGGGGGACTTTCAAGAAACAGGAGCGAGCATGGACGGCACTTTTGTCAGCTTCCAGCCTGCAGGCTTAGATTCTCGAGACGTCAACTTTTAGGAGGACGACAACATGAGAGTCTGCATGGCTTCAAAGGTCGGTTCAACGAATCGGAAGCCGGTTTCTGCTAGGGACTGCACGATGTCGTTGCGATATGTGAATCTGTTACCTAGTTTCTTCACAAGTTGGCGGGGCCTTTGAAGGACATGGTGAGTTGATGGTAATTTTAGAAACGATAAGTGCTGAGACTGGCCGCCCAATACCGGCAATAGAATGCACCCTCAGCAGACTCGAAAGCGCAGCAAAACGAAGGTTTTGATATTCATAACGAGAAAAGATGTCCTTTCGGTCTCCTCGACATCTCTCGTTTGCAGCCCGAAGGCGTGTCCCGTTCAAAAGAAGAAACGGAGGACTTGACCGCAGACTTTTGTAGATGCATAAGCGACCGCCCCGCTCCTCACAGCTCTCTCGAAAAATTTGGCAATGCAATGAAGGCGTGCCCCCGTGCACGAAAGAGGCAAAACTGAGGCGACAATCAGCAACTCATTGCAGGCGAATACACTTCGATCCTGGACATGACTCTGCATTAGATTTAAAAGGCATGTCACTTTCGAAGCCAGTAAGCTAAACAGAAGGCAGGCATCTGCAAAAGCGAGAAGCACTCAACATCTCAAGAGAAGGGCTTGAAAACGAGTATGACTTGTGACGTTCCGAAATCGAAGAGCTAGGAAAGCTGAATTAGAAAAGGACTGAGCATGGACAGCGGAAAAGAGGAAAAGAGCTGCTGGGGTTCGCGCACCACTATGACGTTTTGCCCCACAAGATCCAAGACTGTGTCCTTTGTAATGGCCACAGCGCCGCTCGATGTCGTTCCAACTCCATAGGAGGCGGCTTTTACAAAGTCGATCTGAACGGGAAGCGAGATGGCCCTCGCTAGGTCGGCCAGGAAGAGAAATGCGCCCGTCGCCACCTGCCAATACAACATGTTTCAGCTATGGATGTAGTTCCATTTTGCCTCTAAAGTCTTTTAGAGGCAAGTATTACAATCATGTGGCGTACTGCTTCACTAGTCGTCTCACACATGAGCAACAGGGATCAGATTCTTCAGAGAGGAAGGTGCTACGCGGAACATTGTTGATTTCTAATCAGGTCTTGGGCTCCTCATCCGAAAGCAAGGTGGTAAAACCCCACATTTTGGCTGCGGCCCAAACACATCGCTTGATAAGAACCCAGTAAAAAGAGGAAGCGTAAGTTTCTAGAAATCAGCACACAAAACGAATGTGACGAGGGACCTAAACTCTCTCTGGAGATTGAACTTCCTTTGTCATTTCCCATCATTGTGTGCCCCTTCTCAACAACCGGATGAGGCGTTTGCATTTCCTAGGTCAATCTGTAGTCCAAAGAGGTTCTCTCTCACGCCAATATTGACATTCAAAGTCCAACCAAACAAGAGACATGGCCAAAGAAGCCTCTACCAAGTCAAGCAGGACGGAACGTGTCCAAAGAAAGCAGCCTTGATAAGCGACTTTGAGGGGTTGCCCTACCCCAAGTAGCACCACTGGCTTTCCCGCAAAATCCTCTGATATCTGCTTCCCAAGCTCCGCCACTTTTGCCGCCAACACGTCAGCCGAGAACAACACCTCCCTCATGTCAGCGTCTTCCTCGTACCGCATCTTGATGGGTGCGGTGGTGGTGCCCATGTTGCTCCCTACTTTAGTTATACTCTCTTTCTCTGATGCTCTGAAACTGTTTGCTGACAAACCTGACAAACCACCTCTTTGTGGGGCTGGAGATGTAGAGTTCCGCCAGGGTATACTGCCTCTGGTGGAATGGAGATGTGCGACACAGTGGGAGTTCCCGTGAGGAACAGGGCAACTGCTCGAGGATGGATTGAAGTGGCGGAGCTAAATTCCTGTTAGCAAAGGTTGCTTGTAAGGTTGAGGAGAAAGCTGTGCAACAGAAAAGTTGGATTCCTGCACGTATGTTAGCTGAAAAAGAGTGGCGTTGAAAGGACAACTTTGGGCACCTCGGCTTATGGCGTGCATGATCCGCCCCCGAAAACAACAGCGATGAAAGCAGACCAATTTGGCAGGTGGACGTACTGACGTAGTGGTGTAAGTGAAGGAAGAACAGGGGCGCTTTTCAAGAGTTCAACTTCAACTTCAACTTCAAGTTCAAGCAGGAAACTGGAATTTGGAAAGCTGGCCAGCTGTTTACACACGGGCTAAAATGTGGTGATCATCACTGTGGTAATGGTTCAGTGCGTGGTAATGGGTTTCAGGGGGATTAACAGGTTGCGACACCAAGGCGTAACGTTAGCAAGGAAACGAAGGGGACCGTTACGGTTTGGTGACCCTGTCTTCTGAGCGCTGCTGAAGGCAGCTGAAGGTTGTGAATGTGAGGTCAACTTTCGCATGATCAAATGTTTTCCAACTTGGAGTTTTACTATTAGGCAGAGACGTTTCGGTTGGTGGTGCTATTTGATTTCATTTCCCATCAGCAGAAGAAGATGTCTTTCGGGAATGTGGCTGCTGCGTGTCCCTAGGGCTTTCCAGTCGCTCTGTTCCTTTGTTGCAAAGCATGTGGCCCCCTGTGCCGAGATGCAAAGCGCTGCAGCCCTCCCACTCGCTGGACTCTCAAACAACGTGAGAACATTCAAAAGCCTTGGAGGGCCGTCTGAGATCTTTACTCAGGCCCGCATTTGGAAGGGAGGTCTGCTATCTAGCTTAGAAAAGCCAGCATTCCTGGGGGATCTGCCGTCAAGGAAAACTAGAGCAGGGAGGCTTGTGTCGCACGATCGGCTCTCCAAAAGGAAAGGCAACAAATCCCTGGAGTGGAGGCGGGCCAGGGAGAGCTGGCTGCACAGATTGTCAGCAGGGCAAGCCGTGCCAGCCGCAAAGCTGCATGAGCTTCTCGTGAGCGAACCCCAGGAGCTACAGAAAACCACTTTACGGCCTCAGAAAGGGGAGCTACAGAAAACCACCCCAAGGCCTCAAAAAGCAACCCCAAAGCCGTACCACCAGCCATCGCTGGACTCCCGAAAACCTCCTCAACCTCGTTCTCCGAAAGAAGCTCAGAGGATGGAAAATCCAAACCAGAACAAGCGGAAGCGGAAGCACCAGGGGCCGGAGTCTGAGTGGCGTGGCAAACTAGATATGTGCACAAAGTTGAGGGACGTGGGGGGGGCGCTACGACTGGTGCAGGAGGGGGTGGATGGTGGTTTCCGCTTCCAAGCGCGCAACTTCAACCAGGTTCTATACCTTTGCGCAGCGGCGGCGTCTGGTGAGCCTGAAGTTGGCGGTCCAGAGGCGTCCGAAAAAGGCGACATTGCTGGGACGTCTGAAAACGGCGGCATCGCTGGGGCTACTGACGACCGCGGTGTATTGGAAGCTGCAGAAAGGGGGAGCGGGGAGGACACTAGACAGGGGAGCGAAGGGACGGACGGAGACGCTGGGTCGTCGGTGATTGACAAGGGTTGGGAGGTGTATGAGCTTATGCAGCAGGTGAGGCTTGCGCTGGTACGAGCTGTATGCTGCTGCCATCAGGAAAAACGTCAAGATGTCATCCAATGGAGTGTGCTCAAGTTTCGAGACGTCAGTAGGGGGATAGTTGAAATACAGGCTTGTTAATGGTGAATCTTCTCTTATGGAGGGAGGATGGTAAGGTATGCAGAGAGCGTACTCCGGTGAACAAGCGACACCACTTCAGCATCGCTCTTATGTGGATTAATCTGGAAAGGTTTCGAAGTGAAGAGGATCGCGCAATTCAGATTTCTGACTCTTCCAGATGTTCATGCGTCTGATCAGCCTTCAATGTCATCCATGCTTCGGTTGCTTTGCTCTTTCCAGAAGTGGTCCTCTTTGCTCCTGACCAGAGGTCAATGCCTTACACAACATTGTTGGAGTGGCCAATGGGAAGCCAAACTCACTTTCTCGTCGATTGTTAGGCCTGCAAACACCGAAGAGTGTTTTCATCACTTCATCCTTGTTGTAACGTTACTGTCCTGGGAATCAATTTTTGATGCGATATAGAGTCTGCATCACACTTTTCAGCCCCTGGCTTGACAATGTCAGGAGACTCCATCCTCACAGCGGGCCCCTCTAGCTCTTTGAATTCCACTCATGATACCAATTAAGGACAAGAAGGGAGGGTACTCTATGCAAGATGGCTGCTCTTTTGTTTCAAATTGGTCAAGAACTGCTCCAACTCATTGAACCTTTTGTGAATGAATTGTCAGTGGATCACCGACCACTCATGTGGTTCATTTCCACAGCAAGGCGTCACACCCAATGAAGCCACCTTCACCTCCATGGCGCGAATCGCTGCCGTTTCCGGCGACGGCGATCGCGCGTTTGCACTCGTCAAACAGATGTCCGCAGCAGGCATTTCCGGCCGATTACGCTCGTACGGCCCAACTCTAGCAGCTTTTGCAAAGGCGGGCCGGTTAGAAGACGCTTTTGAGGTCGACGAGCATATGTTAGCGGCAGGAGTAGAACCCTTGGAAGCGGAACTCGCAGCGTTGTTGTCGGTTAGCGCAGAGAGCGGGAGGGCGGACAAGGTGTATGCGCTGCTGCACCGGTTGCGGGTGACTGTAAAACTGGTCAGGTAAGCTTCTCGATTAGCGCTAATGTGACGTTCATCGAGGTTGGGAACGAGTTTTTTCTGCCTGCCTGTTAGTTGAATGTACAGGGCAAAGGGCTCGTCGTTGGTCCATTTCACGTTTGCGTAGTGAGGCACACTCTGAGCATGATGCCAGCAGAGTAAGGATCGTTCAAAATGCAGTCGGAACAGAGTTGTAAGGTTGCGCAGGAAAGCAGTTTCTGCGAGTGGAAAGCCTTAAAGTTTGCTGAGGGCGCAGTAAACGCGGCCACTTTGCTGCACTGCTCCAATCTTTAGGTGTTTGTGGGGGCTCTTTAACAGTCAATGTAGCGTTTGGGGGCTGACGCAGCTTGATGATGGCACAGGGAGGAAAGTTCAATTCTCGGGCTCGAATTGCAACACTCAATCTCAAAATTGTCCTGAATTCCTTCTGCACTTCTGAGGTGGATGACATTTCAAACAATGAGCTGTGAGTGAATCAATGAATCTTTCGGTTGGTACGTGTAGGAGAGTGAAAGTTCGAGTTCTTGCATCAAGGTGCTGTGCCGACAAGCGGAGTCGCTACCCGTTCTGGTGCGCAGGAGTCAAAAGCAACTCTTAACCACCTCGAGTCCAGGAAATGCCTCCCTACTAAATGCATACACATCCCGCTCCTGCAGCCCCGAAACGATTGCCATTCTCGAACGGTGGTTCTCTTCCGAGGCAGCCTCCGCGCATGCGAGCGGCTCTTTCTCTCCAGAAGAGATCAAGTCCGCTGCCGAAAAGGCCACGGGGGGTGGCTGGCACGGCAAGGGTTGGCTCGGAAACGGAGCTTGGACGGTGGAGAAACGGAGGATCGAATCGAACGGCCGTTGTAGCACCAGCGGAGAAACGCTCGCGGCCGTCGATCTGGATCCTGCGGAACGGGAAGGGTTTGCGGGGGCGGTGGCGCGGTTGGCGTGCGAACGGGAGCAGCAGCCGGATGACTTTCGGAACTTCCAGGTAGGTGACAAGCAAGTCTACCCGTGGGATAGTCCCTTTTCTGACGGTGAGCTGCTTAGTGCTAAACGGGAGATCTGCTCATAAAATCGTGCAAACGGAACGAATTCGACTTTCACAAACTTTCGGCTGCTCTCTGAACCCGGGGATGGAGAACACGGACTCCCGTGTGCTGCCCTGGACCCCGCGTTGGCTATCACCCCACTGCCCGGCCACCGCGCCGAGTTGGTGACTCTATCCCGGTCCGCGCAAATTTGACTCGGACGGCGAGCACAACATTGTATCTAACCTACTCAGCCAGACTGGGCCGTCGCCGTCGGGCGGGCCCGGTTTTCGAGTAATTGGACTCAGACCGACCGTCGGTCAGCGGTGGCCGCGCGCGTTATACAAGGCTTCACCTAAGTGGGGTGATAGCCAAGGCGGGGTCCACGGTAGCTTACGGGAGTCCATGTTCTCCATCCCCGGGTTCTCTCTAGCGGAAGTATCATCAGAGTCCAAGGAAACAGCAGAACCTGGCAGGTGCTCTTGTACGAAGCTGTCAGCCACTCTCCCCCTTTTCGTTCACCGCAATAGGCGCTAACGTCGCCGCTAACGTCATCTCTGCAGAGGTGGCTGGACGAGCAAGGGGAGATGTTTGCGGTGGTGGATGCGGCCAACGTGGGGCTGTACAAGCGGGTGCATTCGGACGGGAGCATGGCCTGGCCGCAGGTTAGCCGTCCGATTATCCAGTCTGAAGACGAATCCACTCCCTACGTTTCTGGCAGATTCCTTGGGACTTTGGCCATCAGGTCAGCTCGAGTCTGCTTATTTGGCCATACAAGCGGGTAGATGCGGATGGGAGCGTCGCCTGGGCGCAAGTGGGCCGTCCGCGGCGCTCAAACTGCATACTGCAACACGTTTCACCATCTGATGTCCATCGAGCTTGGTGTGGACTGTTGACACCTTTTTTGATGATTTCCCCTTTGATGATTCCCCCCACCTCAATGACGGTTCCACAAATTGATACTTCTTGATTCAATCAAATTATCCACTGAACACATAAGCTGTTGACTTGAAAACAGAACCTAAATCAAAGGTTCACGCCTTTCCCTCTCTCAAACATCTGAACCCGCCAACTAAGCAAACCCGTCTCGAGACGCTTTCTCCTCGTTGTTCTTTGGACTTTGATTCACTGCGTCAATGTGAGTCACGCAGTGGGGCATGCCTTTATGCTCAGGCGAGAAGCAATCTCCAGCAGACCTTCGCTTCTCAATGATGTTATTCTTCTGCTTTGGCTGCCTTGACGTGCTGATTGGATCTTTCAGCTTTCAAGCTGAGCTTTTGATCCAGAACTCTTGGTTGCTTTGTCATCACCTTGGTCGTCAGTTTGTTGTGAAAAGTTAGGCTTTGAGTCACGCTTCCGGTGATCTGCCAAGTTTGGTTCTGTATCTGGAACATTGTTTACGAGGATGAGAGAGGACTCGGAAAATACCTGACCTTTCCTGTAACCCACCGAAGTTCTCTGCCATTCAGCACTTTGAGGTCACCTGATATTTTAGAAGATGCCGATTCCGTATCCTTTGCGGATCGTTAAGTGCTGAAGACCACTGTCTCTTACGTTCATACGAGATCAGACCCTTGCTGTGGCCGTGACTGGTTGGCCCCTTTGGCGCACCCTCGCCAAAGGTGGGACCAATGAGGAGCCAAAGAGATGTGTCTTTTCAAGTCTCCAGTGCACTATTCCGTAGTTTGTGTCGGCGCTTGTTCTCCTCGGTCCTCCGAGAGTCGTTTCTGCCGTCGAGGATCGGAGTTGCAGACATGCGTGCTGGAGTGCCTTTGCCTCAGCTCTTCGGAAGGTTGCTTCTGTTCGTGACCGTGTAAGCCCGGCCGTTTTCATGCAGTGGTTTGCTTCGAAGCTTCCTAAGTGACTCTCTGCCGAGACTCTCTCGCCTATTCGTTTTCGCGGGTTGCTGGTGGAGGTTTTGGAAAAGAAAGGCTGTTTGTTGTTGGACGGGAAGGTGGAGGTGTTGCGATACAAAAGCAGCGAAGGCGAGGAGTCAATCCCGTTTGATGGGTGACATTGATTGCCGCTTTGGCTATGATGGCTCGTGAATTGGCGCGCTGACCGCCTTACACAGGAACCTGATGGCCCGCAACGCATTTATATCAGTTGTATCGATTTCAGGGATGGTTGTTGATATATCACGCACAATGCTGGGGACAAGAAATTCTTCTGTCTCAGGCATCAAGCTTTTTAATTAGCTGCTAAAACGGCTCCCTTGTATCGGTTGGCTTCAAGAAGCGCTGCGTGAAAGCTCTGGTTTGAGAGAACTGGCCTCAAATCTCGTAGCCAGTTTAGAAGACAGTTGGCCTGCAAAGCCGGTTCGATCGTCCAAAGCAAGCTTGCGAAGCATTGTTGTTCTTTCGTGATTGCCTCCGGCAGATGCTTCTGGTCCTGCGGACTGGCTCCTATTTGTTGAATCTGTCGCGAGCTTTGGGCCTTGGCGGTAGACAAGCGACGAATCGAAGGAGACTGCTGTATCGATCTGAAAGTGGCTGCTGGGCAAGTCGCACCCAAACGGCAAAGCGCCGGCGTCAGCGCTGATCACGTGATCTTTTTTTCCGCAATCCTGACGTCTTGAGGCTCGCACAGTCAATCCTCGTCCACCTTTCCGGTACACAGGGCGTTGACCACCATGAACGAGTTCAAACCGGCGAACCGTAGCACATGTTGGTCAGAGCTACTGCTGCTGACGTCAGCTCCATATTATCGCCGCTGTCGGGTCTCTTCCGACCACGTGTTCCCGACCTTGTTTGTGGTCTGGAGTTCAGTTCAGTCGCGAAATCGACACGGATGGTGAGCGGAATGAAGAAGCGTGACCGATCGGGGCGGCTACCTTCCTTCCCGTCGCACAGAGACGATAGATGCTGGCAATTTTTCCCAGACGACTCTCTCTCACCATCTTTTTCTCTTTGAGTTCCGGTGATTCTGCAGGTCGGTACAAGCATAAGCGGAATGAAGGGACTGCGTCGGTTGGGGCGGCTGCCTTGCTTCCGCGAGTTACCCAGAAATGTTAGACCCTGCAAATGTCGAATCGCATTCCGTTCGTTCCGCAGGTCGACACGGTCATGAGCGGAATGAAGGAGCTGGACCCCCTCGGCCAGTGGCTGCTGCTCGAGTATCACAGACAACAAACGCTGTCAACTCTCTTGATCTAACCTTGCCTTACCGGCCTTTTCTCAGCTTATTCCGTTCGTTCCGCAGGTCGACATGGTCATGAGCGGAACGAAGGAACTTGACCCGTCCGGGCAAAAGCCGCTGCTCATGCATACAGAAAAAAAAAAGTCCGTCAACCTTCTCTTTTCAACCTTGACTTACCGGCCTTCCCTAATCACATTCCGTTCGTTCCGCAGGTCGACACGGTCATGAGCGGAATGAAGGAGCTGGACCCGTCCGGGCGGTGGCCGCTGCTCGTGTTGCACCAGCGGAGGACCAAGGGCGCGCCCGCCACGCGCGCATTGAAGGCGTACCGGGATGAGTCGCGGTTCTACGGGACGCCGTACGGCTCCAACGACGACTGGTGAGCCTCCCAATCTTGTTTCGATCTGAAATTATGACATCATGACGGAGTGATTGGAATAGGAAGGAAGGCAGCTCGTTTTCGAACCGAAAGTATGAACGCGACGCTCGTCAGCTTTAGGTGTCGGGTCTCGCCTTACTCGTGTTGAAAAATCTGATCAGAATCTATCCCAAACCGTGCGTGCCGCTGTTGCCGAGTCGCCGGACACCCGATCCGTCCAATCCGCCAGATCCGCCCATCCCGGTCAGTCCGCCGGCTTTGGTGTCTGAGCAAGCAAAGCATTAGGCCTGGGTCCGTTTTGACGGACTCAACTATCTGGGTATACGCCACGCTCCTTGGATTCTGACCGTCGTCTTCTCATTTGGAAGCTCGTGCTTTTTTTCAACCGTTCTGTTGTCGACTTTCGCCGGTTGTCCGGTTTGCGCTTCTCAACCCTGCTGCGCGCAAGCTTAGGGGGTCGAGTTCCTGTCAGAAATACTTCCAAAAAGGGCGTCGCTGCCTGACTGTTCCTGAAGCCGGACCAGCATTGATCTCGTTTGGCACTTCTCTCGTCCCTTCGTACCCTCTTTGCACATTATGCTTCTTGTGTGCTAGCACGGGAAACGGAGCCTGACAAGACACAAGTGCCAATGAGGAGATTGCTGATGCTCATCGCGTCGAGTTTGGGGTACTTTGCGGGCCTCTTGTTGGGACACTGTTCTGTCAACGGTTGTTTCGAAGCAGAACGGACCGTCAGATAGCATGGATAAGTCAGCGCAACTCGCAGCTGCGGAGGCCGTTCAAAGGCTCGAACACGGTGCACTCCTGACTGACGTCGTGATGGCTGCGTCCAGGTATTGGCTGTATGCCGCGGTTAAGAAAAATTGTTACCTGGTAACCAACGACGAGATGCGCGACCACATCTTCCAGCTGCTCGGGGACAACTTTTTCCCCAAGTGGAAGGAGCGCCATCAGGTGAGCGGGCGGTTTTTGCGGATTCTCTGTTCCGGAGTGGTTGCCTGAGTTTCTAGAACCCCAGGCTCAGAAAGCTCGGAATGGTCAACTTTTTCCCTGAGTGAGAGGAGCGTCACCAGCTGAGCCGGCACTCCTCGTCACAAGTGTGAACATACTGCTACTTACTTTGAGAAACTTCAACGGACGGAATAGTGACCTGCAAAATCAGGTCGTTTTGAGGGTGCATCATTACAAGGATGGAGTCTGAGCATTTTAGCGCCTGCGGGCCTTTTCTTTTGCTTGCTGGGCCAACCTCATGTCCGCGAAGCTCGTCAACTTTGTCCCTTCGTCCGCACAGGTACGGTTCACAATGCACGAGGACGGCGATCTGTTCGAACTCCCGCCGCCGTTCTCCACCTGCATCCAGGTACGGCACGCCTGTGTTCTTTTGCTGTCATATCGGAGTTTTCAACAGCTTTGCAGCAGGCAGACTGCAATCTTGACTCAGCAATCAGTTGCGCAACAAACCATCCCTATTTCCCGGTAGTCATATCCGTAACGGGTTTGCACAAGCAGGGTGTGAAACGCTTTTTTGAAGAGAAGTTCCCGACGCAAGAGGTCTGCTGTAGGCGTAAAGGACCGTCGACAACTCCGGACGGGGCGGTGGTTCGCCTTAAATCGACCTGGTTAAATCATTTCCTTTGCTCGACGGGTTTGCTATATTCGTAAACCTTCTTTTGTCTCTTTATCTCTCCGACACCGGCTCCATAAAAAGAGACTTAAGGTGCTTTCAGGTTAAGACCCCCTCGAACATGGTCTTCATTGAGTTGCTGAGGCCCATCTTGTGGCCGGTGCAGGAATCGCTCGAAGGTTCGTGGTACTTCCCGATCAGGGATTCGGACGAGTGGCTATGCTGTCATAGACGGCGGCCCACGGATCAAGATACTGCATTAAAACCGTAGAGAACGATTCTGCCTGAGCGTTGAAAATTTTAGCTAGCGCCTTTCTACCGTACGCAACACCATGAGGATCTATGTGACTCGGCGCTTTCCGAATCAGAAAGGCCGTCTTTTGCGACATACGGTTTGTACTGGCAGGCTAATGCACATGACCCATGTGGCTTTCATTACATGGATGCGGACGGTACATGTTTATTAGTATCCTCCTAGAGAATTCAATGAACGTGACTGAATATTCAGTTTATAGTACGATTCATGATTCCTGGCGCCCTTTCCGGCCGGTCAAACTGCATCCGTATATTCGGTCCCATGCTGTTCGGATGCTTTGAAATTGGACTCAGTTTGGAAGATCTCAATCTTTTGATATGTAAGTGTATGCTGCTGTACAGCGCGCAGCCGTCACAAACCGTCCCCCCGGCCTGTTGTTGATGTTGGTGTTTTTATACACCTCATCATAACGGCCCGCGGCTCTTCTTGCGCGAAGGCTTCTAGGACGCTCTTTTAAAAAAAGGCGGCCGGGCCTTGGCAGGATTCTCGATCAGCCGCGGTACCATGAAAGCTAGCTTGGCTCTAGCTAGGCCTGACGTGTACGCGAGACCCAACAATGCTGTCCGACCGGTCATACGGGTCCTAGCTTTGACGGTCACAGCGTTTTTAGGTTGCGAGTGCTTCTCATGACCTCAAAGGGCCGGGTTGGCATGGTGCTTTGCGCACAATTCAGCATGCATCATTGCCTGTACGAAGCATCGGCGGCACAAATCGAGCCTGGCGGCAATCCAATTTGATTCGAGATGCTTTTGGCGTGAGCAGCCCCTTCCCAACTGGGCACGAGTACTTTCGAGGTTGCAGTAGCAAACACTGGCTGTCAGGTAAGTTGCCGTCGTGACGCAAATGTCGACTTTTCCTCCATCGAAGCCGAGATAGCCAATAGAGTGATGGCCAAAAGTGTTGTCTGTCTCTAGGCGAGTTGACATCACGCGGTGTCCCTGATTCGGGTGAGCGTTGAAAAAGGGCAGGTCGATATGCCGAGTTTATCACAGACTCCAGGCTGGTGGGTGACTCTGCGCGAAGGTGGGGAGCCGTGCATCACTTTCGCTCGAAGGAGGCGATGTGTCGATCTGCTCAGTGCGGTTAACTTCTTTTTGTGCGTTTCAACATTATGAAAGTTTGCTTGAAAGTAGGCGAAGATTGCCTCCTCACGAGAATGTTTTTCAAGAAGTCTGTCTTTCTCTGTGCCACTTGGTTCTCAATGCAATTAGCAACGAGATGGATGAGAAACTTATCTTTTGTTTCGACCTTTCGTTTAGAGGTTCTGTTGGGCCGAGCCTGATTGCTTCCTCCCCCCCTGTTCTCTTCTCTAAGGCGGACTGTTTGTTTCTGCTCGTGCGAATTGGACAGGTTGATCACGTCGGTGCCCCTATTACTGAGTACGTGTACATTCGTATCTGGCCGGATGTCACAATTTAATGGTGAAAAACCAGTCTGTCTGCCACTGTTCCAAGTGAAATGAGCAGTCGGATCAAAGAGGATCAGGCCGTGAGAAGCTTCCGTCCACCCCCCGTTGATGACTTTTCACTAGCTCGGACATATATCTACTAAGTCCTCTTGTTAAGGACCGCGCATGCGTCTTGATTTGTGTGACCAGGACCACTCAATTCGAAAATCAGCCCAGTAGAGAAAATCTAAGTTCAAACCGTGATCGCCCCACTTCCTTCTACGAAAGTAAGCCGCAAAATATGCCGCAAAATACCTTTGGGAAACTGCAGCAGTCCTCACGTATCGTTTCATTCACTTCGTCGGTGTCTCCTCCGTGCTAAGTCGCCCGATGATCTTGGAACCAGCCGCTCTCAACACCATGAAAACTTTCTCTATCCCATCCCGAGTCGCTCATCGACTCCTCAATCGACATTGGGGAGTCCGTTTTGTTTTAGGTACCGGACGCACCATTGTCCAGATCAGCCCTACCGGTCAGCAGACCCTGTTCGCCCAGATTAACACCGGGGAACCTGTTGGACTTTCCACCGCTCTAGTTGTTCTCCAGAGCGGCTGGGTTATCGTCGGGAATACGCCCACAATTGACGGCACGTCCGCCACCGTCATGCGAGGTGGGTTTCGGAAAGAGTTCCGAAGATTTGACTGAAAGCGCTTTCAGGACCGTCCTGCCTTTTCAGAAGCATTCCAGTGTCCTTGTCTCCAGCTTTTAGCAGTCAGCTCCCGACTGATTGCTTTCGCGGTCGACCTTAACTTTCTAATTATAGCGTGCCCATCCATTCACAGCTTTGAATATTGTCCTGACTAAATGATTGCATACGAAGATATGACGACGGCTGTTCCAGTCGTTCAATGCTGGCAACCCACGATGCGAGCCCCAAGCTAGTGCAGTCTGACCACGACCCGAATGTTCGGTCAATCTTCTAATCTATGTGGCACTGCTGATCATGACAAAATGTATTTTCCCCACAATCGGTGGAGTGGAGACTTTCGAACCGACTTTGACGCCCGGTTTCTCCCCAGGTTCCATCTTCGTTTTGGACGCGTTCGGCAGTGTGCGGGCGGAGCTGAAGAACAACTTCATCAACGGGCCTTGGGGAGCCACAGTCGCGGTAAGGAGTCGAGACCTCAAGACTCATCTTCTATTGCAATCGCATTCTGCAGTCGGGTCATCTAACTTTGGTACTACCATCGACGTTCCCTCCAGTCTCTGCGGATCCTCCCTTTTATGTTGACAGGGAATTGCATTGGATGTTCATCTACCCATCCGAAAGCTAGATCGCTTTGACATACTGTGAAAGCTTGTTTACACTCTCTCAGCTTCGATCGTGGTACGATGATCCTTGTGCTCTGTCTTTACACCGACGCCCGCGCTTGAAGTCCTGTCTCACTTTCTAAGTTTCCGTCTCCGCTTCCGTTGTCCTTTCCGTTTTCGTTCCGTTCAATTTTGAATACTATATCCGGTCGCTCCTGATTGGCGGCGCCCAATGTCTAGGACTTTGGCGGTAGTGCTTCCCTTTTCGTAAGCAACGTGATCGCGCCTGCCAACGGGACAATCGTGCGCTGGAGTCTAAACAACATAAGAAGCGCGGACGACCCCCGTAACCGGCCCCCCCAGTTAACTAACCCGAACATTGTCGCAAACAATATCGGCGCGGCTCTAGACCCGGCGGCTGTGGTGATTGGTCCGGTGGGGCTGGGCTACGCCAACAATCAGCTCTTCGTATCCGGTGAGACCGCGCCACGTGTCATGTTACTGTTCGCTCTGTGCTTCTTTCTCGTAAAGGCGTGCACGTGTTGGGTTTCGACGACCGGCTGATATGAACCCTACGCAGCTGAACTGAAGATTCTTGACCGCTTGAAGCATGCGTTCTGCGCTTGGCGCGTCGCAAGTTTTCGGTAGACAGCCCTTGGTTAACCAGTCTGCCTAACCCTCAATCGGTACCCCACGCGCAGATGAGGTTCACAACCGGGTTCTCCAGTTCAATAATGTCATCGTCGGTAACCTCAACCCTAACCCGGTTGTCGTGACCTCCGACAACGCCCTTCAGCAGCCCATCGGCCTCACTCTGACGCCCAACCGTGAGCTTTTGCAGACGTCTTCCGTCTCGGCTGATGTCTGCGCTGTCCCCGCAAACCTTCAGTTTGATCTAGCTGCTCGTATGCTCTTCGTCCCGCTGACCTCATCAATGTCCACGGAAAGTGCCATGCAAAATGCGATCCCAAAATAGATTTTAGAACGGGGCCGCATTTCTTCGATGCTTGAGATTGCAACGAAATCAGTAACCGCTTCTCCGGTACGTCCATCTGGGTTCGCGCCAGCAAAATTGGCAATGGGGGAGGGATTACTACTACTTGGGTTTCTTTCCGATGAGCCCAATCGCTCCTTCTGTCCAGACGGTTCTGTACATCTCGATCGGATCATCGAATGAGATGCTGAGCACTTTACTACTGTAGACGTCCATTACCCGGGTTTGCTTGAAGCGCCCAGTCAAACCGGATCGTCGCAAAGTATGTGCGCTCTTAATAGAGGCTGCTCGAAATACTCCTGAATGGGTCTTTAATCCCCTATGTCATTTACAAGCTCAAATAATTGACATCTCACTCCTTCCGTGACTTTTTGCAGAGAACCAAGCACTGATCGTCAACAATCTGAACGGGAATCTGGTTGACTTCACGATCCCTGGTAAGCGCCCACACCTGCAGACCGTTTGATATCCTTCGATCTTACTTTCAAGCATATCTGGCTGTTTCTAACTACCGAATGTCCGATACTTTAGAGGAGCCTTTCGTATTTTCTTGTCACTCTACTGCTGTCGGTTGCCTAGCATTTCACTATGTCGCAAAAAATCAACGTCTTGCCAATAAGTTTGTGACGATGCCCCTTTTGGACGTGCCAAACCCAAAACCCTATAGCCACGCAGCAAAACGGGTTTCCCCTAAGTTTCCCCCTCTTTGAAGTCAGTTTGGATGCAAAGCCAAGATTTGCGCGCCGCTCTTTTCAATGGATTACCATGTGAAAGTGCCTTTGCCCCGCGTCAGAATAAAGCATATCAGATCTAGAGAGAGGCCTCCATTATCGACGAAAGCAGAGAAATCTCGGATCGGCCCACACGGGAAATAGCAAGCTCTGTATATCTCACGCCAATCCAGAAAGTGTCATCAGAGTCTCTAGAATCAAAGTCGTGCAAAGGCTTGTAAAATGCAATGCGCATGTCTGTGTCAGCTTTGAGTATGTATCGGGAAAAGGTACCTACCTAGAATGTCCAGATTGGGGAATCAGAACTTGACGCTGCTTCATCGAGAACCTCCAGAAACAGGTCCTCGGGTCTCAACGATTCTGGTATGCCAGCAAGAAACTGACGTCCTTTATGCGTGTGATTCCATACATAAACTGATACCTTTGTTGATGTGCAGCCCGCGGAGTCCAGCTGGCGACTGCGACCGTGTCCAACTTTGGCGCGAGGAGTCTTTTTGGTCTCGCCGCCACGATCAACCAGTTTGGCCAGAGGAAGGTGTACTTTGTCAACGACGGAGATAACACGCTCAACGTGCTGCAGTGATCAGCCGTCGAGTTGCAGAATTTTCTCGTAAAATGAGTGACGACCTGCTTTTTCAGGCTAGAGCGTTTTGTTGTCGCAACGAACATAGTAATTGTACATAAGAATCTCCGGTTGAAAACTTTGTTTAGGGGCGTAACGGACTGCCATACGCACTCACGCAGCAGAAACATTCGATTAGCCGGCTTGAAACTTTCAGATTAGGGAGTCAAATTAGCTGCCTCCCACGTTAAAACATCCGTGTATACATTAAGCTTGAGTTACATTGATTTGACGTGGTCGACGCTCTTTGGAGGGCTTTACAAAGAGATGGCGCAAAACATAATGCCCCAGCCACGGCCAAAGGTTGCATTGCACAAGTATTCTTGGTCGCAACAGAACGACCGGATTCTGGTTTATCTGCAGCAGTTGAAGTCGACGCTATGTATTAGTGGGCCTAATATCTGCCGTAAATAAGACTGTGCAATCCCGCCAGCCGCGCCAGATCAAATACGAAGCTACTGGCTCTCCGATCCCTTTCCGGCCGCTCTCTACCAATTTATATAATGGCCCTCCAATTGCGCACATCGGCAATCAATTCCTGTCTCCAAGTGCTCTTCAGAACCGCCCAATCAGCTAGCGCCACGTCCGCCCACGACTGCAGCTTCAGTGCTCAAAAGCTCCCCGCTCTAGTTCAGGGGCCGTCAACCGGGCGGTAACCAGTTCTTTCCCCCGGTCTGCCTTACGGGCCAGTACCATCGCGTGTAATCTTGGGTTTCACTATTAGCAACTCCCCGGTTTGTTTCAAAATCTCTGGCAACAAGACGTGTACCAATCCAAACGATACCAATTCCAAGGTCATGCAGCTGAATTATCTCGAACGATCCCCCAAGTCACGTTGGGCCCTTCCGCGAATACGACCGGAAACGCGCCCGGGGCTAAGTGCGAAGCATTACTGAACTGGGACGTTGCCGTACGGACCCGTCTGGGCGGCTTGGCAGCTCTTCAACGCGTGCTCCGACCAGTGTCTTTCTGCTCTGGCTTACGAACTGGCGTTCGAAGTTCTTCACAGCGTGAAACCACAGTCTGGTTAAGGGCTATTTAATGGTCGGTTAGGTGGGATTCTAACAGACGAGACTGTTTATTTAAGCCCTGGTTAAGGACCTGTTAAACAAGGCTTTTTTGACGGCAAAATTCTCCTGTGCTGGGACGCACAGCCGGGAGAAGGCTACCAGACAGCGACGCATCGCGCCCGCTCGCTTCTTCGCCTTACAGAGCACTTCAGTACCGGCAGCCGTGACTCCACGACTTGCGCCCGCTTCTCGTTCCGCTTTGTTCCGCCGCGACATCCACATTTTGTTCCACACGACCCAAAGTGGGGTGGTTTCCGCACATGATCAATCCTGCCAGCGGCATCTCGGTCGGACTTGTTTTGCGGCAAGAGCCGCCTTTCAATCCTGTGGCACGTGGAATCTCGAAGTCCAGAATGAAACACTGCCAAATTGCGGGAGACATGATCAAAAGGGGCATACTAAGTCGACCGCTCCTCACGAGTAAGCCCGAGTCAGACACCAAAGTGGCTTTTGGTGAAGAGGGCTTGTCTTTACATGAGTCCCAAATGAAAACCTTCCGACCTTACTTCGACAGCTGATCACAGAAACGACGCAGCGTCTCTGCCTCAAAATAAGCCGGGCAAGCCGAAAAGCGGAAAGAGCGGAAAAGTGGAGAAGCGGCCGCCCATTCACCGCATCTCTTCAGAGACGTTTCCTTGTTCCACTTCTGAAACTCTACCCGGTGCACCTTGGAACCTGCATCCCCACCGATACGTCAAATTTGGGTTCTGGACGATCCTGATTTCGGTTCGTTACTGCGCGCATTTCCAGGAGCTAATTCTACCGCAATCTTTGGACCATCTCGTATCACACGGGAATACCGTTGTATCAGCTCGGGCACCTTAAACTCGCACCCAAGGTATTGCACGGCCAGTCTGCAAGTCATTGTGTGCGACATTTGCGGAAGTCGACGATATACTCCATCCGCCGCCTTTGGGGGAGCGATTGAACTCTCCGTCGAAAACAACATCTTGGGTACGAGGTTAAGGGGCCCGAGCAGGCTGCGTACGTCTTTGCCCCGCCCTGCTTAGCCAGACCCAAAGATCTTCAGCGGATTGGACGGCCGGAAGCGGAAGCGAACGCAACGGAGAAAGCACAATTTGTGCCTTAAGCTGCCGGGCACTGCAAATCTTACCGTCCGCTAATTAGGTGGCCATGCATCATTCTGGATCACTGGATCTTCGAGAAAGCACATCGGCCAATCGCTGCGGCGCACAACCGCGCTTTGAAGTTGATGACGTGTCAGTGTGTGCAGTCAATCGGCGAAGTGTGCTCTGCGTTTTGACCTCGAAACATGCAGAGCTGTTCGAGGGTGCTCTCACCCTTCCGAGGAAGTGGGCACCCTCGTTTGTGAATTGTCCTGACTGTTTCCTCAGTTCATCTCATGATAGTGTTCCGGTTGCGGAGTACTTGGACTGGCAGCTAATTGCGGGGACGCGAACTGCGGAAAATTGCCTACGAGGACCGCGAGAATATGTCGCGTTGCTAGATCTTACGTGGTTGCGAGGTCTCAGGACGTGACGAGACGACACGGAGCAGCGAAGCTTTGAGCTGGATCGTAACTCTCAAAGAACCTAGTGGCTCGGGACCCGATCAGGGCGGTCAACCGGGGTGTAAACAGTTCTTTCCCCTGGTCTGCCTTACGGGCCAGTACCGTCGCGTTTCGGGTCTTCCCTTCCGCGAAAGCGACCGGGAAAGCGTCTGGGGGCTAACGGCCGAAGCATTCCTGAAGAACTGGGTCCGTTTGAACCCGTTTGGGTGGCTTGGCAGCCTTTCAATACGTGCTCTGACGGGCGTGTCTTCCTGCTTTGGTTCCGAACTCGCTCTCGAAGGATGATGGCAGGACGTACAGGCAGGAGTTCACAAAGTCTGAGCCGGCGCCGGGCAAGTCTGCGGAGCTGGGGCACCGTGCATCACTTTCGAAAGAAGGAGTCGACGTATCGATCTATTCAAAGCAGCCTTCTTGTCCCGCATTTCCGATGATGATTGGCAGTGCCCCGTAAGCAGTCAGATACGGTTGATGCGGCGTTTGCATATTTTGGGCTTCAATATCGAATGGTGCTGAGGAGTCGTATCAAGTGATCGATGTGGCGATACTTTCGAGTTCCGGCATCGATGGACGCAGAGAGGACACGTGGAAGGAGCGGCGTAAGCTGCCCGAGGGCTGCTCACGTTTGGCAGATTCGGACACCCTTATTTGGTGGACTGACGCTGCTATACATGGTGTTTCAATCATAGGTAATATTGCGTAATTTGAGGTGCGAAGTGCTCGAGGCAGCAATTTGCGGAGATCTGGATCTGGTCTGGGCGTCGGCTACGATGCGAGGACCTTGAAACGGAAGCTGATGTTGCGCGACGACTATATCCTACCGGTGTGAAGTTCAGCACGTGACGAGATGCCCGAGACAAAATGTAAAATTCATTGAAGCACTTAGTGACTTCGGGCATTGCTTTTCTAATTGGCTTACTGAAGGTCTATGGTTCCATAAGAGCGCCCCTAGCAGGATGCGGTAGATTCCCTAGTAGTGAAAGAAGATGCCGAGCGACGAACAAAGCTCTTGTTCCGAATAGACGACGATGCTGGATTGCATCCAGGTTCGATGTGCTCTGAAAGCCTCGGGCAATCAAATGGGATAGTCGAGGTAACAGTCAGCAGCATACCTTCCAGTATCTCTTGGTCAAGCTTATCCCAAGCTAGACGCATGTGTTCGCAAAGGCTTCTGTTGACTGGACTTCGTAGAACAAGCAATCAGCAAGTGATCGAAACCTCACTGCTTCAAAAGCCCTGAAAACTTTGCCCTTCATTCAATTCGTCGATCCGTCCTTCGCCTTCAGCTACCACAAAACTTCCCCCGGTTCCTTTGTACGGCCCCTTCCACCATGGCGCGCTTTTCCGGCGTCCCTTTCTTGCTCGTCCTGCTGGCGTGCGTCGCCGCGAGCTCTGCCCACCGGGCCAAGCAGACCGCCTTTGTGGCTGGGCTCACCAACAAGACTGTGGCGTCGACTGTCCCGTCCAACGGCGACGTTACTCCGTACGGATGCTTTGTCGTTCCGCGGACGGTTGGGAAGCTGCGTCGGGACAACGTTCTGGTCAGCAACTGGAACAAAGCGTCCAATCTGCAAGGCGAGTGACTGCTGTTTCAATATCGCTTTCTTGTTTCAATATTTTCTTTTACTATTGTTTATCTTCTTGTTATTTTCTTTCATGATATGTATAAGTGCCGATTGCCGATCAAGGCTGACATGGTAGCCTTTGAAGTCCACGTTAAATTGCCTGATTGTTGCACTTGCTCAATGGAGCTTGGTTGATATGTTTTCTCTGCCATATTTTTGAGAAAGGACCGCCCGTGTCTGCTGCAACTGTGATCGTCAACAGTGCTTGATTGACTATGTGCTTCCCCTTACGAACGCAGCACCTTTCCGTTTGTGTCTGGCAGAATGATTAAGGGGATGTTTAGAATGTCTGACTGTATCAGAATGAGGAATGTCAGAGCACTCAAAGACTGAATAGGATCCATTTCATGAGAGAATTTCGACCACCTCTCGCTAATGGTCCTTCCAATTCGCGGAATCGATTGAGTCTTTTCAAGAGTATTATAATTGGTTGAGATCCCGCACGCGTTTTGGACTACAGCAGATTGATGTTAACCGCTCGATCAGACCCTTTCCAGCAATGAAAGTAAATTTCGAAAACTGATCAACCCGCCTATCTCTATGCAGAACTCTGCCAGGTGTTATTCAAAAAGTCTGTATATTTCTTGGCCTTCATTCTATCGCCGTTCCTCGATTGTAAGGTCGCCAGATGTTTTGGAATCAGCCCCTTCCAACACCTTTGAGTTGCGAACAGTCTCTATCACGACTAGTCTAGCCTTTGCTCTTCCATTTGAGTTCCTGGTCAATCATTGCCCATAACACTCGCTTCGCTTTTGTGTCAGGTACTGGCCGTACCATTGTGCAAATCACCCCTGGCGGGCAGCAAACCCTCTTCGCCCAGATCAACGCCGCGGAGCCCGTCGGGCTTTCCACCGCTCTAGTTGTTCTCCAGAGCGGCTGGGTCATCGTTGGGAATACGCCCACAACGGACGGCACTTCCAACACGATCATGCGAGGTGAGGTCCGGAAAGAGTTTGGAATTTTTGCATTCTTGATGGCTTGCAGGGTCGTCCTGACGTGAGCTTTTAAAAAGCATTACGATCTAGTGTCAGCTTTGAGCATTCTCCTGACTGACTGCCTTTAGGGTCGACTCGAACTTTCTGATTTCAACGTTCCGATCCCATCCAAAGATTTGCATAATCTCCTCAATTGATTGCATGCGATTGATTAAAGACAGCTGTTCTAGTCGTTCCAGTGGTAGCTCAAAATGCAATCCCAAAGCTGGGGCTGTCTAGACACGTTCGGAACATTTCAATCAGTGTCCTCAATGTGGGCACTTCTGATCACGACAATTCATGGATTTTTTCCAACAATTGCTGGATTGGAGATTTTTGAACCGATGATGACGCCCGGTTTCTCCCCAGGTTCCATCTTTGTCTTGGACGCTTTTGGCACTGTGCGCGCGGAGATTAAGAACTCGTTCATCAACGGGCCTTGGGGAGCCACAGTCGCAGTAAGGGGCTGAACCATTTCACCGTTTGAGATTTGTGGTCGGATGATCTACAGTACGTACTTTTCGCGCCCTCAGAATGCTTTCCAGCTCCCCTCATTGAGATTCGCATCCCAATCATAGTTCCTTTGTTCCGGTTCCTGAAGTTCGGCGTTTTCAAACGGAAGAGTACTTTACTTGGTCACGTACCCCATCCCAGAGACTACCGTTACGACATGCAATATTTGTTCAAGCTCTTGAAGATTGCCAAGCTGCCACCACGCATATGACGCCCAATTGCCGTCCAATCTCACCGTTCCCGTTCCGTTCGCATTCCTGTTTAAGGTTTGCGCTTTTATCCCAGTCCCTTAGTGAGTACGAACCTACGTTCTCCAAATCCAAGGCCAGCTTTAATTTGCGGTCAACTTATCACTCCATCTTCACAACTACCTTCGAAAAAGTAGTCCGTCCTCAATGATGGGTCGCCCCTTCTCATTTCCAGGAGTTCCAATCTGCCAGCATTGCCTACCTTTTCGTGAGCAACGTTGTAGCGCCTGCTAACGGGACGATCGTGCGCTGGACTCTCACCGACATAATGAGAGCCGACGACCGCTCTAGCCGGCCCCCCCGGTTCACTGACCCAACCATTATCGCGGACAATATCGGCGCGGTTCTTGACCCGGCGGCTGTGGTCATCGGCCCGGTGGGGCTGGGCTACCGCAACAATCAGCTCTTTGTATCCGGTGAGACCGCGCCACGTGTCATGTTACTGTTTGCTTGGTTGAATATAGCCGTCAATGATCGGGCCGCGAGACTGCTGCACTGGGCTTCTCTCCGTTTTCGATCGAGGCGTGCCACGTGGCACGTTCCTATCCGTCTGATTCTGACATCCTCTGTACACAATCACTGATCATCATGGGCTGGGTTCTGCCCCGCTGATTTTTTGCCCCGCATTCAGGTGGAGGATTGCAATATGTCTCAGATTCGAGTCACCGGTCAAAGTCCTCTGTACGTACGGCATGATTCAAGCGTTTTAAAGAATATGACCGTTCTGCGTTTGAGGTGCCACACCAAGCATGAAAAACGATCCTTGCTAATTAACCAGCATGCTCAAACCTCGATTCGTACCCTACGCGCAGATGAGGTCCACAACCGGGTTCTCCACTTCAATAACGTCATCTTCCGCGGTAACCCCGACACCAACCCGGCTGTCGTGACCTCCGACAACGCTCTTCAGCAGCCCATCGGCCTCACCCTCACCCCCAATCGTGAGCTTCTGCACACGTCGTTCGTCTTGGCTGACGTCAGCACTGTCCTCGGAAGGTTTCAGTTCAATTTAGCCATCTATCTGCACATGGTCTTCGTCCTGGCTGACATCATCACTGTCCAGAGAAACTTTTACGGAAATTGTATTTGAAGTTAGCTTCTAGAACGAGGCCGGATACCTTTGATACTCGGGATATCGTGACGACTTGATAACCGGGTTTTCCCGGTCATTCTGAACTCTCGACAGGAACATGGGACTGAAAAAGTCACTGCTGTTGCGTTTCTTCCTGAGCCCAACCGTTCCTTCTGTCCAGTCGGTTTGTACTTTTCGGATCTGCGATCATTGATGCTGAGCATCTTAGAGTCTATTACCCGGGCTTGAATGAAGCACCTACTCAAACGGATTCGTCGCAAAGTAAGTGCGCTTCTAGAACAGGCTGCCCGGAATATTCGAATTGAGTCATAATTTATTTCGAAATTGTTACAAGCTGGAACATTCGACACCTTACTCATTTCGTAAGCCTTTGCAGAAAACCAAGCACTGATCGTTAACAACCTGAACGGGAACCTGGTTGACTTCACTATCCCGGGTAAGCGCCCAAGCCTTCAGACCGTTTGATTTCCTTCGATCCTAGTTTCAAGCGAGCTGTCTGGCCGTTTCTGAACCACCAGATGACCGATGCTTTAAAGGAGCCTGTCGTATTCTTACGGTGACTCTAATGCTTTACTGTGGCCACCTTGCCTGACGTCTCAATCCGTTGAAATACTTAACGCCAGTAAGCTTATGATGATGCCCGTTCGTCTTCCCCGAACCCGAAACCCTTTGGTCGAGCAGCGAAAGGCAATCTCATGCTGTTCAAATCTGTTTGCGTGAGGTCACAATCTACTCTGTTACATGGCTTACTATATAAAGAGACCTGTGCACTTCGTCGGATGTGAAACAGTGTCAAATTAGAGAGGCGTTCTTGAATCCTTTATCTACTACCCCAAGCCAGAAATGCTCCGAGCGTTCTACATGGAACGTCCCTATTTACAGCAGGCCACGGAAACAACGATCAATCTTCAGATAACTTTAAAACCGCCTCCAACAAAAACTCCGGCACAAGACCATTTGCGCCTTTAAAACTGGCCCCGGATGTAAGATCACTGTTGACTGGATTTCCCCCTTTTCCAAATCGGCGCTGATCTTATTCCTCCGTTCCTGTACTGAAGTGGCCTTAAAAGACTCTCGATTCACCGTTAAGAAGACAAGAGACACAAACCGATACCTTTGTTATGCGCAGCCCCAGGCACTCAGCTGGCGACTGTGACCGTGTCCAACTTTGGCGCGGGAAGTCTGTTCGGTCTCGCTGCCACGATCAATCAGAATGGCCAGAAGAAGGTGTACTTTGTCAACGACGGAGATAACACGCTCAACGTGCTGGAGTGAGCAGTACATTACGGAGAAGTCGGCACTAGGAGCTGGTATTTTTGAGACAAATCTTTCATGGCTACAGCGAAGGTCACTTGTCGATTTCCTTGTACGACGATTGCGGTAAAGGGCGCGATGAATGACAGTCGCTGCGTGCTTACAACCAACATTTTGATTTGGAAGTTTGAGATTTTGATTTGGAAGTTCAAATAGGTCCAAACTTCCGTCGCCCATGGGGATTCGATTGAGAATTCGCTAGCTCACTTGTTTGTGCGCCAGAAACCCAAACAGGATCTGGAGAAACGACTGTGTAAGAGAAACCGGGAGTTGCCAACGTCGGCCGCCGTGGAACATACGTGATAAGGATGCTTCATAGTCGTGGGTGGCAGTCGAATGCATGATAGGTGCATGACAGCCGAATGCATGCCATTATACGTAAAAGCCTTTTGAATCCTTGTAGGAGTACATTCAAAATTGGCGATTTCAATGAAAACTGCTCGTCTTAGCAGACGGCCTTTGCTTCTTACCAGAGGGACTGTACAAGTCGCAGTGGAAACGCAGTGCGCAGCGTACCGTTATGCTTGAAAAGCCACGAGGAAGCAGTTTCTCGTGACGGGCAGAAGCCGCTGCTCTCCGAGACGTCGTAGTTATGTCAGCCCAATCGAGAAGGCAGGACTCAGAAGTACCGGCTTGTCTACCGATTTGCTGTGGGCTGAATCTGGAAAGTCGGATTGGCTAGCATTATTGTCGATCTTACCCAAAAGTTGAGCGGATGCGGCGCCACTGAAAGCGGCAGAGAGTTATCACTCTATGCTGGCTTGTTGCTCAGATTCGTTCGCTGAAGTCCGCCTTTCCACAAAGGGGCTGAAAGTCAACCCTTTCTGCGCATCTCTCGGTCGACCAGGCTTTTCATACCCAAGCTTTGCTTGGACGATTCAACGGCATGAGAAGGTCAGGTTCACGAAAAGTGCAGCGTCTACAAATCGAGACTGTGAACGCACTTTGCCAACCCTAAACTTTCTGCACGGGCTGAGGACTGCGTGCTACAGTACGAGGTGGACTCGGTGGGCGGGGAACGTTTCCTTGCGGGACACTGATAGCGTGGCGACAAAGGCTCCTGAAGTTTGCCACGTCTGCCCCCCAAGAGGCACTGATTAGTCAGAGCAGTTTTATAGAGGGTGCGGCAACCACGGGGAGCGTTCTCGTTGAGATGCGAGGACGCCAGAGACGTAAAAGGATAGAAGGGCGAGCCTTTCTAAGTTCTAGATGGAGATGGTTTCCAGTATAGAAGCGCACTTAAACAAGTTGGCCGTGCACTTCTCGTCGTTCGAGGAGATTCGATCCTGGTAGTGGATAGATACTGACTAGCTCATACATTAAGGCATTTGAAAGCATGATTGGAGCCATCGTTCTACGAAACGATCGCGACACTGCAAAAGATCATGCGTTAATGTTCCTAGTGGCGGCATGTCTACATGTTCCATAATTGCAGAGCATGTGCATGTCATGCAGTAATGAGAAAGCAGATTTTGAACATCGATCACGTGCAAAGGCCGTTGCACTGCACTAGTACCAGCGCACGTCAAGCACAATGATTAGTGGCGCGCGGGGCCGCCGCTGCAGACACTGAGCCTCAAGTTCTAGAGAGAGTCACAACACACAGCTTGAAGATTGATCAGCTTGCAGATTGAAACCTCTGAAGTTTCTAAGCAAGCGTAACTCCTACTTTCATCAGTAAACTCGTCAATTGATTTGACTATATCCAGCTTCCTACAAATCTGCATCGATTTGTTCTCGGCACTGCATGTTCTCGGTTCCTTCGTGAAGGCCTGATACAAACATCTTTATCAAATTAACAGCCTGCGGGTCAACTGCTTATTCTTCAATTTAAGTAAACCTACTCAGCCTCCGCACAAACATCAGTGGATTCTCAACACGGGTACAATTGGCTCAACCCCTCACAAGCACTACAGCCTTTCTGAAAGTCTTTTTCAGGCAGTGTTGCATACCAGACTGCCTATAGCTGCTAGCACCCCCGGAATTCCACTGGGCACTAATGCCCCGGCAACAGCACCTGCAACTCCTATCGCCCCACATAATGACTTCGACTTCGCATCCGCTGAAGACGTTTGTACGTGAATCGTGCCTCCTACGCCAACATTCGGCGGTGTCGAGTCGGGCAAGATCACCCCCCTGATGCAGCGATCGCCCCCAGAGGTTCCCTTGTTCTTTACCTTGCCGCCGTTCGAATCAAACGGCCCGATTGGATAGGATGTAATCGTCATCACCTCAGGCACCGTGTTTTTGAAACACCGCACGCCGCTACACACCCCCACGGGAATGTTCTGCGACGTCACGAACTTCACCTTCTGGGCCGATAAGACGTTATCGACCGGCGCCACGCCGGCACTCGCGAGCGAAGACACCGACTGGAAGTTGACGCCGAAAGCGCCCCCGCTACCGCCACCCCCGGCAATGCCGTTATGGATGATGTTGTAAAAGTCCTGGTCGGTGATGCTCGCGTCGCTTATCGTGGTCACCGTTTGCCCGGAAACGACGATGTCCACGCAGACGATTTTCTTGCTCAGGCAGCCGAAGCTGTCAAACTTTTGGCCGCTCGCCCAGTACTGGTCCACGCACTTTTTGGCTGGGTTTCCCTCATTGCCCACAATTTGGGCGGAAGCTACCTGTGTGCAGGCTAGTAAGGCGACTACTAGGAGAGCCAGGACGCGAGCCATAGCGCCGAAGTCCTGCAGAAGCGAAACTTGTGAGGCTTTAGGACTTCAGGTCTAGGGCTTGGGTTTTAGGATTCAGGTATTGGAGTTTGGAGGTAGCTTCAATGCTCGGAAGAGCTGTACATCCTTTTTGGGTTTCTTGATTCACTGAGGATTTTAAATCGAGGGGAGTCAAGCTGATCCTTTGGAGTAAGCTTCGGAGCTCGAGAACTGCGCACTTGCACAATGGAGTGCTCTGTGATCAGAAAAACTAGGATAGTATTTGATGAGTGAACATCTATTCAAGGGGAGTAGTGATCTGACTGCAACGGAGATGATCTGCAATTGACTCGCTTTCAGAAAGAAAGACCAATCTTGATTAAACTTGGCACCTTGTTCAAAAGAACTAGAAACGGGCTAGAAACAAACCGACACCAGTGCTAAGTTCAGTGTACGCTTTGACAGACACAGAGGTATCGTTTCCTTAGAACGTGCCTTTCCAGCAAGCACGGGGGGCGCCAGAATGTGGCCAGCTGAATCAACCACAACAATTGAGCAATGCGCAAGCTCAAAGTCGTCACTGTTTCGGGGTTTTCTGCTCGGGGGTAGGTTCTAAATCTCAGCTACTAGTAGGAGGGAATCAGAAGAGTCAACTCTACAGTCCAGATTATATCACATACCACAATACGTACTGCTTTGAACCAGAGAGGGCATTCATGATTCCTGTACTAACAAAGTTGTGGACGTGAGGCTTACCTTAATTTAATGGTGTGTCTCCTAGCAGCTTGCTGACAAAGGTGATGCCGTGATGGTTTTCCAGGCCGCCCAAGCTCACCAGTTCCCGCAGGAACGGCCGCAATGCGAACCTATCTCCGACAGCTCTGTATCAACCAGCTGGCCGGAGATCAGCTTGAATAGAACTTGGAAGTGAATCTTGAATAAGTGCTTCTGGTGTGAGGTTACTTCAAGCACAGCCTGATCACTTCAATAGCTCAAGCACTTAGTACCAGCTTGCTTCTGCAACTTGTGTGTACTTGAATTAGAGCTAATTGAAAGGTGTCTTTATTACAGTATCCAAGTTAATTGACAACGCTGGGAACTCAGGTATCAGGTTTGCAAGAGGTAAGCGGGGCTGCAAGTCTTGCGGTTCTCCGAAGCCAGCATGCAATCTGCTCGCAATCTCCAAGCGGAAGGAACTCCCTTGCGTGTACGTCCAAGTCACCGTCGACAAACCTACCGTCAACAATATCTGGGCTGGCCGCTGCTGCAGCTGCTGGGCGGCGGCATCCTTGCATATCGTATACGTACCAGTTGTAAGACTACATAGTGCAGACTACAGCATGGCATTCCTTCTACTTAGGTTAGGTATAGTAGGCACCACTTTCCAAGAAAAATCTCATGTCGACACGCGTGCGAGGTGGCAACATGTTGGTACAATAATATCAATATTATCTACCGCAGGTACTTATTGCTGACTTTGCTGGGGGTTCCCTCTGACCTCACCTACAAATCAACCGGGGCACAGAGATGGCCCCGGTGAACAGTAAGCTTTTTGGGGTTTGGTAAATTACTGGCTTTTGGGGCCCGGTGCTAGTATCCACTGTCGGTGTACACTACTAATTGTGACTGATGACGTCAAGGCCCTAGTCGGTACTGTCCCCCGTTCGCTGTTCATAAGTAGCTGCCATGGTCGGAGTCGGGGATCGTGCCCCTGGCAAGATACCGTGATTTGTTGAAAGTGGCTATTCACATCAGTTTCATTCATACCGTAGACGTCTCGATTCCATGTTGACTATTAGAGCATGTTGACTATTAGGACAGTGCTCGGGGACGGAAACAGACTAAAAACCTAAACCCAGAATTGACATGCTCCGCACCCGTACCCACCCTAAACACCAAGCCAACCCTGCCCGTCCCCCGGGCGCCCTCCTTAGTCAACGTAGCCCTTAGTCAACATGCGATCGAGACGAGTGTTCAAGATTCATTCCTAGGCTAGCAACATGCACTGGAGTTTGGACAGCCTGCTCGATCATGATCTTTGCAGGTGGCGGTGCTCTGTCTCTGTTCTTCGTTTGACAAGATACTAATGTCGCCGCTGTACTGAGAAATTGATGAAGCTTTATGTAGGTATAGTCCCAGATGAAAGAGCTGATTGACAGCAAAAGGTTACAAGACACTGCTGGCAAGAAATCAAATTTCTGGCATTGGCGGCGGAGCAGTTTTGAGCATGGGCCCATCTGCGCCCATTGTGCAAGGGGAAGCGGAAATTGTAGGTCTTCTTCAATTCGATGCACTTTTAATTCCTTTCTTGAAATCCTGACGACCACGCATTGAATCGTTTGAACAGATGAAAATGCTTACGTACCGCGGATTTTCTGGCTTGAGGGAGGTAGTCAGGCTCTTTTGAAATGCCGGCAAGCCAGACTTGCAACAGGAATAGATATCCTCCTAGACAAGTTTGCGTAGATGGAAGAGTTGGTAAACAGACACTGCTTGCAAGGCTGCAAAATTTGCTCCCGTCTTATGGAATTCAATTGAAAAAAGTATTGTTGAGAGTCTGCCCCGTGGCGCATGTAGCACCACCAGCAAGATGTTCAGAAGAGCAATCTGCCATTATTATAGCAGTTCTTGCAAGCATAAGCGAGCACCTGGCCACATGCGTTTTAATATTGCCCTATCATATCCCCCGTGCCTACGGAGGGCATGTCAATGTCACTTTCAAAAAGATCTTTCTGATTGAACGCAGCTAAGAGTGGCAAACTTTGGCAAACTCCAAGCGCCATGGAACACCAAAGCCGGTATGCATCCAAACAATGAATGAAAGGTGTCCAAGGTAAGTAAAAGATTGGTGAACCAGGTTCAATGATTCGACCAGGTTGGGGATGCAAAGCAAGAACCAGGAAAGGATAAGATTAGTCTGTTTATTAAAAGCCCTGTTTCTTTGCAGCTTCTCGCTGCGGGCGATGCCTCTCCCAGTCTTGGCCTGGCTCTGCAGGCCGTCTTCTCTGCGCTCCATGCGCGGGATGAGGTGGCGGCAGGAGACAGCAATAGCAGCCTGCTTGCAAGAGTTGCGGGTGGAAGGATGTGAGTGATCCACAAGCGCTCGGAGCCATACTGTTGTTTGCTGATTGCTGCAATCCAGGCTCTCAGTAATTCTGTTCGTTTTTAGCTACTGCAATGTTCTCCCACTCGGTCTTCTTGCCCGTTGTCAACCATAAGAATGATCACCTGCTGCTGAAGAGCTTGGATGTCAGACATTTCTTACAAATCCTGCTGGTCCGTGAATAGGATCAAGCAAGGTCCAAGGTCTTTAAGCAAAGATTATGACAATCAGAAGACAGCAGCATGAAGGGGCACGAGAGTTTGCTAGTTGCAACTCTGTTTGTGAGAAATTGCTCACATTTGGGTTGAGACAGATGCTTGTACAACCTTTGCAAACAGCTTCGGTGGTTGCACCCCATTTGTCCAGGTCAGATTGTTCAAGGAACGTTCCCAAACAATTTCAGATCCTTGCAGATCCCTTAATAGCACTGCTGACATTTTTTTCAGAGTCCTTATGGTCCCTTACCCAAATCTCAAAAAACCCCTTGCCAACTCTTGGCCAACCCTTAGCCGTCCCTTGATAAAGCAAAGCCAACCTGAATGAAGAATTCATCAGACCCTAATTGAAGCTTTACGTCCCCCCAGGTGGCAAATCTTGGCGGCGGGAAGCATTCTTGATGAACAATGGCGGGTGACTCCGGACAATTTGGAGCAGACAATTTCATACTGCTTGAAGATCGTGTCCCAGTCTAGTCGCAGCTCCTACACCACCAGTCTGCCATCCTCCCCCCCGGCGGGCAACGGCAGCACGACGGCATTCCAGGGAGAGCCCGCATTTGACCGGGCGCTGATTGAAGCTGTGAGTAAAAATTGAGCAATCTTTTGTCGTGGCCAGTCTTACACCCGATCTTCGGTGCAATTCAATTGCTCAGAGCGCAGCACCTTGCTGCTTCTTGTTGGGTGCTTCAGATTGTTCTGTTGCAGTTCAGCCAGGGCGCACCTTCGGCGGATCGCACTGCCTTTCCATCTAGCTCTATCCTTTTAGCGGATCGATGCCGATTGAAGCCATCTTTGCGGCTTGCTTTTGAAAAGGTACTTGTAGCCAGTATAGCGAGTAACTACTTTTCAAGGTCATCAGTCCTCGGCTACGCCTCTGACAATTACAATCGGGAACGGAGTCAAGTGTGCCCGGACGTTCAAATCATTTTCTGTGTGATTTCGTGGTTGCCTGGTCGGACCAGAACCCCAGCAGACATGCCAGAGCGGTTTGCAACCCTTTTGCCACCCCTAACTGATTCTCTTTGACTCACTTGTCGACACCTCCAGAACCGCATCCAGCACCAGAAGTCCAAAGCAACTCCGCTCAATTTCTCAACCCGCTCACTTCAACAGCGATCTTTAACCACTCTCGACTTGACAGGTGTCCACTCTGGGCCGCTTCTGCTGGGAGGCCCGCTCCGGCGACCGCGTCTCGCGCGTGGCCTCACCGTTGAGCAAGCTGTTCCAGCACGTGGTCGCCACAAATCCGCTGAGCCAAACTTGAACCAATCTCCAGTCGACAGGTGTCCACCCTGGGCCGCCTCTGCTGGGAGGCCCGCTCTCGAACGTGGCCTCACCGTTGAGCAAGCTGTTCCAGCGCGTGATCGCCACAAATCCTCTGATTCAAAGTTGAGTCTATGTTGAACCAATCGACAGGTGTCTACCCTGGGCCGCCTCTGCTGGGAGGCCCGCTCCGGCGACCGCGTCTCGCGCGTCGCCTCACCGCTGAGCAAGCTGTTCCAGCGCGTGGTCGCCACGAATCCGCTGAGCCCCGGGACCGGGCTGCTGCTGGTGCCCCTGCTGCAGTTCTTCCTGGACCACGGGGATGTCGTCATGTACGACCCGGAGCCTGCGGTGCAGACGTTTTTCAAGACTTGTCTCGTCAGGTGAGTTCTTTATGTTGACCTTATTGCGGGAGTGCTTTTGTCTCGTCCCTTCTTTCTCTTAGAGTGAGGTTTTCATCCTTTCTCCCTGCGTCTTTCCCATCAATGGCTTCGAACCTATTTTCCTGAAGCACCAGTTTCGTCCTGACTGCTCTGAAATCTGTGCTGCAGTTGGTCTGTAATGTGTCTGTCGACAAGTGCTTCGCCCCTGATGCATTTCGCCACTCTTCTCTTCATCCTCTTTTCGTTCTTGCTCTCTCTCACTATTAATTTCTCGCTTCATACTTTGTCGGGAAGTGCAGTACAGACGTTACAGCCGTCTTCAGTTCACAAACGCGGCCCCTTCAGTTCACAAACGCGGCCCCTTCAGTTTGCAGGTCTCGTGTACTTTTGGAATACTAGGCAATAGATCAAATGCAAAACTCTTGCGAGAGGTTCTGCGTTCGGCAACGTGCGTGCAACAAGTTGCGGCTTGATGCCATGAAAGAAGAGGAGTTGACCTACAGAACACACCAGCAACACCGTTCCTGCCTTTCTTTCAACATAAAGTCGGTCGATTTCGGCTGCCAAAAAGCTTGGGAGAAGGTCGGATGTCCAACGACCAGTTCGTTCGTCGCAGAGCAGACTCAAGCGGCAGAAATTGTCAATCGAAGCCCAAGTTGACAGGAATCAGACGCTGGTACCGTAAGCAAAGACTATCTTGATAATTACGTCAACAAACGTCATCACCTTTCGCCCCGCAGAGAGTACTCCGACAAGCAAGTTGCAAAGGCCGCCCTCCTGTTCCTCTCCGAGAACAAGGCAAAACTGAAGGCCCTGTCCGCGCCCCTGTTGCCGCGCTTCTTTCCGCTCCTGCTCAAGGCCGTCGGCTGGGGAAATGACCCCGAGCTAGACAAGGCCTTTCAGGGCCTGCTGCCGGTTCTGCTGGGACCCAATTCCACGTTGGCGCTTTTCCGGGCAATCGTCGACCTCCCCAGTGAGCGCTACGATACAATATACAGCATTTTTTGTTTTCGAAAGTAGTGGATGAACGGACAGGATAGACTCGGGAGTGTCATCAAAGAGCAGATCGGAGGTAGAGGAGAAAAAGCTGAGCAGGCACCGCGAGAGCCGTTACTCTTCGCTTTATTGAGGGGACGCCGAATATTAATATTTTCGTGGTAAGATCAGAAGACGACCTTGTACGACCTGATTGGGAACCGGAGCAACAGCAGGGGCGTAGGCAGATGCGTCTGAAGTGACGTCAGAGAGCGACTGTGGCTGCCAAACAACAGTTTAACAGCCGCGAAATTCAAGGGACAGCTTTCAATCCAGGGTGATTGCGAAGCCCGGCACTCCAGCCTCTTTGCCTGCTGATGAGACCTCGTTGACATTGAGTTAGATGTCTGAACCCCGTGTCTCTCAATGACGCTCACGTGTCAGCCACTGTCAAACTGACGCAAAAAGCTCTATTTTAGGGGGCTTCCCGATCTTGATCGTATCTTGAGAATCCGGTTGAAGATATAACGAGACTGAATTTGTGGCGGCTCCTTCCAACGGCCCTGTTCCACGTGCTGCCAAGGCCCACGGCGAGCTAGCCAATAGTAAGACGGGAACCCATGTTGACCACAAAAAAGTTTTTAAAAAGATCACTAACCCGCTTAACCCTTTCCTACCCAGCCTTCAGTTCTTGCCCTGGAGCACGCGGATCGCACGGCCAAGTCCCCAAAAAATCGGCCGTTTGTTAGATGATGAAGCATGATCTGAACATTGTCTGAAAGGCATCAGTAACCCAGTGTTTGACCCCGTTCCACCGAGTGTTTGACTCCGCTTAACCCTCTCCTACCCAGCCCTGGTTCTGGCGCTGGAGCACGCTGACCGCGCAGCCAAGGACCCCGAGAAGATGGCCGCGTTAATGGAGGCCGCCTTCATGGGTGGCATGGGTGACGTCAGCAGCCCGCGCGTGACGCCCCAGTCGCCGATTCGCCGCCCCGAGCTGCGCTCGGCGGCCCTCGAGGCGCTGTTTGCGGAGCTGGCGCGCGATGAGAACGACGGGGTGCTGGTGAGGGTTGGTTACGTTTCTGCTCGGGTTTTTGAAAATAGATGAGAGGCTCCAAGAGGTGCAAAGGAGGGGTCAAGGAAGGGTTTGACGGAGGGTTTGAGCAGGGGCTTCAGCGAGGTTTAAGCAAGGGGACGGACAGGGTGGCTATAAGGCCAGCAAGAGTTGATTCAGTTTTTCCGACTGAAACGATTGATACGACTGATACGATTCTTCAATTGAGAGTTTAGTATTAAGTTTCCGCTAAAAGAATGTCCCCTGTATGGAAGGATTACTGGCTGTGACGATGGGCAACTTGATGCCGGTAACGGAGGAGAGTCGCACTTCTTGCAGCAGTCAATTTCAAAGCCGAGTTTTGTCTAATGTCACTGCAGAAGTGTACAGGTATGGCGCAAGGCCGCACCTCAAGGGCAAAGCACTGATGCGGAGAGAGATGTGTTTCCGCTACATCGTTCCTCATCGCTCGCCTCAGTTTGTTCCGATTCCGATACCGCCTGTCAGAGAAGAGAAAGCCGACAAACTTGAGCTGAATCATTTTAGTCAAATGTCTGCGAGAAAAGCCTGCCTCAAAACTCGCGGATTTGTATCCACCACTCACTGAAGCTCCACTGCTAACCTGTCTCTTAACTACGTCTAACCAGTGCCTCTTTCTGCAGCCCAAAGCGTGGGCATCGCTCGAGGCCGCCGCCGCGGTCCAGAAAGAAGTCCGGGGATCCCCCTCGCCGCGCCTGCTCCACGCCCTCCAGCTGGCACCCCCTCTTCTGGACGCGTACATCACTCTAGTTCTTGAGACGTCCGACGAGAGCGTGTTCACACCGCTTGGCGCACTGGTCATCCAGAGTGTGAGCGCGCTCTTCCCGAACGAAGCGTTCCAGGCTAAGGTGAGAAGCAGGGTCCGAAAGTCTGAACTGTGGAGTCCTTAGAAGAAAAGATCTGAGCTAGGTTGCCTTTCAAAGGAGGGCTGCTTTCGTAGACGTTTTGCAGGTTCTGACGAAGGCAAAGGTTGCTGGCTTCTGCTGGCTGCTTTCTTGCGAAGTTGCTGCCTCTTTATTGCTCCCATATTGTCAGACTGTCTCTGTCATTTCGAGAAGCTTCATAACGAAACGCCAAAGTGCAACGCGTCATGTGGACATTCACAACCCGTCTGCGCTAACTTAAGATACCAAGCAATCATCCTTCTGAGGACCGATTACTCTGGTTGCGCACAGCTGTCAACCAATTCTGTTAACCTTCTGCTTTCCGCCTTCACCCCTCTCACAAAACACGGTCGTTTTTCCTCCCCCCAGGTCCCCTGAATCTGCTCCCGCTTTCTGCTCGCCGCCTTCCAGCGCCACCCCCCCCTCCTGCCCCTCCTTGAAAAACCCATCCTTCATCGTTATTACAACTTTCCTTTGAATTTTAATCCAATTTTCCGATCATAACGCCTTTCAGCCCCCCAGAAGACCCTCTTATCTCCCCCCAGGTCCTTCGGGTCTGCTCCCGCTTTCTGCTCGCCGCCTTTCAGCGCCACCCCCTTTAAGACGGCTTTCTCTTTGAAACATATTGTCGTGATTCCTAATCACCGGAACCCACCCCATAACACTCCTCTCGTGCCCCCTAGGTCGTCCGACTCTGTTCCCGCCTTCTGCTCGCCGCTTTTCAGCGCCAACCTCCTCCTGCCTCTCCGTAGAAAGCTCATCCCAAACCCTGATCTTTGAATCCTCTTCACCCTCCAATAAAACATACTCTTTTTCGTCCCCCCAGGTCCTCCGCACTTGCTCCCGCTTTCTGCGCGCGGCCTTTCAGCGCCACCCCCCCCCTCCTGCCCGTCCTCAAAAAGCTCATCCTTCATAGGTATCACAGATTTTTCTTGGATCTCTTATCCCAAATTGCTGATCATAACGCCTTTCAGCCCCCTCAGAAGACCCTCCTATCTTCCCCCCAGGTCCTCCGAATCTGCTCCCGCTTCCTGCTCGCCGCCTTTCAGCGACACCCGCCCCTTCTGCCCCTCCTCAAAAAGCCCATCCTTCAGACCATCTCGCCACCGCCCACCTCCCCCGGGCAGACCGAGCTGGCAGTCCAACTAGTATGGGCAGTCGGGGAGTACCATATGGGGGGCTCGGGTGAACACGTGGCAGCGCGTCAGGTGTTTGAGGCGTTGGAGCTGTTGCTGTACGAGAGTCTTGCCGCTTCCAGGTGGGAGTTTGATTGTGTGCTCTCCCTGTTTCTTCCCTTTGTCCCAGAGTGTTTTCGTTGTGCGTTGGGCCTGATGTTGACGTTGGAAAGCTGAATGTCAAATCATGCCTTACTGCCGCTTTTCGGCATCATGTAAAATTGAAACCGGTTTCTTTCTCTTCGCCGACCAGTCAATCGCTGCCATTTTGCCTCCTCTGCGCCTCGCGAGCTTTGCGTTCAACGTCTTTCCGAAGCATTTCATGACTGATTCCAAAACACCCACTTTCCGGCTCCTACAATCCTTGGACCTGCAACTGGCAGAGCGTCGCTGGGCTTGCTTCGCATCGATTCCAGAGTTTCAAACTTTGCGACTACCTCGGACGTTGCGGCTCCCCTCGGTTGAAGTTCATTTGGGCTTTGTTAGCTTTCTTTCTGAGCATTCAACGTTCGACCAGAAAGTCTCATCTTTATCACAAACGTTGATTGCCCTGATTCTTTGACACCCGACTCCCCCAACCGCAGTGCTGTCCATGCCGAGAAGGCGGAGGGAACGCGCCGCCCTCCCGCGAGCGACCGTCCTCCGCTGACGTCACCCCGGCTGCTGTGTGTCGTCATCACGGCCATCACCAAGCTAGCGAACGTGCACCGGGAGCTCGCCTCCAGGGCGCGCGTCTGCGTCGCAAAGGTCGGATCTCAAAGACCCAGCTCTGTGCTGACGTCATCCCGACGTTTGTAGTTCGTTCGGTGTTGGACTGCAGCTTGTAAGGGTCAGTAGGCAAATGCATCGTACTTGGTTGTTTGTGAGACGCTACCGGAAAGTTAGGACTATGTTTAGACCTCGGCGGCACCGTTTTCAGCTTTTTTTCGGAACACCGAAGACTGCCGGACATTCGATGGAGATGCTCAAATTGGAAAGATTAGATGCTCGCTTGTTACCCTCTTCGTTTGAAGAGCATTCTTCTGCAAGCGCTTGAGCCAACACTCAGAACTATGTTGCGACCAACATCGTCTGGCACGCAGGCCACGAGCTTGTGTCAGTCTTTGCAGTAAGGTTGTCATGTGTTATATTCCCTTTTTCCGAAGTTTCGAGGCGATGCTCTTTTGATGCGCGCTGCCAATTTGATTCAAAGTTAAGAACCGAGGCTTACTCAGCAAAGCAGCTCAAGACGTAGAGAGGGTATGCTCGTCAGAATCTTCGTCTAGCCCTGGGGTAAAGCCGTCGCTTTCAACCCTGCAGCGGAGACCCGTCGAGATGAGGTTGGATTTTAGAAACACTGCGCAGAGTCTATATACCAGCCTGGCGCATGTTCAGAAACGTCTCTTGCCTGCTGACGTCAATTTGCTGGCTGACGTCAGCCCGCCGTTTTCTTCCTCCGCATGTGGCCTGTAGCCGCCATATGGCGGACGCCCCATGTGTGGCAGAAGCGTGGCGCAACATCAAAAGCGCTTCTTGCCCGCTGACGCCAGTCAACCTGCGCGCTGACGTCAGCAATTTCTGTGCGTTTCCGCAGGTGGCCCGCAGCCGCCAGACGGCGGACGCCCACGTGTGGCGCAAGGCGTGCGAGTGCCTGGGCCTCATGCAGGAGCCCGCGGTCTGCGCCGCGCTCTTCTCCCACGTGCCCCAAGCTGTCGTCAGCAGAGCTTCGTGACGTCAGCAGCTGTTATCAGACGTCACAAGCGAGACAAACCCTTCGCATTCTGCGGCTGCCATCTGCCTTCTATCACGGGGTCCAAGCTCCATCACCAGAGCTCTAGTGATCGGCAGAGCTCGATGACGTCAGCGGATAGGCCGGGAGGCGGTATCTCCTCTTAGCGGCTGCGGGCCTCATTCCTGCACTCTGCGTCACCAAGCGCGGGAAACGACGAACACGTAAGTGCGAGCTGACGTCATCACTCGCGGCTGGCTCCTGCACACAGCAGCGCATCTGAGCAAGTTCGGAGGTGCGTTGCTAATCTGCTCATTGAACCTGCTGGTGTCAGAACGGATGGAAGGAGAACGCGGACTGCAGTTTGCAGTCCGAGACCCCCACACCGTGTGGTACTGGTCAGTTTGCGCGCGCTTGAAGATTTAAGTCGGACTGGCTACGCGCGCGACCTAGCATAACCCATAGCACCGTAAATCAAAGCCTGCTGTTGACCGACCTCCCCGACTTCCACCGAGCGCTCAAATGCAGGCGGACCATGCAGGCGTTCATACCTGGCAGTCGACGAAGAAACAACCCGGTGACCCGGAACGTAACCAAGTCAATCTAAGTTGCGTGTGCAGAGTACCAACCGGTGTGGGGGTCCAGAAATGAAAACTGGAGTCCATGTTCTCCTTCCATGCGTTCTGTCAGGAATCACTGCAGTCTGCTTAATAGGATGTGTATGCTCACGCTGACGTAGACGGCAGCTCGGAACTTCCAGGTCTGCTACTGACCTGCGTGCTGTGTTTGCGCCCTTGTATCGACGAGGCGCATGTCTAAAACAGTCTCGAATTAGCTGCTCTGTCTTGTGTCTTATTGATCGGTCGTTTTAAACTTCAGAAGGTTTCCACCCAAAAACGTGTAGGTTTGGTTGTATAGTCGTATGTACGTTGGAGGAATGTGGGCTTTGGATTGACCGGGTGCAGCGCTCTCCTTCTGAAAATGTGCTCTTGTAGAATCGAGCACGTGTGGAGATTCATCAATTTCCCTCGCAGGTGACCCAAGGGCCAAAAGGAAAAGGATATCAGTACAGTTGACAAGGCTTGAGAGGCACGGCAGTACAAGACGCTGTACTTGCTTGTACCCCTGACTCGGTCGTCGAGGGATAGTGAAACGCTGCTTCATGATTATGCATATGTGCAGAACTTTCGTCGATACTGTAAGTTCGATGTAAGAAGGTTGGAATCAACGCGAAGGGACGTTCTCTATCCCCCACTTAATGTAAGTTTCGAAGAGTGGTCCTTGAGTCAGGTTTCGAGGAGCAGCAGCTTGATTCACGGTCCTTCAAGGGCGCTTTGCACATGCATGGTACGGTATCGAAGCATCATCCGGGCAGTGCGTCAAAGTGCAAGTGGCAGTCGCAGATTTTCACATAGGGCATTCAGCTGAGTCCGCTGGCATGTTGGATGTGCCGGGGTCCGGCTCAGGCTTTGGTCAATGTTTAGCAATGATCAAGTAGGGCGTCCTGTTTAATTCCGATAAGATGTTCCTGGTGCCCATGTACGATCAGATTGACGTAATAATCAACGCGCCGGCAGCCATAAGGTAGAGCGCTAGCATGCGAGTTGAAGTCTGGAAAAGCTAGCTCGTTTTACTGAATAGTATGCTCTTTAGACTGGAATCTTCTGAAGCTGTTCACCATCAGTATATACATGAATCGACGCTTGCAGTGGGTGTGGTCCACGATCAATCCGAGCTTGTGACACAATTACTAATCTTTGCTGGCCATGATGATCATTGTGCGGCTGCATGGCGGCCCCTGGGGGCATGGTGCGCAACCTGGCCGACTGCACGGCCCTCAGTATCATGCAGATTTGCAAAGCCGCGCGGGATCGCGAGGGGCCCCAGAAGAGCGCCATCTTAAACTTCAACAACCTAGTCAGTGCATGCGCGACGCGATCATGTATAACCATGCCGCGGGTGCGAGCCTGTGCGACGCATCTGCAGTAGCTATGATTGCATGCACTGATTCATGCTTTGTGTTGAAATTCAGGACGGCCCCCTGCCAGACTGAAGCTTTGATTCAACTTGGTTTGATACCGGCATGGTAAAGATCGAGCACTCAGCCCATACAATTTCTGATTGACACATCCGACAACCATGACCCGAACTGCTGGCAGGAGACTCGCGATCGATCGATTCAGTCAACTACTAACAAGCTGATTGGTTCGAGTCGGTCATTCCTTAGTCGCTGTACAACATGTTGAATCAGATCAATTTGCACACTTTGTCTGGCACATGCAAACCAAAAATTGGCTGTCACATAGAACATTAGAAGCCTGCCTGCCGGGACTAAGACCTGGGAAGCCAGAATGATTGCAATGAATGGCGCACTGATTCCTTCCTTACCAGATCACGAATGAATGCCCCCTCCCTGACTAAGATGACTTAGGCATGTGTCTTAAATGCTCCTTGATCATCTCTTTCTCGTGGTCAATCCACGCCTCGTCCTCTTTGCTGATCGGCGTCATCTTCCGCCTCTTGTCAAGCTCCTGCAGCAGCCCCTGCTTATACTGCTCAAGCGAAAGGTCAGAAGTCGGCTCTTCTAATTTCCCGAACAGCGACTGGCCAACCTGGTTCCGATGCAAACCCCCAAGTTCTTCTCTGTCCTTCAGGTCATCCGGCGGCCCCCTTGTCACCGGGTCCCCATTCTGATCTAGCTCGATCTCCCTCTCCCGCTCTTCCCGCACTTTTTTCCGTTGCGCTTCTGCGGACGGCCCGCCCCCTCCTTCCCCTCTCCGTAGGTGATGGTCTGCCTTCGACTGGCTGTACAGCGGAATCGGCGTCCCCCCCGGAGTGGACAATGTCGCGCCGCCCGAGCCTACAAAACTGGTGCCACTGGGCCCCCCATGGCCTTCTCTTTCGTGGTGGGGGGTTTGACTCCCGCTACCTTCGTGTCTATGGTGATGGTCTGAGGATGCAAAACTAGGCATGGGAACAGGCGTTCCCCCCGGAGTGGACAGCGTGGCCCCACCTGAACCAACTAATGAAGTTCCACTGGGGCCCTCATGAGCTTCATGGGTGTGAACTGGCTCCCCGCCCTGGTGCGAAGCACCGGACGCACTTTGGCTGGGAGCGTCCGCACTTGCTCTATCAGAGGCCTGCTCTATCGGGGGACGATCCTTCCGAGACAGCAACACATAAGCTGCAGCAGCATGACTTTTGGTCAGTTTGAGCATTACTGGAACGGCCAGCGTTACAGAAAACCCTTGTACTTTGCAATTTGACAGATGGCGCGGTAGATTAGGTTGCTAACTGGACGGAGAAATGTAACAGGAAAGATCTTCAAGTGGAGGAGAGCACAACGCAGTGGTTAGAAGATAGGGAAAGGCATGCACCCAGTGCACGTATTGCATGTTCAAACGAAGAATTGTATTGGACCATTGCGTTCGAGCTGAGCGCGGGGAAAGCGCACTGTTTGACATGCCACAGGGACTGCAGCAACTAAAAAGTGATTAACTTTCCAAACAAGACGCCATTTTGAGCAGCTTTCGAAAACCCCTTCCTTGCGGTCAAGGTTCCAACGCACAGCATTGCCTTATCAACGAACAACTTGAAAATGCACAACACTCCATGATAGCTGGACAATTGTGAGTGGGATTGGGAAGTGAGATAGACTCGGCATCAGCGTAGCTAAAGTAGATGCACCTATCTTAAGGCTGAAAGCTTCTGAGAATCTTGTATGGATCCTTGTGGCGGGCACTCACTCCCCACAGCCACATTTCCCAAGAGCAGAACGGCGAGAGGCTTCTGCAAGCGCTTCAGTCTGGAGTTCATCATGTCGAGAAATTGAAAGGCCCTTGTCGATGATGATGCCGGGGGGGCCTCCTTAGCCGGGGGGCCTGTCACTCTTGCAAATTCAGCTTCAGTATCTACAGGTAAATCTGCAGGAGGAAATTGGCAGGTTGCTGGGACGGAAAACTTGAGTTCATAGAAATATAAATTCCTGAATTGTGGCATATGGTTGTGAGCGGGATAGCGGTGATATGCTGTTGAAGGGGTGTCTTTCATCAAATAGTGAGTGGTGAAAGAAAGGCTGATGTCACCTTGCAGGACAAGGCATTCGTGCTCTAGAGTGCTTATATTACGCTCAAAATAGCGAAAGAACCAAGAAAAACCTAAAAATGGAAATCCGAACAAAGTTCTGCTCCGCACCCATCCCCACCCTGAACCCCCTTAGTACCTAACCCCACCGGTCCCAGTGATATAATCGGAGCTCAACATAGAAATCTAGAAGCCAATGCATGAACCACCATGCTCTGAGCTACATCAGCAGCTTGTGATCACCAGATTACAAATACTGGATGTTGTGCCCTGACGCCCTACAACTAATTTGGAAAGCCCTGTTCAGTATGAAGCTGAAATGCCCCGAATGCACTCAATCACCTTGTTGCAACGCCCTGGCGAGCCTTGCCCTGTGCTTCTGCCTTCTCTTGCCATTGGCATTGGTGTTCTTGCCGCCCATTGGCATTGGCATTGGCAGAGCCACACAATCCGAGTCCACACGTTGCTTTGAACTTTGATTCAGCAACTAGAAACGGCACTTAAATTTGAAGTAGGTACGATACTGGACGTAGCGTACTTGACTCGCAAGCGGCCATTTGGGCCCAACGGATTCCGCTGATCCAACAGGGCGGAGCAGCGGGTCTTCAGGAATCATGCAGGGACGCGGATGGGCGCCCCGGGGCGGAGCCCCGGGGCGCCCAAGCGCCTCCGGGCAAATTCCTGCCTAAGCCTACGGTATTCGATAATAGTCAACCAGCGACGCGGCTGTGTTGACATTGTGTCGACATTGTCCACCGATTGGGATAAACTTTAATAGTAGGTAGTAAGGAACTAAGGTACACGAGTACGGGTGGGGTTAGTTTGGTGGTTAGGGTGGGTTCGGGTGCGAAACAGGTGAGTTTGTTCTTAGCGTTTTAGTGTTGATTAAGCCAAGAAATTGAGTACTTTCAGTACCTAAGATCCTTATAAGCTATTACCTACTAGTAAAGTTTATGATTACCGGTATGTCCATTCCGATCGATGTAGTGAACAGTAACAGCCAGTGAACAGTAACGGAGACGGGTAGGGTTAGTTAGGGGGTTAGGGTGGGTACGGGTGCGGAGCGGGTGTTTCCTTAGGTTAGGGTTTTTAGTAACCCCAAAATGCTTACTGTTCACTGGGCTTGCTGTTCACTAGATCGAGAAATACGTTTAATGTCCACCGTGCCAGGAAATGCAGAGGGTACCTACCGGCCTATGGGTACTACCTATGGGTATATATACTACCTACCCATTTGGGCCAACTTAGGTTTGACAGTCTTTGACTGCGAGGGACTCCGGGACACACCGTCCTTCGACAAGTCAAGAGTGCCAGAAGACACATACAGACAGAAGACTCCACCAAATGCAAACGCCAGAAAATCATACCTCTGCCAGCCATCACCTTTTCATGTTACCGCTCCTTCTCCTCACAGCATTATTCCTGATTTCAAAACCCGCAGACAGTTCCCGGCCGCCAGAAGGTCGAGCTGCATTGCATAATTCAAGGGGAAATCAAGTCCGAGCCTTCTCAAAAGCATGGTGTCCACAAGCTCTCTGCTGGTAAGAGGATCTGAAAACTTTTACCGTGTTTCTTTTACTCTAGTCAGTCTACTCTTTGTTTCCCTTCCTTCATAGAGTCGTTATGGTGCTTAGTAGGGAGTCCTCAAAGTAAAATGCATATGGTGGTTTCCCGGTGGTTTCTTTTGATACTAGTGAGTGCTTGTACATTGAGTTGGGTCAGGATTAGTTTGCTCTTGCCAATCTTTTTGCCTTTCCTGAGCATTAAGTACAGCTTGGAACAATGGGGAAACAATACATGGGTCGGCCACATGGGTCCATTGTCTTCAACTTGTGTAAGCGAAGCGTGTAGTTGAAGCTGGATATTCCGCATCCTATGATTGTAGTTACACACCTACTACAGTAGCATCATTGCATGTAAGGGGAGTCGATTTTTCCTTACTGTTTGAGGATGGTTAGGAACGGTGTCTCTGCGCTGCCGTTGAATGTGCTGACATTCTACCCCTGCAACATGTTTGACGTGAGGCTTGCTCAATCTGACAATCATCTTGACACCAGCTCTGACAATCATTTTGACACCTGCGAGAACTCGGGTGCGTCGCCCTGCTGTTGCTGTTGCAGACCTTGCTGGTGCTTGTGAGCTGTGCAATTGTGGCTGTGACTGCCCAGAACTACACCGAAGTGAAGCTGCAAGTCATTGAGACGGCCACTCCAACTACCATGCCGGATGAGGGCACCTACGGCTTTGGAGACTCAAATTACTTCAGGTAGGGGCACTCCATTGCTTTCTCCAATGATGCAACAATCTTGTAGGAGTTTCAATCCTGGCAGATCAAGGTGCTGACTTCCTTCGAATTGCGACTACGCTTCAGGAATCAGCTGACAGACTTCCGGAATGGAACCATCTTGGGCCACAGTCAAGGCACCTGTCTCGTTACGGCATCAGACAACATTCGCAAGTACTGCGAGAGCGAGTGCACCCAATTCTTCGTCTTTGCTGCAGGCAGCATCAGCATGGAGGTGGGTTCATGAAGCTCTATGCAGCTTCGAGACTCTGAGCTTGATCGGCACCATCAATGTGAGCATGTAAATCTGTCACAAAGAGGCTTTCAGTAAGAAAGCGCTGTGTGGGCAGCCGGAGAACCAGAACATATTGACTTGTGAACTTGCAGGAAATTGAAATTGAACGCAAGGAAGGTGTTACAGCTGTTACCAACCTAGATTGGAAGGCAACAGAAAGTCTTGAAGCCCCACGCACGTATGTATGCTTCCCTCATGCACTTCTGGAAAGAACACAAGTCGCCCTTTTTCTAAGAACTCAGTGGACAAATTAGAGGGACCCCGTGGAGCCATCTGGGTCCGTACATGAACTCTTCTCTTGGAGTGTACTTCAGGAGGCGAGTTGCCCTTTCAGTATACTCTAGAAGAAGATAATCCCTAGTCATGTCTTCTTCAATCGGCCTCTTAGTCTCTGCTGGATCTGTTTGCCCTGCAGGGCCAATTCTTGAACACGCCATCTTCCCTTGCGGTGACTGGAGGGACCGGGATCTACTCTAGAGCCACCGGCGTCTGCGTGCAGAGCACTCTGAGCAGCGATGGAAATGGCACTTTCCAATACGGCTACAATTGCGAATTCTCCGTTCTGAACCCTCCTATCCGTGACCCGATTCCTCTTGCCCTGACTATTGGGGCCCCCCCTGTAAACGGAGCGTGCTCCGCTCGCGCATACCCTAACCAGGTATGCCAAAGTGAATGATCGAGCGTCAGACAATCGAAGACGACATTGCTGATCTACGCCGCTACTTTGACCGGAGCTCAAGAAATGTTCAGAAAGTGTGCAAGTCAGCTAGTAGTCAGAATTGTAGAGATTCTCCCGGGTTGTCTTGTTATCGATTTTGTGACCACACCCTCTATCTTCGAGTTCAAAAGTTGTCAGAATGAAGTAACGGACTTCGCTTCGGTGCCCAAATGTGCGATGCGCATTGAAACTGGTGTGTCATACTCGCGTTTGTTCCAACGGGTAAGCATTCCAAGCTATATGCCTTTGACGATAATGTCGTGTTCTGCGCAGTGCTACGCATCAGACCGCAGGTCCTCCATCTGCTGCCCGGCCGAGTGCCCTCTCGCCCCTACCATCACTGCGGTCTGCGCTTAAGCCTTCTGTCGTGGAGTTTAAGGAGTCGGCTGAGACATTTTTGTTGTTTAGAGAGAGGTGCTGTCTCGTAATCTGCTTTGAGTCAAGAAGAGGGACGATGCAGTGCGGATTAGGAAGTTAAAAAGTGATTCACTCGTTGAATAGTCTCAAGATTGGCGCTCGATTCCAATTTCAAATATCAGACCTTGTCCCCCCTCGGGATCCACCGTCATGGGAAACGATTAAAATCCCATTTCAACAATGGAAGCCACGGGACTGAAACTCAAATGTGCATCTTGCATTACCGGAAGTACGTCTTTGAATGGATGTTCTCTGATGCTGGCCTGCGTTTGTGAGTCGGACTTCCTTTGACTCAAGATGTTGTCGTGACATCCACTTGCAGTCCTGAGTTTGCCCATGGCGTTGAAAGAACAGATGACAGTCGGTTTGCTCTGCACCTTGGATCATGATACGTGACCTGAAGCGCGCGGCCCGGCGGCCCGCGCCATGCAACAGCTAGCCAGTGCGAGCCTGTTCCGATGGCCGATGGAGCGATTGCGGATTACCTCAGTTCCTGCAACGTGACCACATTCCTGCTATTAGCACTGCTGTCCGGAAGCGCTCTACTATAATCACTATAAGCGAAGGAAGGGATCGAATGCACTGCTGTCAAAGTAAGCGGAATTATTATAGTGATCATCATGAGTAGGCTACCGTCCCCTGTTAGTATGCATGAGTGTGGCGCCCTACTATAGTATATCCTAATTGACTTCAATTACAACTGGCAATGGAAGCTTTAGGCGCCTGATCATATCATGCAGCGGCGATCCCCACAATGAAATATGTCCAAACGCATTCTCGACCATGCGCATGTGTCATGCAGGAGGCCGGGTCACTGTTCAATGCAAGACTGTTGGCGGCCATGACATTGACGCATATTTGGTGCATCTCCCTTACGATATGTCGTCTAGGGCCAGCCGGTCCGGGAGCTCTGTACCATAATTGACAGCTTCAGTCCTTCACCATTCACTCAGCCATACGTCAACTGGCAAAGAAAGAGGTTGCATGTGGGCTTTTGATCAGAATTCATGCCTCATACTCTTTGATCGTCCATGTGAATACTGACCACGAGTCCAGCTTGCCAACCTCACTGATTTGCATCGGCCCATGCGATGAATGCAGTTGCAACCTCGGCTCTAATCCATTGCATGATTGACGTACGGCCGTCGGACACAACCACCTGATTGTGAGGGCCGGGATGCTCCTTCCGTGCCATGTCGGACTCGTTCCGGCCGCTCGATCTCTGTCGAACTTAGCATGTGACAGTGTGGCAAGTAATATTACTACACTGGCTGTGGGATCAGACTCGGATGCATGCAACGCTGATATCTTCGAGCTGGACCCGGACCAAAACCCCCGAGAACAGACTGCGCAGGTTGAAATATTCTTACTCAGTCGTCTGATGAAATGCCCGACTCCACTCCACAATTGTCATTTCTCTTGTAGACAACAAGAAACGCAAGTGCCGGACTTTCTTGTTCGCACACAAATATCTCAAAGTTCGGCTCATACTAGCTTGCCACTTGGCGTCTCTTTCGAAGTATTAACCGGTCTATTGGCGCCTGAACGGGACAACAAGACCTCAAGTCGATCAAAAGGGACGGTACTACACAAAAAGGAACACCTATCGCTCTTTCCAAGCGTCTTCTGATTGCCAAACATCCTCTTTCGAGGGTTAGTCTAAGCCTCTCATGTACGTGTGTTGCGTACAAATAAACGGTTGCGGCGCATGTCTTTTCGTACGAAGGGTCACTTCCCTCGGCCGGTTGCGTGCGGCAAAGGGCAAGCAAACCCGCAAAGAATCTTACAAGCGAGCGTCTCATCAAAGCGAGCGTCTCCTTTAAAAAGTGGCCGGCAAAACGGGTAAACCTAAGTCACATAAATGCGCATCCCTTGTGCGCATACATACGTGGACCGGCTGCTTAAAACACCTGTACCACTTCGAACCTAGTGACGGATCCTGTACCTTGGGTACAGGTGAGATCAGAGGCCAAACAAAAGGCTTAAAAAGGCCACAAGCATGCTGTAGAGTGTTCCCAGGCCTCGCAATCCCAGGGATTTCGAGAATGTGAGATCCGAAACATCCTTTAACTGGAAGTCAATCACCGCGCTCATGATGTCCACCGTTCGGAAACAGAGCCGGCTTTCGCAAGAAACGCATAGGTGCCGCTCATGGGGTAGCTGTACGAGGACTGGTTCTGGTAGTACGTGGCACCGTCTGACGTCACGGTCTTGACGTCCGTGCTGAATGATGTCAGCTGGTTCCACGTTTCGGCAATCCCGGTCGGGTCGTACGTCTGGTTGTTGCTGAAGCTGTACTGGGCAGTGACCTGCAAACAGATAAGGTGACAGAGTCTACGCGAAGACTTCCTTCCACGTGAAAGAGTAAAAGTTTTCCACATGAAATTATCAGTTTTTGGAAGGAATTTGACGGCATTCGTATGTTGCCAACCGCCTTTTCTAGGCTTGACAACCACTCTGGTTCATACTGCACCACGAAAAGACGACGAAACGAGCGAGGGCGCGCTAAAGAAAAACCCTGAGCTTGGGGTCTCAAGCTGACGTCATGGGTCTGAGGATGAAGTCGATGTTAGGATCGGGTTCAGCGACTGGTTTGAACCTTCAAAGCGAAAGCTACTCCGCGATGATATTAGCTTTCAAGAATCGTTTATGCTCCTCTGTGACGTTGGTGCTGGGGTTAGCACTACGAATTTAAACCAACGGTATGACACAAAAGACTGCAGCACCCTGTAGGGAGCAACGTGCGGTGATGCTGAGGGGGACGGTTTGATATGGATTCCCAGATTCAACGATTTAACGATTTAACCCAAACGCTGTTGCAGCCTAAAGTCAGTAGCTTACGGTGGTGCTGAGGGCGACGTCCGTACTAGGGGTCGCTCTGGTCAACTGAATCAACGCTGTAACCCGAGATGTGCCGTAGCATGACGTGAGCAACTTACGGCGATGCTGAGGGTGACGTTCGCACTATGGTTCACTGAGGACAGCCGAAACCAACGCTGGAACCCGAAAAGCTCCTGCAGCATGACGTCAGCAACTTACGGTGGTGCTGAGGGTGACGTTCGTACTAGGTTGTGCACTGTCCCAGTCGCCGAGAAGGTGCGCTGTGCGCTGACGGCGTTGCCATTCACGTTGATAAGTCTAGGTCACTCGCAATGGGGCTGCTGACGAGCTCGGACGTCAGCGCCTGGCCCTTGGGGAGGGTGGGGTCCGTGAAGCACCGCACGTTTGCATCTATCTGCGAGCGGATAAAGAATTAACGTGCATTTTGAGAAACTGGCGGCGCCAAAAAAGTCACGGATGCGGTTGTTCTCGACCTTTCTGCGTGCCGCCATACCCAGGAACTGGTAATATGGAAGGAAGCAATCCGCCAAACGGTGACTGGGAAGTCGACTTAGTGCCAGGACTGGAGACTGGACAAGGACTACCGTATCCCAAGTACTAGAAGCGGGAGATCCGAATCCATTACTCCCACAGACAAATATGCGGAGTCAGATAACCCTCATTTGGGGCGGGATGAAGGCCAGTTGCTTTTCTTTGCTTCGGCGTTGAATGGACAAGTTTTTCCTGGACAATTTCGTTGTTACCAACGAGAAGATGGTCTGACTATCAAAGAAGGGTCAAAAGGCTTTTCTCGAAGAATTTCGTTGTCACCAATGAGAAGACGTCTGACTATCAAAGAAGGGACGGCAATCTCAGGTCATTTTGACATGCATAGAACTATCTACAAGAACCCTTTCGTTCCCAATTTCCGATTCTAGAAGAACGCAAGCAATCAGCACCGGCTGCGGCGGAGCTAACCAAACTTTATAATGTCCTGCATAAACGGTTCCGTGGAACTAGAACGCCTTTGGCAAATCAGGACGGAAAATCTGGGACGTGAAAAGTGATCCAGAGAGGCTGCCTACCAGCCAGTAGTAGCCAATGGTTGAACCGATGTCGAGCGTAAAGGTATGCGGGTTGCCGTCGTTGAAATAAAACAGGAAGGGCGTGTTATCCACAGCCATGGGGGGAAGCAGGAACGCACCGATGGCCACGACAGGGGACCACAGAGCGTGGTTCAGACCTCCGGTGTAAACTGCGAAGGGGAGCAAAAACGTGCTTGTATGAAAGAGGCGGTGGCAAATGAAGGAGGTCTAAGCTCATAAGTATCTCTGAAATTTGTAACACTTATTTACTGGCTCAGAAAGGAAGGGCGCTGACAGGAGCAGGATGACACCGAATGACTACAAAGGTCTCAAGCACATTCGAGGTCGAAAAGATACACATATCATAGGAGCAAAAATATTCGGAAAATCAGCTTTTCTACTTCAAATGTCATGCCCTCTGGATTGCCACGCCTCAGTTTTCGGTCGAATCACACGTGGCGGAAGGCCACCGTAGAAAGACAATCATTTGATGGAAAGATGAAATCTCTCCGAAGATTTTGTTGGTTTGTGGGGAGATCAGTTATCTCCCTGACTGATTCAGACCACTTACTCGTGGCAAAAGGCCAGACCACGCCAACGACTTTCCCGTCCACCAACACACGAATCTGCAGGAGGATTGCCCGACGTCCGTCACTAAGATCTTCAAGTTTTGAGTCAGACAGTCAGAATCCGCCTTAACAACAGAAACGGGTTCAGTACAATGGCCACAACTGGCCAGTTCGAGGACGGCTGCTTCAAACCGTGTAAAGGAGTGTCGAAGCGTGCCGCAGACAATCACAGAGCCGGAATGTTTGCACACACCGCTGACCTTTGCAGACCTTCATTGCTCCAAGCTTACAAAAAGCTCTAGCACTTTGAGGATACAAGTATAGCAATGAGATCAAAGCGAGGGTGCTTTCAACCTTGGTCTGTTCGAAGTCAGCCCAGGTCGGGAAACGCATTCTGCTAATACGAACTTATGGTAGAAACCAGCTTGCACCATCGCAATCACCACCACGTCTCAAAGTCCCACAGATTCAAACTTCTCTGCGAGTTTGCATCAGATAAATCTTCGTTTTTCCGGTTTTGATCCAGAATTTCCGGACCCGGTACAAGCAGAATCAAGTTGTTGCGGTGGTGGCTCTGAACTTGTTCGCTACGACAACATCAGGACTTTCGACGAGATTTGCAAGTCTCGGCCAATCAATCTGCGAGTGATCGAGTACTCCGTCGGAACTAGAACGTGGTCTCTGCTTGTAGCGGCTAGCGAATGGCTGCGCACCTCTTTGAACGCCCCCGTTGGGTTTCCGCTCCCTGGGGGGTAGGTGTACCAAACTCCTGCTCGTTGGTGCCAGGAATGCAACCGGCCCCGGAGCAGACGCCTGCCCAAAGCAGAGACCAATGACGTCAGCATGACGATGTCAGATTGAACGATACAACCTTATATGCCCGTCGAAGGTGTTAATACTCCCGCTCGATAGCTCCGGTGCTGCAACCGGACCCGGAACGGACGCCTAACCCAGAAGAACAATTGGTGGGTTCGGCATGACACCTCGTGGTTTGTGGGCTGGTTACTCAACCGGGTAAATACGATAACCAAGTCGGCCCCAGGAAGCTGTGTGACAGAACGAACCAGCGGCAGGGTTTGTGGTGCTGAGCAACTGGTGGGGGTTTGGTACGATTGCGGGGTCATTGCTTGGGGTTGTCAAAGTGAGCAATACGCGCAGGGTGGCGCGAGTCTGAGCAGGGTGATCAGTGCTGCAAAAAGTGCTTGCATCTTAACCTCATTTGGATGAGCGAAGTTTGAAAATCAGACTTGGAGCTAGCACAAAAACTATTAAACGTGGGTTGATGGTCGTACGCTGCTCATAGCGTCAGAGGAATCTGTCCAGTGGGCTTCGGAACCTTGCACGGAGCAATTCCCGTTTTGGACCCTTGCCTGCTTTGGATTTGAAGAACGGTGCGTACCTCCTTCAGATCCTAGTGCGCTGAAGGGAATCCCACTCCATCATAGCACGAACGGTTTTGAACTATTCACGGTCTTTTGAAAACTCAAGCCGATGACAATTACTGGCACTGGTGCATAAACACTAGCGCCAACTGAAATGATTATTTTCTTATTGTTCACCTTCTGCGCCGTAGTAGACCAACGACTGCCCGCAGCGTGTTGGTCGGAATCGTCAGCGCGTTGGACAAACTGCCGGAAAGAATCAGATTCAGAAATTTAGACGACCTATGTATGCCACATCTTTGTTACGTGGCAGTCGCTAAGCAGTCTGAAGATTGAGCTTGGAAGCATGTATTTTCGCTTTCAGTGGGGCTCGGATAAAACGGGAAACACCAAAGACCTCGCAGAACCCAAACCTCCTGAACCCGCTGGAACTGAAAAGCCCTTTGAAAAGCGTAGACGAGGTGTCGATCCACCACGCATGCCTACAGCCCGGTTTGATAAAGTCGCGAAGAAAAGCGAAGCACATTCCGGGAAGTCAATCTACCTAACGATTGAGCAAGCAAACAAAATAAGCCATGTTTGGCCCTGTTCGCAAAGTGATGAACAATCTAGTTGGTAATTCGGTGGTTCCTCACCGGATGTGCCGGGCTGGATACCAAACCAGTAGCCTGCAATCCAAAGAGAAAGACGGTTGATAGAGGTTCAAAAGTAGGCCAATCAAGTTGTGTGAAAGACTACGAGCCAATCAGCCAGTTGAAGCGTGCTAAGTGGAGTGTTTTGGACACATATTCAGCAATAAGCCAAAGAGTGAAATGGAGGTTCAGACCAAGTCCATGGAGACGAATTCAAGATTTTCTGGATGCTACGGCAGGTGCCTTTGGGAAAAGAATCCCGGGAAATGAGGCTGCAAAGGGGAAGCAAATGAAGTCCACTAATCTGGCAATAGAAACTGTCAAAAGAAACTGAGGTTTGGATTAAGGAAACCACCAGAAAGAGCCGCAGCCCACCTTGGGAAAAACTTACTCCTGCTTTCGGCCCGCGTACTGTCACATGGCCGTCATTCATGCATTCTGAACATCTAAAAAATAGTCCAGAAATAGCAAACCATGCAACCCATTGTTGGGCTTGGCGAATGTGCGTACTCATCGTCAGTGGTCCAGAACTGATCAGTGGAAGGCCCTCGGCGCTCCCAGCATTGCTCCCCACCCCGCTCCGACTTCCAAGCAGATTCCCTGAGCTTCCTTGCACGCCGTAGACGTTTCCGGGGATCTCATTGACGCTGCTGCAGCTGCCCTTTCCCCTGTTGTTTCCTAGAGCTGCTGAGTTACTCGGCAGGGGGAGCAATGTGGGGCCAACCAAGCCCCCGGCTGCTGCCAGCGTCTGCACAAGCTCGCTTTGCACTGTGTCGCAGAAGTGTTTGCCAGTGGGCTCTAGCTGGGACGGCAGGCCAGCAAAGGATAGGGGCAGGAATGTGAGACAGAGGAGACACAAGAGAAGATTCATGGTGGCCATTCTAGTTGTTGCACGCCGTGCTGCAGAGCTGCTGCCAGAGGCAAAGCTAGCAAATGTGATGGGGCTATGGAACGCTTACTAATGCTGCTCGAGAAGACTAGCGGAGGCAGCTGAGAGCCGTTGACAATAGCTGCAGAGGAAGAGAAGACCAGAAAGAAGAGGACTAGCTCCTGCAGAAGCTGCTCTGCAGTAGAGCCTGGGAATCAATGGCACTGACGAGCTTCACTGGGGCCTCCAGTCCCCACATTGGACGTGAGAAGGGAGGAGTGGCAGGAAGTGAGGACCACCATGGTTGGCACACTGTTCCACCACTGGTACCAGAGCGGCAGACTTGACGAGGAAGATGACAGACATCAGATGGTGTCAAACTCGGGGCCACAAACGGCAACGCATCGGCACGAATCCATGCACCCCACATATATTCAAAAGGCGCTGTGGAAGGCGCAACGTTCTTTCTATCGTTTGACGCCGGCTTTTAAGTTTTAACACCATGCTTCTGAAATAACCACCTTGTCCCGTGCATTTCGTGTGGCTTGGAATCTGGATATGGTGTGGCAGAAGAGAAACCCTGCGTGAGTGACAAGCACGGACTCGAGAGAAGGTTGGACCAGAGAGCAGGGCGTTCACGGGAACAAGGAGCCGCGTTGCACGATAAGGGCGCTGCTGGATGGTTGCAGAAGCAGGGTGGCCACTTTGAGAGGGGTTTGCAGCGCGGGGTGGACTTGGCGTCCACGAAGCTGCGTAGGCTGAGTCTAGAATCTACTAGAGGCAGTCTTTGAAGTATTCTCAGGCATCATGGCTTTGGCAGGCTGCAGCCGTGCAACCCTCCCTGCTTTCAGGGCGGTCGCTTTTTCCCCTGCCAGCAGCCACGCTCCCAGGAGCGACAATGCGGCATTCAGCCCCATCTCCCATAGTTCTTCCTTTGTCGCTCCTCTTAGGGTTAGGTCTGTGCCCTCTGCTCGCAGCAGACGGCGGCCTGATGGGGGGAGGGCTGTGCCATCTGTGGTAGCGGTGGCAATGCAGGATACAGAGGGGGGTGATGGTCCCAAGATTTATCCTCCCGGCCTGGGCAGATACGAGTCGATGATCATCTTGAGGCCTGACATCACGGAGGAGGAACGGCAAGCGTGAGTACCTAATGATTCTTGTCTTAGCTTATGTTTATTACAATGTGGACCGTTATCATTGAGGAACGGTTTTCCAAAACTGGTTGGTTCGTCCTTGTGTCTGTGTATGGGTCCAGCGAATTTTGGTGATGCTTTCTAGGTGGTTCCTATCATAACACATCCGGGGCGCGTGAAAGTTCCTCTGTTTGGACTGCTTTTCTGGCATTGCAGAGCGTGTGGTGCGTCCAACGGCACGTATCGGTCAGCATTCCGGGTCTGAGCGGCAGTGTAACAAAGGGCCGATGCTGCATTTAGTACTTGATTTGAATCTCCTGATGCAAAGGGTTGAGGAACCGGCTTATGTGTGTATGCATAGAGTTTCAAGCTGTCACATGCTTTGTTTGCTGTGTATGTTTTCTGCAGCATGTGATCAGCGGTAATGGCAGATGTAGGTGTTGTTCTCGTGACCACTTTACAGGAGCCGCTGTTTTACCTGCTCAAATTTGTCTGTGCTTTCGTTTTCTTTTGGCAGACTCTATTGGCTCCTAACTTTCAGTCATCCTTTTTTCGGAAGTTTTCTGTCAAGTTGCTCCATCGAGAGATGGAAAGAAATGCAGCGAGCTAAATAGGGTTTCATCTTTTAAGCCAGCAAAGCCTCACAAATAATAATGCGGAGTCAGTCAGTTCCTTTCGTTGAAGGGTGCTTTTAGCGATTTCTGAGGGCCAGATTCGGTGGCCGCTCAGAAGCTGATGCACTGCTAATATGCTAGTTCGATTGCTGATCATGGCTCGCTCTAAAAGGGCGCAGCAAGAAGAAGTGGTTGCATACATGGCTTTGAAGGTATGCCTTTCGCTCGTAGGTTTATTTATGGATATTACCCCCCTTTTGTCATGGGCTGGACTATTCACTCTTTGGTCGTACTTTTGAGAAATTCGCTAGTCCAATATTCAATCCAATATTCAAGATTCGTCAAGCCAGCTGCTTCGAACTGCCTGACAGACGTCTTTGGAAGTTGGCTCCGTTGTCTGCAGAGATCTTTGCAATCCTTGGTCGTCCTGGATCGAGCAATCCTTGCTCGCCCTGGATGAGCACGTTGTCTCCTCACCTCTTGAACGATATACATGTGGAGTAGCTTGGATAGCTTGCACTGGGCGCCCCCCAACAACATTCCTGCTGCTGAATCTTGTGAACTCAATATTTTGTTGTTCAAGTTTGAGGAGCCAACAGACCCAAGGTGCAAAAGGAATCATCAGCAGATGATGTTGCCCTTTGCCCCTTAGAGAGAGGTGATCTGTAGTAGACTGATGTGTCGCCCCCATTTCAGAAACGATCTTCCGATCACGGCTCTTCACCAGTCACAGTATTCACCTCACCTCCTCAGTGCACGTGGAGCTGCAATGATTCATGCGCCGATCAGCTAGCTTGCTGCAATGGCAGCATCAAGCCTGGCTTCTTCGCGTCTTGCTTTCATCCCCCGGATTTCCACACTAGGAGTGAATGTTTACCTTGAGCAAAGCAACTTCTGATGGGTAACTTTCTTGGTTTCAGTTTGAGCGAGCGGTACGAGGAGACTCTTATCGGGACTGGGGCGCTTGACGTGGAGCTGTTTAACCGGGGGATGCAGCCACTGCAGTACCCAATCAAGAAGAGGAGTACTGCTGGGCTCACAACCAGATACCTCGACGGGTGGTATTTGCTGTTCACATATGTTACCAAGCCGGAAGCGATCAAGGAGCTCACGAGCCAGTTCAAGTTCGATGACGATGTTATTCGGGCGCTTACGTTCCGGAGGGATATGTAGAGGGGATGGACGAAGTTGTAGGACGAGTTGACGACGTAGAAAGGGTATTGAAGCACGTGACCAGCATACAGTACGCAGCATGTTTGTAGCTCGGGCAGCCAACCAAGTCTGGTTTGGCTGTCAAAGAGCCACGTAACACTGCAACGCATCTTGGCAGATTTGCCTTCACTCCTGTACTGCAAGGTCGTTGTTTTTGTGCTATTTCTCAGCTTTCATATTTACTTGCCGGCCCGCAGGTGAGACACTGATTCGCTGTCGGAATGCATTCAATTTCCCTAAGCTCTAACTTCATTATGGATTGTGTAGCTGTGGCTGCATTTGCAAATATGGCGCTTGTTTGAGACGATCTGCCTACATTCCCTGGGCCTGAATTTGAGAGGTGGACTTCAAGAAGCATGTGCCATGCTGTACACGCTAGTCTTCGGCAATGGATGATGCATGGGCTGTTTGGCGCATCTGCGATCGGCTGTAACCAACAACGTGTTATCCGCGAGGCTAGTGACCTTTAATCTGAATGGCTTCCTCTTCACTTCAATTTCTTGCTTCAAATCGAAGTTCAATGAAAAAAGCATCCGTTGCGCTTGATCGACAGCGGCGGCATGCATGTAGGTGTCAAAACATATCAGAAACGTTCACATACAAGAACCGGCAGAATGATGGCAACTTCTAGTTTATTAACGCCCTTAGCCACCATGGCCATGGAGCACGCGGTCTCCGGCATGTACCCGGGATAGTTTTCTTGCCACGGCTGCCAGTCATGTCCAGCGATATGCAAGGCCTAACCTATATGTACGCTAACAAGCATTCAATCTAGCATGGTATGCATGAGCCTGAAGGGCAGATCAGCGGCAGAGTCTGGAGCTCCGGGCCTCAGGGCCAAGTGACTTCCACGCGTTATTATATTACGTACCTACTATATAAATGGAGTATCTGCCTGCAGTGCATGGGCCGCACTAGTATGATTGCTTATGAATTCCATGCATGATATGCAATAATATACTCTTATGTGCGGATGGAACATGCGCAGACTCGAGATGCGCCGCACACAAACACAAAATACATCACAAGCTAGCTAGGGTGGGTATCGGCCGAGTCAAATTTGACTCGGGTTGCGACAATTTTGTTATACCCGGTATCGAATATCGTCAGCGATACCGGCGGTTCGCGTCACGCAGACTCAGGATTCTGTTACTCGTACGGTACAATTGCTCGGATTTTTTTGCTCGGCCGTGAGTATGTGTCATGGAGTTGTAAGGTAGTGTTATGTTTTACACTTTGCAAGAAGCATCAAATTAGGGCTCAAGTAGGAGGCTCATGCAGCATATAGAAGCTTTTGACATGCAAAAAAAAATGTTGGGAGGGCGTCATTAGGGGTCCTTTGAAGCCCCAAATTCATGTATTGTTGAGGACAAATCCCAAGAAGTAGCATACGAGGCGCAAAGTAGGCCGCCATTGTTGGTGCTTGAAAAGCGCCTTCTCTTACACTAGCCTTAGAATCTTGTGCACTATCCTTTCGGTCTTGGTACCGCGGTACTCCACCGTGGTTCAAGTCGGAAGTTTCGATCAAGACCCTTTATTTCAAATTGGTCGATCGCGCAGACTCCGACGGTACGGTACCGCCGGAAAGTATGGACTTTACCGTTGCGCGACTTGTCAGAAGATTGCCGATTTGTGAACTCGGAGCCGATTCTACAATTTCACCGAGTACGGTCGTCAGTACCGGTTACGACAATTGTCACGACGCGTGACACCGGTGTAACAAATTTGAAACCGTATTGTAACCCGGTCGATACCGCCGAGACCCACCATAGGTTGCTTGTGATATATCATATATGCCGGACCGTACGCTGATCTCCATGCATATATATGCAATACCATTGCAGCTTCACTGAGTGAGCCGCCAGTGGTCACTCGCTGGCCCGTCGATGACGTTGAATTTACAAGTTACGGTGTCCAACCGCGGGCGACGCGCGCTCAGCGCGCTGCATGATCGAGCTCAGGCCGCGCCTGGGCCCAGCACTGAGCCATCCGGATTCAAGATATATTAATGACATGAGTCACGGCGGCACTATATCATTAATCGATTCACATAAATCATGGACGCAGATATTCATGAACCTGTTATGAATTGCGACATATCGCTCGATACACATGTACTTGTCTGCCCGGGGCCGGCCCACTGCTCAGATATGGTTCGCTTGCCAAGCTTTAAGGGCGCGCGAGCGCTTAGTATGTGCAAGAAATGATTGACCGTGACCTTCATCTGCAAGCCCCTAAATTTTGAGAAGCCTGCCAGCCGTAGTGGCATGCCAGCATGCCATGCCGCCCGGCCCGGCGGCGGCCTCGGCTACAACGTCCACACGCTCATGCAAAGGGCTCAAGTCAAGCAAATCAAAACTTCATCAATTACTCAGAAAACACGACTTCAAACATGGACGGTAAGAAGGCAGACTGGGAGGCAGAGGGTTAAGTAAGTGAAGAGCCCGGCCGGATTTGTGCTGGAATACGCAATCGCTATCCAACGGTGAAGTCGAGCTGACAGAGAGTACTTCGCTTGCAGCAATAAGCGTGCAACTGATCCTGGCTTGCTGCCTCAAATGTACAGAAAGTTTCGCGCGCCAGGCCTCGTATCTACGCTGATCCCTCGAGCCACATTCCGATCAGGCCCGGCCGAATTGCATTGGCAATTCAAGCCCAAGCCTAAGCGGCTTTGAAAAAGAATGTCAAAGCGTGCACCGATAAAACAAGCATCGCAAGAAAAGCCCAAGTTTTGCGTCGCCTCTGATCCACTATGTATACGCGAGCCCAATCGACTATACGGCCCGCTTATGACGAATTCCGCTCGGATTTTGGGCCATCTAAATAAGGCTTCGCGAGCACCGCCAGAACCAGCGTCCCCAGCGTCAGCACCGTGATGCACTCCCACGGAATGAACTGCGAGAGGGGGATGCGCAGCGCCACCGAGTATGACCACAGCGACCCCCCCAAAAACGGCCCCGCCGCGCGCGCAAACGCGCCGATCGAGTGGCTGAACCCCGTAACCGCACCCATGTTTGAACTATCCGTCGAATTGCTGACGAGGACCATCGCCCCCGTGAACCCCATGCACGCCGCCACGTTCTTTTCGATCAGCAGGCCCGCGACCGCCCACCACTGCCACGTGGCATTCGACGTCAGCAGCGACGTCAGCGGCATGAGGAGCGTCGCAGGGAGGTAGAGTAGGGTCCCGAGCGCGAAGCACGCACGCGCAGAGGGCGGGTTGAGCTTGAGAAAAACTAGGGTGAAGAGGAAAAGGACGGCGCCGGTAAGGCCCCCCAGGAGGCCGATGGTGGAAGCCGCGTAGCCGAGGCCGCCGCTCGCAGGGGACGCCGCGCCGAAGATGGGGAAGAGCTCGTCTGAAAGAGGACAATTAAGGGTGTCATGGTTAAGGACTTCGGACAAAGGAGAATTGAATGGCTTGTCCGAAGGGAGGGGGGGAGAAAGGTGGCGCACCGAAAATAGGGAACAGCTCGTCTGCAAGACGGGGGGACGCTAATGTTAGAGACTATACATCGAAAGCCAAGAACGGGGAAGGGCTTGTTTGGAACGGTGGGGAATGGTGGCTTTACCAACGACACTGACAGTCGACTGAGGGTCTGAAGACTTCAACTTGCAAGGTAGTCGTCTATAAGGAGCAAGGGAAGAAGCCAGTTCTTGAACTGCTGAGAATCCAGCCTGCCGAAGCTTCGCGATGCGACTCTGTCTCTTACAGGACAGAGTGGCCAATTTGACTCGGGAAGCACTTTGAAGCAGTTTGAAGCAGCACTCCTGTTACGTCAGCATTTCAACTTGGGAAGCAGCCCATCAGTCATTCTCTCTGCTCTGCCCTTCTAACGTCAACCGGCAATTCCCTGTTGTACCGATGTCGACTCGCATACACCTCGAATCTGTTTCTGAGAACCAAGCGTCACCAGACAAAGCAAGACCCGCAGGCAACCGAACCGCATAAGCTGCCACTACCGTTCAGTCACCGTCGAAAGACAGAAGCTGCCAAAAGAGATTACTTCACCCTCACCTCCGATGATGTGAATGAAAGCAGTCATCCCATACGTCCCAGAAGCAATCCACACGTCGGGGTCCTGCCAGTAGAACCGGTCCTTCGTGGCTGCCGCCCCGCCTTTGATTGAACTTGAAGCCCCGACCTTGTCGGGACCCGATTCTAGATCCGGTAGCTTCTCATACCGAACGCCGTCGACTTTCGTCCTCCCCTTTGCTGCGCCCTTCCCGTTTCCTATTCCTGTGAGCAAAACTCCCAGTTTCAGCTCGTCATGCTTTCCATCATTTGCTAGGCTATCCGTCTTCCCTCGCCCACTCACGGACGGCTCAGCCGCTTCCTCTACGGTTCCTGCAAGCGCGTTTTCCTCCAGTCTAGTTCCCCTCGTCGCTGCCCCCCCGCTTTCCACCGCTCTCCTCTCCGTAGTAGTGTCAAAGTCCCCACTGAGCATCCCATGCTCGCCTCTTGACACCAGCTCCACTCCGTTCGCCCCACCGTTCACCTGAGCCACGATTCTAGCTACGGCGGATTCGCTGCTTCTTCCCACTTTGCTTTTACCGCTTGAACGAAGCTTGCTTTCCAGAGGTTCTAACAGAAACCCCCTCTCCTCGTCCCCCTCCGACCTTGCTCTAAAATCCTCTAAGGAGGCCTCAAGTTCACCAGACTGCCCTTCGCTAACAGACACACTCCCGGAACCCTTAGCCGGTTTTGTCTCGACCAGCTCAAACGTCTCGTCCTCAATCTTCGCAAACCCAGGTTCCTTAACGAGGGTCTCCCGCAGGAAAAACGTCGCGACCGCAGCGACGCCAGAGAAGAACGCGGCTCCAGCGCACGGGAGAATGAACGGGTACGTTTTCAAAACCGCTGGGCACTTTTCTATTCCGTACTGCTGACAAGGGCGTGCCCCCACGCCCCCAATGACTTGCCCCGCAATCGTACCGATGCCCCACCCGAGGCTCAGCACCGCAAACCCCTGCCGCTGGTTCGTTTTGTCACACAACTCCCCCAGGGTCGACTTGGTCACCGTGATAACCCCGTTCAGTAACCCGCCCACTAACCTCACGAGACACGCCATCGTGTAGCTGCCGGACAGTCCGAAGAGGAGAGCGGACACGGCTGCGACGACGTTCCCAGAAAAGAGGACGGGTTTGCGCCCGGTGCGGTCCGAAACGGAGCCCCAGAAGAGGGAGGTGCAGAACTGGGCGAAGGGGAAGAGGGATGCGAGGAACCCGGCATAGCGGCCGACGAGGTGGGGGTTGTGCTCGGCGACCCCAAAGTCTGAAAAACAAAGAGTCAAACTTTAGCTTCCCATTTGAATGGACCACGAAATTGTGAAACAAGGGGTACGCTTCCAGTTGAACTGCACCTCAAGATCTGGAGTTGCGCTCTCCCACTTGCTCGAAGTTAGATTGACAATCACAACGTGGAGCAAGGTCAGCAACCCAAAATTCTGGACAAGGGAACCTTCCGCTAACAAAAGGAGCGACGAAGTGGTGATTGTGGCACAGTTTTCTACTCTGTTCTTGCTCACTGGAAGGCCAGAATCTGCGAGGTCGGTACTTTCGGGGTGGTGTGGGCTTTGTCAACCAGATTGCGGAATCTAACGAGGAAGGATTGCTCAAAAATCAACAGAGGGTTTTCTTGCCTTTGTCGAAGTTTGAGAAATGGAACATTCTCCTCTGCAAAAAGTCCATCTCAAACAAGAAGATCCTCTTCACCAATGCCAGAAGTCTCAAGAATCGGGAAGGGCATATGGGCAACACTTTGAAACCACTATTGCTGGATGGCAAGAATGGCTCAGATGGTCAATTGGACCCTGCTCCAATCAAAAGACAGGTAGCGCTTATAAGCATGTCACTCAGATGGTATCTGTTTCTCCTTGGACCTTGCTGGATTGCTTCAAGTACATTCAAGCTTCTTCTGCTTAGAACCATACCACCTAAACATCGGCCTCAATCAACCAATGCAACAAAGCCTCCCTATGTTCAAGAGTCTGGATTGAAGACTGCTTCGCTTCAAGCAATCATGTGGCCAAAATCTGTAGGTCCTACTTATCCAGTGATGTAGTCTCCCCCCTGGCAAGTATGCATGCTTGGCATGCACGATGATCACTACCATGTTTCAGTTCAGCCATGAGAAAGTCCGGAAAAGAAACCTACCATACACCCGACGTGCACAACCACCACCCCCATCAAGATAACGAACTCCAACATCTGAGCGAAAATCCAACCAGCTAACTTGGTAGTACTTCTTCCAATCCCTACAAGCTTTCAACCTGAAGGCTCCTGATTCAACATCCAGACATCAAAACAAGACGGCCAAAATCATCTTTGAAAGTCCTAGAGATGAATCAAGCAAAAGCCTCTCTCTCACCTGTGACCATGAACACAATCAGCGGGAACAGCATCGTCACTTGAAAGCCCTGACTAAGGTGGATCAAAAAGATGACCACCATCTCAGTGCTCGGAAGGGGGGTCGTCGCAGGATCCGCCCTGGCTCCTGCTCCCACCACCTTTTTCCAGCTCCAGCGCCCCATAGCAACGAAATAGTTCTGGCGCCGATGTGGCGCCACGCAAGAAAGTAACTTAGCTACTGGGTGGCTGGCTTAAAATCCCCATTGAGGCGCCAAATCATTGCAGGAACATTGCTGAGAGCTTGTAGCTTGATCTGGTCGTGACGTTTGCGTCGCTCGATCTTTGGCAGCCCTGCTTCTTGAAATATGAACTTGGAAGTTCTAAGTTACTAATCTAAGCAGGCAACCATATTATTATTGGCATGAGCACGGGCCTGCGCCACGTCGCCAATTGTCGAGCTGCAGGCGCGCCCTTCTGATATGATCCGCTCGAAGTCTGGCCGCGGAACCGAAAAGCAGTCAGTCTTCGGAAACGGAATCTCGTTGTAGGCCAAGTCATCCCACGTGGACGCGGCGCGCATCCTGATTGGTCAAGAAGAGGTGATTGACAGCACTGGAGTCTGGGACGCGCATAATGCGCAGGAAGTACGCGTTACGCATGTGTTGTTCCTTCTTAACTTCCGACCCATGGACACTGGAAAGCTAGCTCTATTAATCGTGCCGAGACGCCTACCAGACTGGCTAACTGCCAACTTCTTAACCTTTTAGCGTGACGCATCGACGATTCAGTCTCCTTCCCACGTTGAACCCTAATAATTTGCCCGTCATTATTGCTCAATCACGGAGAGGCAGCCAAAGCAGCTTCCACTGTCCACTTCTACGGCTCCCTGCAGATGAAGCACACGGCTTCACAAGCTGGAAGGAAAGGAGGCCTACTTTGATCTGCAATGGCGGGCGTTCCTGCGCCGCGGCCCAAGCCGGAGCACCTCCTGCTCAAATGGGCCGGCACGGTCTTGGAAAAGTCTGAGGATGAGTGGACCGACGTTGACGCGTTCAGAGATGGGAGGCTGCTGCTAGAGTTGCTTGATCGCTTGTGGCTCGGGGGGAGTTCTAGCAATCAGACAGACAGCGATACCATTTTAGAAGCAGACATTCCCGGATCCAAGGTGGACACAATCTTTCAGGATGAAGGAGGAGGGTTCCAAGGTGGGGTCAGGATAAGCAGGGAAGCACAGCCTGAGCTGACACTGTGCGTGTCTCCAAAGACTCTGGCAGCAAAGGGCAAGGCTGCCGGTGTCAATCTGGACGTCTCGACATTGGAGAAGGTGAAGGAAGGGGATGGCGCGGCGCTCCACGAGACGCTGTTGTCCATGTATCGGCCCTGGATCATGCAGAATGGGCAGAAAGGGGTCAGGCGGGTGTCTAAGGGGCAGGTTAGTGAGACCGCAAAAGTGAAGAAGACGGCAATTGGGGATGAAAGTGTGGAAGCTAGCAGTGGAGCTTCCGAAGGGGGGAGTGGGCTGAAGGTAACAGGATCAGAGAAGGAGGATGAGACTCAAGCAGGGGCGGGCGAGAATTCGCTCGGTGGTTCACAAGGCCAAAGTAAGTTGGTGGCGAGGGGGAAAGAGAAAGTGGGAGCTGGAGCTGCGAACAATCAAAAAGATTCTGAGAGAGCTCCAGAGGCGCTGGAAGGGGCACAAAAAGATGCACCAATGGCAAGAAAAGAAGAGGAGAGAGCAGAAAACGCGGTGGTTGCGGCGAGGGCAGAAACACTTAGGGGCGGCGCAATAAGTGCTGACATACCTCCGGGGGCGGCAAGTGTCGCATCGGCAGCCGGTGAGCCAAGCCAACCAGGGAAGAGAGCGAGGGCGAACGTTTTGAAGCAGCTCAACACGAAAGCAAGAGCTGGGTTAGTGGCTGGTCACATCGAGAAGATTGCTTCACCAACGTCAGCTGGCGAGTTCGTCGGCAGAGCTGGGGACAGGATTCAGAGTGGGGTGTCTCCAGCTTTGGTTGAAAGTGATGGGGTTCAGGCTGCAGATCTGGTTAGGGAGGGGGCAGACGCAACCAGCGAGGAAGAGAAGCAGGATGTCGCTGTCACGACGAAAGGGAGCCCCGCAAATCCGGAAGTTAAAGATGCAGAAAGCGATGGTGGCTCATCTTCATCGCTGTCGGTCCAGGACAAGAAAGTGATACTCAGCGACAGTGCCAAGTCGGAGACCCTGAGTGGGTCCGCGACAACGGGGTCAGCGAAACAGACAAGGTTTGAGAAAGCGGCGGAGCCAGACAGAAATGGCGACAGTGGAGACGGCGCCAAGTGGCGGGCTCCCCTTCCGCCGCGATCAGCGTACAGTGCTTCAGACGGCCAGCTGATGTCGGCACGGGCCTGGCTCGCCGACATCATCGCTGGTGTCAGCGCTGATGTCAGCGAACGTCCCAGCCCGCCCGAGTTTGAGAGCGGGGTCGCGCATGTCCGCGCCTGCGAGCTGCTGCTTGACACCAATTCCGACTCCGAGCTGAGGCGATTCGGAGTTGACGAGCCGGTGTCAATGACTGAGAGGCGGGTGACATTTGTGTATGAGCAGCTGAGGTCGCATGGTGCAAGGGTGTCGAACCTGAGGCGGCGGAAGAGGTCTAGCGGGGGAGCGATCGACGGGGAAAAGCTAGGGGCGGAGGCAGAGATCGAGTTGGCTGAGACGCTGATGTCAGCGGCCGCGGAGCTGGGGTTGAGCGTTCCGAGGGCGGTGGAACGGATCAGGTGAGCTACGATATCACTGCTGAAATTTGTCGAGCGTTGAAGGATTTCTTGACTCTCCAGCGAAGTTGTTGTGTTCTTTCCCTGCAATCGTTACTTCACATTCTTTTGGATTGGATTGAGCGGTTCAGAACGACCATGCAAGAGTTGCCCTGAATGCCATTGGACCCTTGAGGACATTGTTGAGAAATCAGGGCAATCCCGTTCTGAAGTCGAGCAACTGCAAAACGTCTTCTGTCAACCACCTTTTGGCAACAGAAAGGCAGCTTCCGACTGCATATAGTCCCTCCTGTCGAAAACTTCACGCCGCTGTCGACTCCGAGGAAAGTCGAGAGCATCCACCCTTACAGCTCTTTCTTCTCTATCTGACGACGACCTCAAAAGATACCAAAGTCACGCACACGGGTTCCGATGCAACTGTACTACCAATGGGATCTAATGGAGGGCATATTGAATTTCTCACTCGACACTCTCTGCTTCATACTGCAGGGAGCTGACTGGTGTGAAAGAACACCCGTACGATTGGGAAGACGCCCTCCAACTGTGGGTCAACGCAGTCCTGGCGGATCACCACAGCAGGACACCTGTCAAAGACGCGAAAGCCGACGAAGGGTGAGCTAATGCTCCTGTCCTTTCTGTTTCCTGCTCTTTGAATCTGTCGAGGGCATTAACGAAGTGCGGCGCGGGCAAATCCGGGAAACTCTACGTAGATACGAGAGTCGAGTTGAACGGTGAGGCTTTCGAGGACGCCTGATGGAGTAGCTTGGTCGACAATGACTCGTTCTGAACCCAAGGCTTGACGGAAAGGAAGTGAATCCAGATGTGACGTCATTGCGAGACTTCCAAGAATGTCATCAGGACGATGTCGTCTCAACATGTTGGGAGTGCCAGTAACTGATTGCCGTCTATCTCGTTTGAAATTTATTTGAAACTCAGCTCTGACAATCATGGGGTCGTGAACCAAGCGTTTGACGCGTAGATTTCACCTGTATTCCTGAGACGACGGGAGCCTGGAATGCAAACACTCAAATCTCAGGCCCTTGACGGGAGGAAAGGATTGGTAGGCAGCAGCCTCTCGCCTGTTCCTTGAACCGCATGCAGTATCAAATGATATTGATTCCCAACCTTTTGATTCTCGAACCCGGTCCAGAAAGTGACGAGAAAGAACCGCAACGGTCTGCCTCTTATTTCGAGTCGTCAGAGGCGTCCGTCATGAATCTCCATCCTCTACCTGACGATGCATTCGCTGGCCAAGACTTCCCTTCTTGCCGTGCCAGAGTTTTGATGAAACCTCATCCCAGCGAATTCCCCCATGTTTCGCTAGGCTGCTCTGCGTCGACGACCTGTTGCCAAGGAAGTTTTTCCCCGTTATTCCGGATGTCACCAGCTCGCCTGTCAAACAATCATGTTTCTCCCCGTGCCAGACTGTACGTGGACGTTATTCCAATGTCATTTTACCCTAGAACATCAAAACCCTTTAACCCAAACCCTTTTTCCTGCCAGGTTGCTCTGCATCGACGACTTGTTGCCAAGAATATCGTCTCCGCTCATCCCGTACGTTAGTAGCTCGCCTGTCAAACCTTCATTTACTCCCCTTGCCAGACCGTACGCGGACGTCATTAATCCTCATCTTAGTCCTGGTATTCTCAAAACGTTAACCAAACTCTTTTCCCGCCAGGCTGCTCTGCATCGACGACTTATTAGTTGACCTCAGCGACGGCCGCGCGCTCGCAGTCCTCCTCCACTCCCTCTCCCCCACGCTCATCGATCCACGTGGCATCCCCCTCGACCGCCAGCTGTCACGCTCCGAAACCGCCCACGTCATCGGCTTGATCCAGCACGCCGCCCGCACGATCCGGGTCCCCTTTCCGCTGACGCCTGCTGACCTCATCTACGGTCACGCTGGCGTCAAGCCCGCCCTCCTCTACTTTCTGGCGGCTATCTTCCGGACCTTCGAGCAGAAAGAGCCGTTGCTGCCCGTCGTTCGAAAAGTTCCGTCGTCGAAAGGTGCGAAGACGGGGAGCGAGCCTGGAGCTGTCCGTTCCGGCGAGACGATATCCGCAGGCCCACCTGATTGGATACCGGAACCCCGGAAAACCGAGTCGCCTCATCGAAGAGGATCCTCGGAAATCCCTGATCCGCGCTGGGAAATTGAGGCCCCTGCAGTTAGCTCGTCTTCTGGGCGACCAGAAAGTGGACGAAGTCAATTGGGAGGTCGCTATTTGTCTTTCGGTCGCCCTGCAAGCAAAGAATCAACCTCGCCCACGGCCGACATTCCGGTTGAAACAGTTGATTCCGCTCGGAGCACGCAGGACAGCATGAGTGCGGAAACCCCAAGCGGTGGGGTAAAAGACGGGTCCCGGCGAAGAAGCAGTTCAGTCGAAAAGCGGGCGGGGAGCGCTTCACCGGGCAGCCAAGATGTAGGGGAGACGCCGGCGAAGCAAAATCCCCTCGGCTCCAGAACGACGTCAACGCGTTCCTCCAGGACCACGTCAGCAAAACCTTCCAGGTTGACGTCACCCGACTCCTCCCGGCTGACGTCGGCACGCTCTTCCGGACGGTTGGCCGTCAGTCCGACCATGATCTCTAGCGGCGGGGTGGCGAACCTGGAAAGCGATTTCCAGCCCGGTGCTGACGTCACTGGATTCGTCAGCGCGCTGCCGAGTGCATCGATGACGTCAGAGGATGCCCGGGCCGTCCGGCAGGCGAATCTGTGGGCGCTGCTGAATCGAGCGGAGGCGAACGCGGCCACCGCCGCGGCGTCGCTATCGCTGGTCCGGGAGCGGCTCTCCGAGGAGCTCTCCGCCAGAACCGGGCCGGAACGGAACCCAAACGGATCGCCGACAAGGACCCAGATGGTGAAGAGTGGGGTGGGAAGAGGGAGCAAAGAGAAAAGCGGGTCGGCACGGATGTCGGCAGAGGTTGGAATGGTGGGAAGGGCAGAGGGAGCGGTTGCGAGGGCCTCTTCCGCTCCGGTTCCGCTGGCGGAGTTCCGTTTCGAGGGCGGACTGGAGGACGAGGATATGGTGCGCATTGGGGAGCCGAGTGCGGTGGAGCTTGGTTCAGAGCCGAGCGGAACTAGGATGGGGGGTTTGGAGATGGCGGACCGGGAAAACTTGGCGAATGCCTCAGAGATGAGTTCCGGGCAATTGGGCAGTATGAATGCGCGAAGTTCGGGCGAAGGAAAAACGGACGTCCGGACAAGGACGAAGAAGTTCTCATTGCGGACGCACCCGTTGGAAAGGTTCGAAGCTGTGGGCAGTGACCGGTTGGAAACGGTCGGAGGAGCCGCAGCGGGCGAGCGGGGAGCGGACGAGGCGGAAACGGAAACGACGGCGGAATGGACAAAAGCGGAACGAGCTGGAGCGAACACAGGGTCGCTAAGTTCATCCCAAATAAAAGAAAAGTCTGATGCCTGGGCAAGGGAAAGTAGAGCGAAAGAAAGCGCTGATCTGCCTCGTCTTTCGCTGGAGTCTCCAAGAGGCAGCGTTTTCAGAGTGCTTGACGCTTTGAAAAGCGCTTCGAGTCCCGTCGAAACCCGCAGCCTCAGTAAAGTAGGTGTTCCGCGGTTGGATCTTCCGGGGGAGTTCACGAGCCCCGTAAGTTTAAGCCCCCGAACCGAACGGTCCTCGGGGCGAAGCACCGGGCTGAAGTCCTACAGGACACGTGGCAGTCGTGTGCTCACCGAGCGGTCCGTCGAGGCGCGGCGCAGCCTCGAGGTGCAGTTCCGGCTGCTGGAGGAGCAGAAGGCGGAGTCGGACCGGAAACGGAACGAGGGCTCGGAGGTGCGCAAGTCGCTGGAGGAGCGGAGGGCCGCGCTCGTGCGGAGGTCGCAGGAAGGGGTTGCGGGTTTTGCGGGAGGGTTAGGGGGTTTGGTTAGCGGAAACGAGAGTTTTGCGACCGGGTCTGGAGGTCTAGTGTCCGGAGGCGGCTCGATCCTGCGCGTGTTGTCCGAAAGGCTGAGCCGGAGCACGGAGGGGAGCGAGGGTGACGTGGCAGAGGCTCGGAGTGACGTCAGCGGGGTGATGACGTCAGAAGCGGCAGACCGGAAGAGTGACGGGAATGGGGCGACAAGCTACGTTGGGTCAATTGAATTGGCGGTATCAGAGGGCAGAGGATCGAGCCGGGCAAAGAGTGAAGCTCGAAGCGAAGATGCATCGAACGAGAATGACAGAAAATCAGACAAGCGGCGGACTCCGGAGCTGCCACGTGGCATCCTGGATGATGCGGCCCGGGGCTTGGACGTCCGAGCTTCGACGGAGAGTGTGTCCGAAGCTCGTGCCTCGGAACAGGGCTCTGTACCTCCGCTAAACGTTCCCGCGGGACCTTTAAGGCTTTCCGCCGGTCCGCCGATTGACTCAGCGGAGCTGCGGGGTAATCCTAGCAATCCAATGAGCGTCCGGGAAAGTTCTAGCCGTCCTGCCGATGCTTTGAGGACTTCAGTTGAGACCGAGCGGAAAGAGATTGACTGGGGCAGCCTTGACTCGGACAGCCCCGTCCGGCGGACGGAGTTTCCGTCGGACAGCGAGAGTTCCGGTCGGTTGGGGGGAGGTGCCGGAGCGGAACGGAACCCTTTCCAGGAGAAAAAGGCGGTCGACTGGGGAACGCTGCTGACCGGGGACGGGCTTGATTTAAGTAGTGACGTTAGCCGGCTGGACGACAGCATGGAGTCAAGAGGTGGGGCGGGGACGGAGCCGGATTCCGCCGGGGTGGAACCGGACTCCGCGGAGGCCGTCCGGAACGGGGAAGGTTCGGAGGAGCAAGGTGGCAGCAGCTTGTGGGGTGATGAGGGACACGTGTCGAAATGGGACAGGCGCTGGAGTCCGGAGAGTATGCACGCTGACGTCATGCACTTGGAGGCGGAAGAGAAGGAAGAGAGGGGTGGAGGGGAGGGGTTGTGGAAAGAATTGGATAATGGTGAGGCTTACTCATTACGTCATTTATCGAGCGGTATGAATTTAGAAGTCGTGCAAGAAATTGAGGAGTCTCCCGTTTGACGGAAGCCTCTACCTTCTTCGCTGGAAAGAGTACGTTCCCATTCTCCTTTCTCGTCGCCTCAAAAAGAGGGAAGAGACTCGTTTGGGCTTGTACGAAGAAGCTTTCGTGCACATCAGCTTGCCAGTATTACGTAGACCCTGGAAAGCGCACAATTGTCTCCTTCAGAAATTCTTCCGAGCAATTCGTGTACACGCATTCGACGACTGTTTGGATGAGCTTGTCTTTAGATTGAAACCGTGAAAGAAGCGCGCCTTTGATTGCAACAACTTCTGCGCAACTCTGTCTTGTCCAATGATGCCAAGCGGAACCCAAGCACCGCAAACAGATAACAGCGTATGCATGAAAGGCGTGTACTGGCACGAATATGAACCCTTCTGACCGCTCGTCCTCCGCAGGTCTCTCGTCGCACGAGGACGAGAAGGAGAAAGAGAACGAGAACAAGAACGAGAACGAAAACGAAGCCGAACCCAGCCTTCTTCCCGAGCGCCACTTGCGCAAGCCGCCCAAACCTGTCGCGCTCCACTTGATCGACCGCGACGACAGCGAGAAGCGCGCGCGCATGCAGCGCGCGCTCGACGAGAAGCGCGCGCATTTTCTTTTGGAGAGGCAGCTCCAGCAGGCCGCGGCCGCGGCCGCGTCGAGCCGCCGGCCGACTGACGACAGCTCCCAAAACCCCGAAACCCTTTTGGTATCGGATGTTCCTTCCGGGAAGCGGCGATCGAGCGGCTCTTCAGCGGAAGGCGACGGCGGACATCCGGCGGAAGGCGACGGCGGACTTCCGGCAAAGGGTGGCGGCGGATCGCGGTCAAAAGGCAACAGCGGCTCGTCAGCACACGTCAGCCGCAGGGGTTCGGGGGTTTTGGACGGTCCAGCCGACGGCGGCTCGTCCGGAAAACCAAGCCGCCGGGTTTCCGGGTTGTCCGAGGATTCTGAGGACAAAGCGGGCCGCAAGCTCTCGGGGGTCAGTCCGTTTTACGCGGCGCCCCCCCGAATGTCCAACAAGAAGCTCGTCCGGAATGCGCTGAGCACGGTGTGCCTGGCCGGGGGGGCGCTCAAGCTGGAGAGGGAGCGCGCGCTTATGGTGAGCTGGCGGAGCGCTTATTTGACGTACGTCGAAGTACATCACACAAAGTTGCTAGAGTCTGATAGATACAGATGGTGCTGTGAGAGTTGCTTATTGTTGGCGGAGCAGCAAGATGCATTGACGCGGGAGCATGTTAGGGAAAGTTGATCACGGAGGCCCTCGTGGCGTCTCTCTGATCAGATGCCAAAGCTTCAACTCTGCTGAAGAGAACAGGCGACATAAGGCCCAAGGATCCCAGTCATATGCGATTAACCCTGCAATTGGATGTCAAAAACTTCGCTTGTGAGCTCGCTTGAACACCCGAGTTACTCCGTTTACACTTCCCCATTTTTGACGTCCTCCTTGATTCGTTATCCGCTTAGTACAACGGCAATGTGTGCGCCTCGTGCAGGCTCTTGACGCTTTCGACGGCGACAACTTCGTAATCCTATTCAAGGACGACAAAGGGACCAAGTTCAAGGGGTTGTACGTTTTGTCAGCGGATGGAAAAGAGGTACCCATCTGTCTTCTCCTCCCATGGTTTTTCTCTTTGCGGTCTCGATGCAAGCCGTCCAGTAGTTTCTGTAAGAGATGTAACTAGAATCCGTATTCAAGTGCGATGAGCACGACCGATGAGCACGACCCTAGTCTATCGTTGCTTTTCTACTGCTACAAGCTTCGCAGTTCTTTCCTACCCTGTTTCGCCTGATTGCGACCGCCAGCATTCCGGAAAATGGAGTGCTGAGGAGGGGTTTCAAAATCTTTCTTTTCGTCCTCTTTCTTAATTTCTCGGCCGTTATTCGAGGCAGTAAAACCGTTGAAAACCCAATTTCTTGTCAAATTTTGGCTGCTGCCCGTTGTTCGCCTGTCCTGTCCGGCGCAAAACGATTCCTTCTTTCTCTTTTACTCCAGCAACAATCGTTCCCGTTCGCAAAGGTAGCCGGTATCGAGGCGATACCTTTTTTCACCACCGGTTGTAGAAAGAGGTTCAGTCTCTAACGCCAGAACCGTACACAACATTCTGGGTCGGGAGCTCACTCCAAAATGAAATAGCCAGTTCGGCGGGAAAGCTCAGTCAGGAACATGCAGCTTTCTGACTACTTTGCAGATTGACCGCATCTACGGCTCTGGGCCGGAGAGCCTGCGATCGGACGGTGTTGCTCACTACCTCAAGTACGACTCGGGGGCCAAGGAGTTCAAGCCGCTGCAGACGCAACAATTCACCACTTCGACGTGCGCAGTGGCGCCGTCGAACAGAGCTCCGGGCAAGCGCCTGAGCAGGTGATTCGATATGCATAGCAGCACGCCGCAAGCTAGGAGCGAGGACGCAACGAAGGAGAAGGCATGGCGGCAAGCCAAACAGGATCTGTTGGCAATTCCGGCCAGGCCCGGCTTAGGTAGCTCGAGCTTTCTGAAATACATTTAGCCCGCCGAGCACCTAAGCCAGACTTGATAAGATAGGTAGGATATGAAGCACTGTGCACGCGCTTGATCTGCATTCGACCAGATTCTGACCCCGGCTACTACTGATTAATCCAGTCCGGCCTCGGGCCGGGTGCTTGCTTATTTTACCTTATCTCCCTCATACTCCGGGCCACGTAGTATCCAACGCCAGACGAAATGCATGGAGCTAGGATTGCTTACTCCCTTTCTTGTCTGGCAAACCTTCCAAGCTGACGTTACTTACCTGCATGTCACTGTTGCAATCAAGTTGGATATGGGGGACAGAAGGTGAATCAGAATCTGCATTCTCGTCACGGCGTGCCGACAAGTTGGCCTGAAGGTACTTTATAAACCCATGCACGAGCCCATTGACAATGTCTCACCAGCCCCCCCCCCCGGGGTGTTACTGGAGTTGATCCACAGTAAGGTGATGTTCCGGACCCAACGATATTGGGGTACGCAAAGTCGATAGTCCGATCGGAACTTATCAGCATGCAAGAAACAGTCTGATCTTCGATCAATGTTGATTCGATCATAGCATGACTGCTTATGCTCCTACAGCTGTTGGTCAGCACCTGGGACCGTCTACGAGTCTAATACAGGCTTCAACTCAAATTTCCATCTGACATCATCTGGTCTCAGGCTTCAGGCGACGTGACGAACTTTCGAAGGCTTCGTGAGCTTCTGATAAGCGCGGGCCGCGGGCTTGCCCGGCCAGACGTCAGAGTCACGGTTCCAATAATCATGACATCAGTGTGTCGTTAGAAGATGATCGGTGTTGCACGCGCGGCCCCATTCACGCCAAATGGGGCCAATGAAGATAATACAGAAAACCGCAGCCGATCAGCAGGCGCTCAGAGTAGAGAAATGCGAAGTTACCATCAGTGCAGCCTTCGACTAAATGTAAATAAGGATGGTCTCTAACTTGTAGCCTTGATAAAACGAAGCTGAATAAGGTTGCTCTCTTTATAGGCTGGTTAAACTGAAGGTACATAAGGATGGTCTCTAACTTGTAGCCTTGATAAACTGAAGGTAAATATGGATGCTCTCTTTATAGGCTGGTCAAATTGAAGGTAAATAAGGATGCTCTCTTTGTAGCCTTAATATTATCCGAAGGTAAATAAGGATGGTCACTTTGTAGGGCTGTGTCGAGCTAGATATCTTCTAGAGATTCGAGCCTGTAGGTTGGAGATTATCAGCGAATCCGACAGAGTGGATACAGAACTGTGAACGAGCCCGCAGCTTGCCTATATCCTAGAGCCACATGATACCGGTGTCAAGACTAATTCCATTTTACTGATCTGCTCAGAATGCCGTTTGCGACCAACAAAAGCATGTTCTGTCATGCTTCGTTCTTTTCTATCTAATCGAATTTCTCAACCTAGCTGTACCTTCTCCCTTGCATTTGTTAATGGGAACGCGAATTCGTAGATTCGATGGCGGCAAATTGATCTCTTCAATCTTGAGCCGATATGGTACAACTAGATAAGGACTTGGCAATCTAAAAGCTCACACTGACCATCTTGATGACATAGATTTTCAGATTTAAGGAATGATTGAGTATTTACATGTATGATATTGTCAAGATGGTGATCCGGCGGCCGGGAATCATGTCAGTGTGACCGCGCTACAACAGTACGCATCATGTCCAATCAGAGTCGAAGTGCATGTAGGTGATCTGCTGGCTCGTTGATCCTAGATCTACATCTTCTAATAACATGATGGTACGCATAGATAGCAGCTAGCGTACGCATGAAACGATCTTGTAGTCCAGTACTACCAGCTGATGGCTCTGCGTTCATAAAAATGCTTCTTTCCATCCCGTTGCTTACTCCGTTTCCGTCTCAAATCTTCCCAGACTTTGCTCGTTGAAGAAAAGCTTCCCCACAGTTCACTGCCAAATAGCTTCAAATCTTTTCGCGAGATGTGGCTTGCATACAGCAAAAGCTTCGTTCCTTTCTCTGGGCATCCAAAACTCCTTCTCCGACCCTGCCCATCGCCTATTCCCCGGACCTTATTCTGCCCATCCACACTCGCCACGTGCCCTAATATGATGCATCCACAGAAAATTACCAGGCCTTCCTGTTTCGCCGTCCCCAAAACCCCCATGCTTTTCCCGCTCTGAAGCCCGCTCGCGGAATCCGGCAGCACATCTCGTAACAGTCCGCGTCTTCCAATCCGCCCTTGCAGCGGAGCTCCGCCAGCGGAACCTGAGCGGAAGAGGCCCTGGCGGTGGCCTGCTTCTTTCCAGACCTGTTGGGCCCTTCCAAGCAGACACTTTAGCCGACGTAAAGCCGATGTCTCGATCCACGCTTGTTTCGACCCCTTTTTTACGCATCCAGATACCTTCGGCGTTCGTGTCAATTCGAGCCCTATTCTGGCGAATGGAATGTAAAGAGTGGTCATATTGTGAGTTTGTCCCTGAGCGCCACCCCAACGACCTCAAATAACTCCTTTCTGTTCGCAGTTGGGGTCTATTCGCGAGCAACCTATTCTCTAGAAAGCCGAAGCAATCTACATGATAGACGTCTAAAGGACTCGTTCAGATCTTAGGACGAGACTCTGAAATCTGACAGAAACCTGAAAGGCAAGAGAGTACAGCGACGCTGCGGCCGTAGGAGGGCTCCCCTCCGCCCGGCTCAGGAGCGCCCAAGTTCACTTTCTCCCGTTCTGCGCATACTCTGACGTCATCTAGGGGACGAAGACCGTGCGGGCAGCCGGCCTGCTGGATTAAGCTGATGCGGCGGGCGGTACCGAAACCTGACAGCTGGCCGTCGAAGGCGATGCGACGTGGATTCATGAGGGGGGAGGATGGGCAGTAGAGAAAACGACTTTGAGCGCGCTCGACCGTCGCTCAGGTCGATATGCGGCTGTCGTAACAGACCAGCCTGCCAAGATAACGGATAAAGGAAACCCAGAAGAGTGCGAGCAAAGCTTCAAGAATTCAAGAAGTTTTGAACAAAGGAAAAGAAGAAAGGGAAGTTGTCTTTCGGTTCCTGACCACTTTGTCAACTTGAGGTTAGCCGTTACAGTTAACGGAAGAACGAAGTTGACGAAGCAGGGGTCAAAGCTGACTTTTTGCGGAGTTTGAGTTGACAGCGGCTACCGAGACGAAGGAGGAGGCCGTCACGACTGAGGCGCGCGTGAGTGCAAACACCTGGGTCACGGCCGCGGCCGCGCATGTCGCGCCGCACAATTCGCACCTTTACAGCTTCGTGCGCATCGCGGTTGTTGAATCCACAAAGAGATTCAATAAGGAGGCACTTCCTTGCCCCATAATTTTGCTCTAATGCGAAACGCAATCGCGCAGAAGGGATCAGTTCGGTCGAAAGCTGAGTCCGGCGGCGAGGCCGCGGCGCAAAGGGCGGTAGTACGCCTGGGAGACGTCACGTCAGCTTCACGTGAGGGCCTTCAACTGAAAGCCAGGGGGTCCGCCGGGTTTACTATATTTATGTCATCGGTCAGATCCTGAGCAATTTCTGGATCGTACTCATGTGCTCAAGCGTTTCTAGAATGATTCAGATCTGCAGTTTGTCCTTCAATTCAATGTCTGCCTTGTGAGTGGCACTGAAATCGACAGGGAGTCAAGCAGGCACGCTGCTAAAGTTTCTGGGCAAGAACAAAACGGCCGCGACTCAGAAGCGGTGTGACCACAATCAAGGCCGTTCTGAAATAAAGCCAGCTTTTTCAAAGACCACAACTTCGCAAGGCAAATCCAGGACGCTCCCTTAAAGCCAGTGAACCGAAGCTACGGACGAATTGCGGGTGGAAATGTTTGAAGGTATTTTTGCTGCGTGGCTGAATCGAAGCGATCGATGGGTCGAACGGAAACGAAGGGAAAAACAGGAGTGAAGGCCGTTTCATTCATTAAATGAAACGGAACAAAACGAAACGGAAGCGGTTCGCTTAAGGCCCCCCAACAAGAGTTTCGAGGCTCTCGGTGAACCGGTCGACCAACGGTGACGCATAAAAAAGGCTGCCTCGGGTCGTACTTCGCTGGGTGCATAAAAATGGCAGCGTATATCAAGCGCGTGAAGCTTTGTATTAAGGACCTGCAGAGATATTAGGGACCAGTATTAAGGACCAGTATGAAGGACCAGTACTAAGGACTAGCTAAGATACAGCCCGCAGTCCAGCTGGTCAAGCACACGTGCCCCGGTTGAGCCTCCTGGGCAGCTTGACCCTAGCTCCGCGAGCGCCCGCGAGGCTTTGAAACGGGCAGTCTTTGGGATGAAGCGCCGAGATTCTTCAGGTTAAGCGCCAGTCGTGATGAAGTATTCGTGCCATCATATTGATTGAGGATTGCCGTGCAGCTTCGAGGCCGCTTTCAGCGCCTGGAAAAGCAGACGGCGGAGCCGTTGTCGGAATGAGTAACAAGGGCTCGAGGGTGCGTCGTCCGCTGGAAGAGCAAATCGTAGTCGTTCGCGCACAGTTCGTCGCGGGAGGGCTGGTTGGGTAGGCGGTGAGCTCAAGAGTTGATTCCGTAAGCGGGACTGCCGTCTACGTCTAGCAGTTGGTTCTGGAGCTTCAACGCTAACGTCAGGATGCCCCGGTGCGGCTGGACCATACTCCGCGTACGTGACATCTGAAAGGCTCAATCAATGTGTCACAGAGCAGAGCGCATAACCCATGCAATTAACACTTCACCAGCAATACCTCCCATCCGGAAGTCTATAGCGCCACGGCTGCTGCGTATTGCTTCCATCACTAGCCGCGAGGGTCAATGTCAGAGACACTTAAGTGGCCGGTTGGGCGGGTTGGCATCAGCCGAGTCAGGGGGATCCCCTGGTTCGTGGGTGCTCTCTGGCCAGAGTCTCGTTGCACTGCGAAACGTCAGGCCGGTGTACAGTTCGAAGTTAGCGGCGCAAATGCTAAAATGAAGAGGAGAGTGCCCAGGAAGGGGCCCGGGACGGAGCCTGACCTATGATGTTCGTGCCTGACTTTGAACAAGCTGCGGGATCTGCAGGGTGGTGAAAAGTCTCGTGGTGAATCTTTTGTGGTTGATCATCATGAGCGGTAACTCACAGGCTCGATCCTGTGCGCGCGCCCTTAGAAAGTATTAGGGGGGTGTCGGGCTAATTTAACCCCGACTCTTGAGGTTCGGAGAGCCTACCAGGCTGGGCCTTTGGCAGGCCGGCCGGCGATTCTGGAGTCTGGATGCAGAATCCAAACTAGCTAGCTAGACTCCGGAGACCTGAAGGCTAAGATCCATGACACATTATGTCGCCACATAGCAAGGGAATCGGGATCGTCTTTGGACGTCGGCGACCGGACGCGGACGTCCCTCGGACGTACTACCCTTTCGGCGCACTGGTATAGTTAGTACCGCGGCACCGTGACCGTCCGAGTGGCTTCGTTGCTGACTTGGCGCCGAGAGGAGTGTTAAAACTTAACCCGCTGTCTCCCGCCCACCTGACGAGCTTGCCTGGCCACGAACGAATCGCCCGGGCCTCGATAACCGAGGTTCTGCAACTTCAACTTCTGCCCCTTTTTGTCGAAACTTCGAAGTCCTTTACGGTGTACAGGCGAGTCATCCGGCCACGCAATGCGGATTTCCGGAAGTCAGCGCTCGGGGCGAGTCGTTGACAGTTGTGTGCGCATGCTACCTGTAACCATAACATGATTTCAGCATCCAAAATCCAAATCATACTTTGTAACTGGCCGGGCGCGGGGCGGCCGGGCAATTCTCCCAAGTTCCAACTTGAACGTCATGCAAGGTTCATTTTGAAACCTACCCAATACGGAATCAGAAGTTCACTACAGGTGGACGCAAAAGCAGTAGTTTGCTACATTCGGCCGCCGGCGAGTCGACGTCTTGTCCGTATTTTGCCCTGTGATTCAAGTGCGATCGCATCGAATCTGACCCTTGAAACGAAAGGACGAACAATCTGAGGACACCCCGCTC